CTTATGCCAAAATAAATAGAATTTGCAGGTGTAACTAGTGCCATCATGTTAACTTTCCTTGAAGAGTGTGGTGGAGAAAGTAGTTGTGTGTTGCAGATTGCAGATGTTTAATGGAAATCCTATTAGTGAGCGTGGATGACAAAACCGGAGTGGTTATCCCGTATGCTCTACAGGACAGTTGGGAGGAGTGGCTCTTGCAGGAGGGAGTCTGTGTTTGTAGCAGAGCTGCAGTAGCTTATTCTGAAATTTATGTAGCAATGGCTCCTCCGGCTGCTGCTGCTTCCCCTGTGAGTTTCTTAGGAGTGTGTGGTCTGACAGCAGTGCAGCCCTGCTGATTGCAAATGTGGGAGAGCGTCGTTCAGCTCTGGGTAACTGAGGACACAGGTGTTGCAGTAGCAATTGTGTGATGTCAGTGTTGACTGTGAATTTGTGTGTGTATCTCTTTGCAGTTCCTCTTCTGTGAAATATTGCTTAATGCTGCGTGTGGAATTGTTTATTCAGTCAACTGCCAAGTATCTTTCCCTTTTGCCAAACTAGCTCCAAAAATTTAGATTGCTGCCTTTGGTCAGTCAAATAATTTCAGTCCTCAGGCTTTAAATCTGAAGTGGAACAGAGTTTCTTCTCAGAAGCTGGCTTAAGAAGATACCATATCGGTTCTAAATCTTACTTCCAGCTTCCTTTGTTCTGTGAACAATATTACCCGTGTACTTAGAGAACTGGCAAGTGGTCTCTTTTGAAGAGCACAATTCTCAGTTAAGTACAGTATATTCAAGAAAAATGAGCCAATATTAAAGTAATCATTTGTAATAGTTTAATTTATTCATATGAGGAGGAGATTAGATTACATACCTTGAATCTTTTAAGAAGAATACCTATTTCTTTGAAAGGTTTCCCTTGTTTTCTTCTAAATTTTTCAGATAGTCAGACTGCTTATTCCACCAGTTCTCTGCATCTCTAAAATACGTGGTATACTCTGTCAGTATGTTTCCATATAAATATGAAATTGCATTTAATCTCAAGAGGAGAGGAAATTAGTCACAATGCTGTGAAGTGTGTTGATATTCTGTGGTCCTTTGGGTTTTGTTTTTTGTAAATGAGAGGGGAGGAGAGAAGGAAGAAGGTGTTAGGTATTGAATAGCTTTCTAAATGATTTCAAGACTTGAATCCAGACCCTCTCTTTTCTACCAAGAGCAATAGGGGTCTTATTTTAAGTCAGTGGTCAAAAGCTGAAAGGAGTAAGTTGTACCTTGAAATGAAAGTTCCATCTGCTATTAAAAGATATGATGCAAAAAAATGCCAGTGGGATCTCAAGCTAGAGTTTAGTTGTAGACTTGGCCACCTAAAATAGTGTGTTTTACATGTGAACAGAGCATGCAGTGTATGATTCTGCTTCTTAACTGAGTAAATGTAGGTCAGGATCTGAACAGCCCTCTAACCTCTCACTTTGTTGGCTGGTTATCAGCTAACTAGAATGCTCTCATTCTGGGTGAGCATCAGCAAACTTTGGTGTCCAAATCTGGAGGTAAATTGGAGATGTACTTGGGCCATCCCACATTAGTAGTGCATGGGGTCTAAATCTGCAGTCAAGTGTAACTCAGTAGGAATGCAGCAGCCTGGTCATATGTTTGAGTTTGCAGAAGATGAGTGTCATGGAAAGATTGGGTGGAAATGCTGTATTTAAAAACTGAAACAATCTTTTACTCTATCCATCCTCCTCACTGAAAGGAAAGGCTTAATTTGAAGGAAAACAACCTACTTTCTGTAATGTGTAGGGTTTCAGGTTGTCACCCAGAATAGGTGATCCTGAGAATGTCATATGCTCACAGAAAAGAACTGCAAGGTGTTAAATGTGAGAGTTTTTACCTTCAGTTGTAAATTTTCTTTCCTGAGGCAATAGTTGTGTAGATGGGATGGGCTTTCTCCTGGTAATGCCATGCACTTTTGAAGTAGATTGTATACTCTTGAATAATAGTGGATCTGTTAACTCTTACATGATTTCACACAAGAGATTGTTTGGATCAGGTGTTGATTTAAAGGGAATAGTAGATCAGATTTTAAAATATTCCCCACTCTTGAACTGGAGAAACTGGGTCAGAGTGTGGAATCTAAGAAGACTAATTTTACTTGGACTACTCAAGGGCAGACGTGTAGGAGTGATATGGTTCGTAGTTCCCTGTAGGATGCTTGCATTAAGAGTAAGTGTCCCAGTGTTGCTTTCTGAGCCTACCAAAACTGCAAGGTGACTGATATAATGAGCCATCCTTAAAATGCTGTTTTCTCCTAGCATGTTCCAGAAATCTGTCGAATCCCAGTGGAGACACTGAAAAGCTTTTTTTTCTTCCTATCCCTTCTCTTTGAGTTACACTCCTTAAAAGGGATCTCAGCAGTTTAGGAGATGCAGTCATTTTTGAGGGAGAGAAAAAGCAAGAAGCATTCAGCCCATCTAAATGGAGGGGAGGATGACAGGTAAACTTTCTCAGCTTGTAGGACCAGTGGTTTTGTGTAGAGCTTAAAAAAATCATCAAAACTATTCATTACGTGTAATAGTAAAACTATCCTAGTGAAAAGAAAAAAAATCGTATCCTCAAGTGGTTTCTATAAAGTTTCATAGTATATGGAAAAAATTTCATGATGAGCACCCTAAACTTCTTTAAACTTAAATGATTGCTAAGCAGAGTGGTTTCTCTGTATACTCCTGCCCTCTGTGTTGTGTCAGTACTGACTGTCTTGTGATGCAGTGCCAGTGTGAGAGCACGCAGTGGGAATGCCTGACTGGAAAGGATGCGGTATTCCTTTTTGGGAGCAGAGCCGCTTGAGACTCCAGCCTTCATGTGTTATTTTTAGATTGTCTTTTTTATCCCCTACTCTGTCCTTCCTGTTGGCTGAATTTAATCATGAGGTTTGGATAGAGGGTGAGATTCAGACATGCCTTCTCATATTAAGCAGTACTGCATTTCTAGAAACCTCTCCTTTTGCCCAACAAATGCACCAAGCTGATGGAATTCTTTACACAGACCACATTTTACACATGAAAAAAGGATTAAGTAGAACTCCTTCAGTGATTTTTAGAAAGCTATGCTCATGCTGCATGAATAGTATTTGTTTCTCTACTGTAACTTTGTTGAGTGTTCATATGGTTTAATATCAAGTTCTTTCTGGTTCAGTTAGTAGTTTCTGAGTAATAGAAGTCAATAGGACAGATCTGTGGGCACATCAGCAGTCATGTCAAGCAATTAAAGCCCCGGAACGTTTAGTTTATCTGTAAAAATGTGATTTTTACTGAAAATAAAAGGAATATTGGCATGCTTTGGTTGATGGAAGGCCTTCTGGAAAGGTGACAAAAGCGATGCAAATCCTGGCAGTCCTATGTGTTGTCTGTGACTGTGCTTGTGTTCTAGAGAAAATGACAAGCCTTTGAGTTGCTGAATTCTGTAGAATGAACAAAAGTAGAATAGAACTTCTGTCTAGTCTGTTGGAAAGTGTGGAAAGAACTATCTCTTTTAAATTCTAGTCTTTGTTAAGACTGACGGTAACATTTGTAGTTGCAGTTTGTTGCAATAAATACTGTATATTGAGGTGTCCTAAATAAGCAATTCTGTCCGCCTTAGAAGAACAATCACTTCAGAGCTGCAAACTGAAGGCACATCTTCCAGCTCCACTAGATGTCAGCCAAGACCAAGTGACTGAGCTCGGTACATCTGCAAATTGCATTCTGGTCTAGAGAAGCCCTTGACTCTGGCAAAATACACTGGACAATTGTTTTCCATGGTTGGTTGGTATGTGTAATAATACTGTTTTGGATGTAGGTGGGAGAGACCATCTTAGGGCACTGTAAGGTAACCTGATTTAAGTTGCTAGGCAAATTTGGGTTGGGTATTCGCAGCTCTCTTAACCACGTCAAAGTGGTTAGAGAAACATTAGATGTTCCCAAATATATCCCTCTGTGGTACTGGGATTATCTGTAGCTTCCTGGTTAAAGAATAAAAGGTATTTAAGTTATCCTTGCATTTTTTTCCTTCTGTCTATCATTATAGCTGCGTTACTTAATATGGTATTAGTGCAGGGCTTTCCTTTGTGCACTGTGAGTGTGTGATGTCTTGATCTTAGATACAAACCATGGAGGTTCCTTCAGTTCCCCTCAGAATGTTTTTCACAAGATTATTTGATTTCATGGTCTGTGTATTTAGGTTTGAAAAGCAAGAACATAAAACAGCTTTAGAAGTGTAGAGATATGTCTCTGTTAGTGGCACTGGACCACTGTAAGCAAGGTATAGGAACAGAGTGTCTGTAACATTTGGGAGTTGTAAAAATAATTTTTTTTTCAAACAACAGTGTTGAAGTTTTTTGAGTTGACAGTTTCTGTTTATAAGACGAACTGCCTGTATATCTTTAATCTGTGCTCTTTGAGAGTATGGTTTCTGAGGTTATGGTTTTGGTTTTTTTCCCCTCAAAGTGGTTGTAACTCTTCTTCATTAGAGTTCTTGTACAAAGTCCCCAGCTTTTCCCTGTATCGTTAATGGGCCATTGCAAAGGAAGTTGTAGGACTATGTAGCTGGAAAGCAGGAGAGGTTATGGTAAACCACTGAATTTGCTTAGCCATGTTTTGTAACTTTTCCCTATGCTTCTGAAAAAAAATCCTGAAGCAAAGGGTTCTTAGCAAACTTCATAAGCAGCAGTTACTTGTTCCAAGTGATTTCCGGTTTAAGTGTTCTGTGTTTGGGGATTCTTTTTTTAGCATGCTAACACACAGTGCTGTAAAGCCTTGTTAAATTAAAAGCATATTGCTGATCCAGAAAGCATAATGGTAAGATATATGTATGTGCAACACATTGTGATATGCTAATTAATTCAAATAGGCATATGGCATCTTCAGGATAGCAGCATCCAGCACACAAAGTGCAGATGGATCCTGGGTAGTTTAGCATTGGTCTTGCTTCAGTGTTTTGTCACTGCTGATATACTGGTTTGGCTATGTCAGTGTCCTTCTATTAACAACATTTTTCTGAAGTAGTGCTGCGCTGTATTTTTCATGTAGCCTTGTGTGTGCTGGTGCAACCTCTGTGTGGTTAGAAAGGTCATTGATGGACTTGGGAAATACAATAAGGGATGACAGGTTTGGTGTGGTGGGGGTGTTATGTTGCTTCTTGAAAACCAACCAGCATGAATTGTTTAGCTTGTTAAAATGCTTTTCCCATCAGAAAACTTTTAAATACTTGATATTTAACTGCAAGTGCAAGACTGTCTACTTGGAGTAGAAATGATCCTTAGAGGGGATCTTGCAAAAGGATAATGATGTTGCAAAAAAAAAAAATTAAATGCTGGGTTTCATGAACTGAACTTCTAATACCTTTTCCTACTGTCCTGGGTGCAGCAAGGTAATGTTGCAAAGTTTTGAGTCAATCCTTGAGGGAAAATTCTGGAAGAAGCTAATTTCATCACTGAGAGTAACAGAGAAAAACACATGCAAATGCTGTTAACACTCAACTTGATAAATTGAGTGAGGATGATGATTTTCTTACCTTCCGTCTTGCTTACTTGAAGGGGGGAAAGTGGGGTTTTGCTTATGGTAGGGTTTGTTTCTCCCCTGTACTGAGGTAAGGCTATAAAATAAAGCAGCACATATAGTAGTAAATCTGTGATAGACAATTACTTACTTACAGTAACAAAGCTGTTCCTGTGTAATTTGTTTTCTGTAAAGGAATTAGGCACAGGGTTGGCGGGGGGAGTAGAGTGAACGAAAGCTGATGTTAACACATGGCTAGTTCTTGTTGCTGCAAGTTAAACTGCAACTACTTTGGTGTTATAATCTAAATGTAGTAAACCTCAAAGAGAGCAAAGGATACTGTGCTGAGAACAGCTCAGTGGTAGCAGTGTGCTTGTCCTGCAGAACTGAGCAGAGCACAGCCCCTGGCTTTGTGCTTTCAGGCTGCTGGTGAAGCATGCAGAGGAGTGTTAGGTTTGCCTTAGACCTGTATTAAATTCATCTGAAGAGTTTTCTCAATACTTAGCTCCTTTCTTGGGCATCTAGCACACTTAGTGCAAGCAGTTGTTCTGAGTTGTTACCCCCAAACTTACTATTTCACAGAAAAAGGAGATTGAGATGTGATTCATTATTGGTAGTGATGTGACAGTCCTGTGATCATAGTGCAGAAAGACACGAATGCTTGATGGCTTTAGTTTGAATGATAGCCTGAAAAATTTTCCTTTCTTTGTTAACTGGACATTTTGTACTACCTAGAATTATCTAGGATGTTTCACTCAAATGGTCTTTATTACTATTGGACTTGTCTGCATGATTGTAAGATTGCTTTTCATATTCCACTGACCTTTTCTCCAAATAAGTTACATGAAACATACTGTGTGTCTAAGATGTGCAATGTTATTGTGAGATAAGTTTAAATGGAAGTGTAAAGCTCATCCATAGCAAAAGCTCTTAATTTTTAAGAAGAAAATGCTGAGAAATTGAGGGAGAAATCAAACAAGTCAGCTGGAACCGAAGAGCTCACAACTTCAGAGAATTTTGTAGACTTGGTACTTCTAAAATTACAGGTGCAGAAATTTGCCTCTACTACAACCTCTAGATTTTGGGGTGAAAGTGGATGCATGGCATCAAGGGTTTATAAGCAGAGTTCTAACCAGAAGAAAAGCCTCTTTGAGACTTGTATTAGGAATCAGCCTACAAAGAAGAAAACTCTTTGATCAAGTTCATCTTCTCTTGCTGAAGGACAGTGTAGGGAATAAAGGAGAACTTTTGGGTCTAAGTACAACTTGTTTCATTTTACCTGGCAAAAATCAACTACCTAAGGTTCAAAAAGACTTAAAATGAAGAATTGAAGACAAAGTGTGTGAGCTGTGCATGCTTTTGATGTTGCATTTAGGCTCTTTCCTTTCATATACTTAAATTTAGAACCAGGGGAAGTTATGTTAAAGGACTTCTGAGGGCTGAAGTTGAATTACATTAGAGACATAAGCACAAAACATGAGTATTTCAAGAACTTACTGGTGAAAAAAAGGGAAGAGGCCACTTTGAGATAAATGAGGAAAGAAAAAAGTACTAGATGTCTTTGAGCACTCAGTCACTTTAGACAACATTCTGTGTATAGAATGCAAGATAGTGCAAGTTTTGAGTTTAAAACAAACAGCAAAAAAATGAAGTCATGCTGATCTGTCCCTTTTAAAACTTTGGAAGTCATTCTGATCAGCGACAAGTATGAAGCAGTGCTTTGTTCAAGCACTTCACACTAATCCTACAAATTACTTCCTGGCTTTGCAAAGAGAATGGCTGAGATTCCTTCTGGCCCATATTTATCTTCCTGGGTGACACCAAAGTTGCCTGTGAGATTGTTTTTTTTTTTCTTTGAAAATTTAAAGCTGTTTAAACAAATGAAGACAAATACCATATAACCCCTTCTGCTTGCTCAGAGAGAGGGGTTTGAGAATTGAGAGTCCTTGTAGACAAAATTTTAGACTTGTTTAAAGCTAGAAGAAAGGTGCATAAACACTCAGCTGATCCCAGCTGAGGCTTTCTCCCAGCTGTAGCCTCTTAACTTGCTGCTGTAGCCACTCTTTGGGGGGAAAATGTCAAGAAACATAGCTTTACAGTAATATTATCTGAGACATGTTTCATTTGTTTCTGTCATGAATTTATAAATATGTTTTGTACTTAAAGTGAGAGATGCAATTTATGCCATGTGATTATACTGTCTGCTGATGCTGAGGAATCCAGTGTTTAATACTGTCTGCAGAGAGGTGAATTAGGCTACATTTGAGAGGTCCTCAACTTCAGTGGGTGATGAAGGGGCAGTGACTGTTGCCTATGGTGTGTCCAGTGGTAAATGATCAAGCATGGTGAGGGAGAGGAATTGGATTTCTTTAACTTCTGACATCTTGTATTGGAGCTCAGAATGTCTTCCTTTTTTCTCAAGTTTAGAGGTAGGAACATTTCCAGTGGAATTTTGAAACTAATTTTACTTTATTTGCAGCTTTAGTCAGTTCTCCATGATATGACTGTTAATGGGACAAAGAGATCCTTGAACAAGCATTTCAGTCTCTCTCTTTGTTAATGTTTGCAGCTCAAATCCAATCCTAGCAATAATGAGGAAAAAGAAGCCCAGACTCAGCTGACAAAATCTGATGAGCTGCAGCGCCTGCATTCACAAGCACTATCTGCTTACCAGCAAGAGGATTATGAAGCTGCTATTTCTCTTCTTGATGAAATCTTGGCAGTAAGTGTTAAGTAAAATTGTCCTGAGAAAGGAAAGTAAGAACTTCTCTCTGACATCTGTGTGTTTTTGTTTAATAGCTTCTTCACTGATGTGAAAACACTTGGTGTAACTGGTTTAGTTTTGCTGAGCACTGTGACTCCATAAGGAAGTTAGGGAGTGGAGAAGGCTGAGCACTAGCTGCAAAAAAAAGTCAAAATAATAGTTTTGTAGTTTGGGTTAAAGATACAACTTCAGCTGAACTTCTGTTATAGATAGCTTTATTGGTTATACTTTCCTATTTTCCCACAGTTTGGTGTTTGGGGAAGCTGGGAAAAATTTGTTCTGAAATCAATGAAGTTTTGCCAAATACAGGAGGTGTAGGATTTTTCGTCTGGATTTTCATTGCCAATATTCTGACAGTTTTTGTCTTGAGAAAATAAAGTAACAAAAGATAGAAAAACCCCCACAAAGTAAAAAATGTTTATAGGTAGCTCAATTTTCAACTTGTTCCTTAGGTATCTCTATTTGTTGAATGTATTAGTATAGGTAGTCTGATAGTGTATGTGTAAATAACTCAGTGGTGTGGGCATTTTGTGTGTCATATAGAAATATACATTAAAAAACAGTTAACTGCTATGATTCTTCACATACAAATTAGCATTGTTAACTTGGAATTTAAAACATTGGAGCTTTTGGTGAAGAAACTGCTAAAGTGTGGGAGTTTGTCTATGAGTGAGGAATAGGGAAAAGCAGAAAAGCCTCCTCCTGAAATGATAGTTTACAAACAACTGATAAGACACAGAATTAGTTCTCTAAACCAAATTTTGGTGGGCAGTTCCTTTTGAGTAATTATTTTTTCCCTACTGTTACATTATTACCTTTCTGTATTTTTAAAATCCGAACACTAAGGTCAAATATTGTGGAGCTGCATCTTACCCGTGGGCTTCTTCCTAGAGGACGACTGACAGCTTCGTCCTTGCTGTTCATTACCTCTTTTCTTTTGGGAAGATATAATAATTTATGATTCCGATATCCTTTCCTGGAGGCTCAACAGACTGTCATAGTTTAAGTGGTGCCAGTAGATTTAATTCATCTCCCTGCATGAGCTCATTGAATCATTACAAAATTTGCAGGCCTTTGTTTTCAATTTGGGCAGGTGCATCACAGCATTCACCAGGAAGCAGAGATGCTAATTTCTTGATCTCTGCATGCAACTTGAACCTTATGCTATTGCAGTTGGCAAAAGTGAAATTAAATGGGATTTTTGTTTTGGGGAGGAAAAGAAGTGAAGTGTTATGGACCAAAACCAAGCTTTAATTTTGATTTCTTAAGGTTTGTGTTTGGGATGCAGAGCTACGGGAACTTCGAGCAGAGTGTTATATAAAGGAAGGGGAACCAAGCAAAGCTATTAGTGACTTGAAAGCTGCTGCCAAATTAAAGAATGATAATACTGAAGCCTTCTATAAAATCAGCAGAATATATTATCAGCTGGGGGACCATGAATTATCACTCAGGTAATTTTACTATTTGCTGTAATAATTACAATTGACAGAAAATGTAATTATATAGGTCATGATAAACCATGAAATATCTGTATTGTGTGAGTTTTGGATGTAGTAACAGCTGTGGTCTGGATCTGATAAAGGAAGCTCCTTTCTAGAAGGTAAGAACAGGCAGTGAAGACACCATGTTTATACTTGGCAGACCAGCCATCGATGGTTCCAGGCATCATCTTTGCTAAAGTAGAAGCCAGAGTGCATGTCCATCGGAGTTGCTTGCAAGTACTGTCTTCATTGTATTTCTCCATCCTAGATGGAAGTGCTACTCTAAACTTGCTTTGGTGGAGCCTTTTTTTTAACCTTGAACCTCTATTCAAGTGAAGTTTACAATGCAAACAAAAAACGTATGCATTAAAGTTACAGGCTTAAGAATAAATAAAAAATACAGGAACACCCAGCTATGAAGAGCCAGGGGTCCTGAGCTGTTGATCTTTCATTCCTACAGACAGTGTCCAGCATTTTGGATGACTTTTTGATAATGTCCTACTCTTTTGTTCATATTGAGTTATGTTTAAGGTCTTACTCCCATATGTCCCTTGTCAATCTGGCGGATAACTGCTCTTGCCCAATCTGAACTGTTAGGTCTTTACTCTGTGCCTGGCTGGACAGATGGTGTAATCCTTCTGTTTGCCCAGGAGTGGTTTCTGTGGCAGTCATAATCTCAGATGCGCTACCTTCATCTCCAGACTCCTTCCAGTATGGCTTCTGCCACAGAATGTCTTCAATAAGAGATGAAGAGAACTGAAAAAGCCTGATTTTCTTTTCTTGGCTAATTGATGGAAAATGCATATGATGGATTGTAATGGCAAAAATTCATTTTATAGCTGGGGAATTGCTTTGCATTACACATCCCCTTTCTAGAGTATGCTTAGTCTTGGGAGCTCACAGGTCACTTCTGTGGTGAGTTTTGGTAGCTGGATATCAGTTTGCATAGTGATTTCAAGAATAGATTTTTGATTTTTAAAAGTACAGTTAAGAGCACTTTTGAAGAACGTAATGGAAACAGAATGAAGGGATAATAATGAAGAGTTCCTTCATTCTTACCTAATACCTTTATTTTATTTTTTTTGCATCATAAGATATACCAAGAGTTCAGTAGCTCTTGGACTCGCTGGATGCTTACTCTTGTCCTTGGCCTTCTCTGGGTTTCTTTTTCTTACCTTTACAGGCTTAGTGATTTTCAAATACTGAGATTTTTTTGTCTGTCCTTAGGAACAAAATCAGATTTTGTGATCTCTTTCTGAAAATAACACCGTGGTTGTGCGGTGATGACTGTACTTTTTTTTAAACATTTGACAGTTTGGAGAGGTATCTGCCCTAATCAGAATCTTATTAAAGAGCAGTCTTCACAACGAAAAGTCAGGCTCAGGCTTGGCTGGGATTCCATGTGTCACATGTAACACTTAATCTTTTGCATATTTGGCAACAGAGAATAATTAAAACCCACACCAGACAAATAACCCTCTATGTTCTGGAAGACTTTTTGTTGATGTCTCACTTTAAAGTAATTTTTTGGATGAGGAGAGAGATTGTGTAAAGAAGTCAGCTGTTGTTGTTGTGGACAGCTTGTATATGTTGTGTTGTGTCTCTAGTTAAAATTTCATAATATGTGGTGACGTATTTTATTTTTTTTTTACCTTCTCCTTACCTCCCTGTGAAAAGTGAAGTCCGGGAGTGTCTGAAACTGGACCAAGATCATAAGCAGTGTTTCTCTCTCTATAAGCAAGTAAAGAAACTCAATAAGCAGATTGAGTCAGCAGAGGAATTCATCAGAGAAGGCAGGTAAGTATTCACTCCTGTATTTAAAAAAAAAAAACTACTATGGAAGCACGAACTTATTGATTGAGGAGCTGATTAAGTGATGCTTTTTGCATCTGTCAGTTGAAGTGGATAACTGAGCACAGCTCTCAAATTACAATTAAAATAAATATTGACTCGCATAGCGACAATCCTGTTCTGATTCCTTCCGATGCCACTGTCTTCTCTTTGCATACTGAACTTCTTTCTGCAGCAGGTAGTAAGACCAAGATAGGGATAATAGTTTTCAGCTCTCATATATTATTACTCAGAACTGATGAGGCCATACCTGGAGTGCCAGAGAGATGAAACTACTGAGAAAGTCCAACAAAATCCCACTAAAATGATGGAGGGACTGCAAGGAAAGGCTGAGATGACTGGGACTGTTTGAGCCTTTTCTGCTACAGGGTCATCTCATCAAAATACCTGAAGGGAGGGTGCAAAGAGGGCAGAGCCAGGCTCTGGTCAGTGATGCCCTTTATCAGAATCAGGCCAATGGGTGCAAACTGAAAGAAGAAATTCCCTTTGAACATAGTGAAATGCTTTCTACTACCCCCTCATTTGCAGTCGTGCAGGTTGCCCAGGGAGATTGTAGAGTCTCCCCATTTTGGAGTTATTCAAAAACTGTTTGGACACTCCTGGGCAGCCTGCTGTAGGTGGCCCTGCATGAGCAGTGAGGTTGGACCAGATGACTTCCAGAAGTCCCTTCCAATCTCAGCTATTCTGTGATTAAAGGACCACATCTCTAGACTAAAACTCCCTAATAACTCTGCAGTGCCTTGATAGCAAAAATGGATCTGACTGATGGGCTTTTTTTTTTTTTTCATGCTTCTGTATTCTTCTACTTCGTGCTTTACTTCAGTTTTTCATGTTCTCAAGCGCATGACATCCAACTGTAAGGAGCTCTCACAAATCATTAGACATTGTCAAGGTGGTGTTTTAAAATGAAATCTATCAGGAACGTGAATAAGCACAACTGAGGCCAATTTTATTAAGCTGTCAGTCTGTTTGGACTCTCTTCACTTAATCCAGTATCAGTCCTGTTTCAGGGAATCTTCTGAGAGCTTGAATTTCTCTAGCTTGTATAACAACCCATGGGTTCAATCGCTCTCTTGGATTTTTAGGTAAATGTTCTAATCCATTTCTTGCTCAAACCATGCAACTTTAGCATTTTTGGGACCTTTGCAGCAAAAAAACATTTTACTGTGTGACTTGTGGAGAAGAAAAGGAGAAAACAACCGCCTAATTCAAGCTGGCATAAAGAGCTTTTTTGTAGCTATGGAATAGGTGGTACCTTTTGTAGTGTGCAGATAGTACAGTGCTTGCAGTAAGACTCCAGACTTGGTCCATCTCAGATATTGGAGAGGGAGATGCTTATTTTTAGGTGTAGAGTGGCATGTTGGACAGGAGGCACATCTACAGACTGTTGTCTGTGCATGGTGAGGGATGGTAGTTACTGTCTTCTGCAAAAGCCTGCCAGGACTGATACCAGCTCTTCTGTCTCATGGCACAGAAAAGGGAATGGGGATGTAATTCTTGAAATGGCTGCAAATTTTCTTCATATTATTGTCTCACACCTCACCTTTAAGGCTATTAAAGTTAAGGTACATTGCTAGGAGGATGTGAAAATCTGAATTTCAAGATTTGTAAATAAATTGCAACACCCTGAGATAGTGATCACATTTCACGATATTTTGCTTTATGATTTAAACAGGTATGAAGATGCTATCAGTAAATACGAATCTGTAATGAAAACTGAGCCAGAAGTCCCAGTTTATGCTACTCGTGCCAAAGAAAGAATCTGTCACTGCTTATCAAAGGTAATTCTGATTATTCTCCCTCTGTAAATTTCTCTAAGACAAACAAACAGCAAACAAGCCCCCCACAACTACGTGAATTTTGTTTTACTTTCTTCTCTCTAGAATCAGCAGTCTACAGAAGCCATAAAACTTTGTACAGAAGTTCTGCAACTGGAACCAACCAACGTGAATGCTCTGAAAGACAGAGCAGAAGCTTATTTGCTGGAAGACCTGTATGAAGAAGGTACAGTTGTATGCAGTTGACACATACTTTTTTGTGGACGTTTAAAATGCACTCAGTGTTTCAAAGGCTTTTTTTTAACATGCACTTTGATTCTACACTATGTTGTCATCCTTAATTAGCACTGGTAGTTGCAGATTTACAAAAATATCTGGTGGTAATTTTGTCTTGATTAGTGTAAGTGGAATGCACTTGTATTATCTATGGCATAGTTGTCTTTACAATAACGGACCGTGTTCAGGATGTTTTGTGAGACTGTACAGCTTAATCTACTTAAACATGTTTTATATAATCAGCAATGTCAGACAAATGTGTTTAGAGGTAAAAGGTAATTATAGTTCAGTTGATGTAAATCCTTTTTAGGACCGCAATTTTAACGTCTTGAGATGGCAGCATGAAAATAATACTGTTCTATTCCCTGGCATGTGTTGTGGGCAGAGGAAGTTAATGGCCATTGCTTCACCTCTGCAGATCTCTGTAGTGCTGCTGAAAGCAGTAAACTGACTCTATTCCTGAGGCTGCATTTTCCATACAGACTTTTTGTAAAATGCATACTATTACACAGAGTCATAGAAACAACTTCTAGGATTATCAAGTCCAGTAACCCAGCACTGCCAAGTCCACCACTGCACCATGTTCCCTAGTGCCACATATACATGTCTTTTAAAAACCTCCAGGGGTGCTGACTCAACTCTTGCAAATTAGAGGAAAGAAAAGTTTTATAACAAGGTTCTGCATAAATGCAGGGAGCCAGCTTGGTCTTGTGCTGGAGCAAATGCCTCCATATTATAGGATATAAGGAAACAGAGAGAGGACATACCTGGGATCTGGGAGAGCTGGTGCCTGCTGAGTTTGGCCTAGCCTCATTCCAAGTGAACCACCATGCTGGAGTGGAACTGTGCTTCGTCAGATCCCTGTTCTTTAGCATGTCCCATGCCTTCCTCCTGCCCTTGACAGTAGTGAGGTGGTTGTAGTTCCGCTCTGCCTTCCAGCAGAGCCTCCATCAACAGTATTACAGCCCATTAATGTTAGTCTGCCTGAAGGTGTCTTCATTTATCCTTCAGTTTTAACTGCTGTAAAATGATCACTGATTCCTCTTTGCTAGAGAGAACAGTAGAGCAATTAAAATTGTAATCTCATATTTAAAGGGGCATACTGATTCTTATTCTTCCCTCAAAAACTTTTCAAGCTAGAGGCAGCTATTTTCATGTTAAAGATAGGAAATTTCAAAGTACTTGTAATTCAGAACTTTGAAGGCGATTATTGCTAAATGTTCAAGATGTACTTTGGTATGTATAGCTGAGTTAATCAAATGGTTTTAATTACTTTATAATCACATGAGATCCAGGGTTTGTCTACAGCAACAGATGTGTAATGACTCCCTTTCTGGCATACCTCATAAGTACAGAAGTCTATCTGTCTAAAGCACAAGTTTTGATGAAGGAAAAAAAGCTGCCTTGCTGTTTCAAAATTGATCAAGATATACTAATTTTTTTCCTTTTTTTTTTTAATTTTTAATTTTTTAATTTATTTTTTTATTTCCCCCCCACACTACTACTTTAGAGGTTTCAGTAAGAGCGTGACTGGTTCTTTTATTTCTCTAACAGTCTTGGCATGGGTGTAGGTTGTCTGCAGTTACTCATGTTTGATAACTTGGCCATTAATGCACATGCAGAATTGATCTCGGTCTCTTTTAAAAATGCAGGCAAGATTCCAAAGCCGGCAAAGTTGTCTAGAGTTATGGTGTGATTACCTTTTGAGAGGTTGTGAAGAGTCTTGTATTGAAAGAAGGAGAGTTAGATTTGACTGAAGTATTTAAATTGAAAGTGACACTGGAAACTAGTTGTTCCTTTTATGTCGTGGAACAGGATGAAAAGAAGAAAGGATGCTTTCTGGAATAGCAGGCCAGTAAGCAGCAGCAGTGACTCTTCTGTTGGTTTGGAGGTACTAGTGCTTTTAGAAATAGTGGCTCAAAAGAATTGATTAATATATCTCACTTGACATACCGTGAATTAGTAATAAGTCTGCTAGTTTCATATCGAACTTCTTGTCATCAGGAAGCTGCCATCCTGCTCCACCTGCTTCCAACCCTCACTGCTCAAGTGAGAAGAGCAATTAGCTCTCTGAAGGAGGAAAATTCCTGCACTGGAGTGTGAAAGTGTAAAATGTACTTGCTGGGCACTTTCACTCTGCAGTGTGCAGCACTGAAAAACTTACCTTCCCATGTGCTTAATGCTCGCAGTCTTTAAATAAGGAAGTTGATTTAAAAAAAAGAAGAGAAATTTTAATACTGTCATGGCAAATAGGTGATCCCTGAAGCAGATTGTTTTCCCACAGTGGTGCGTGCTGTCGGTGATGTGGCGCTCAGTGAAGCTGAGCAGTCTGAGCTGCATTTGGCAGGACGTTGTGGTGGGACCTTCCAGTACCATGTGAAGCAGATTAAGTACACTGGTGCTTAAAATTATTGGAGCAGTAAAGCAGCATAATGAAATCCCTGCATTTTCATTATTTTTATTGCTTTCAACAGCATATATTGGGCGCACACATTAGTTCACACTCTTGGGGTTTTTGTTTTGGTTTTTTAATGACTGGACAAATTATTAAAAATATCAGCAGAAGCCAAAATGCTTTGTTCAAGCAGCAAATGAGTGTCCAGTGATGAGAAAATGAATAGAAATTTTGTTTGGCTTGTAATAGCCTATGAAATTGTTGGGGCACTGGCAATACCTTTTGGAATTTTTTTTTTTCCAATAACTAAAACAAGATTGCAGTGGTATCAGATGTCTGGGTAGTACAAATTCATTAGCACTTCCTGCTGTCTTGCTCAGAAACAGTGAAAAACAAATGTAACACCTGCTGAGAAATAGCATCTGCTTGGAAATAATCTGATGCAAGTACTTTATCTAACTTGAGAAATGTAGGAGATTGGGATCTGCAAATGAGACCTTGAGGATTATAACAGCGAAAGAAGAGCAGTCTCATTAAAGACTTAGATAGTTACTTCCCTTGATAAATTTTGATATCAAAAAATATATAAACTTGGTGTCTTAAGCATTCAGTTACCACTTACAATAATAATAGAGTTTACTTAAAAAAAATAGTGTAGACCTTGAATGTTTTACAAATTACATTACAGCATCTCTCTTGCTTTCATTCCTGAGAAATGCAACTCTTGAAATAGAGTGAGAGTATGCCTTTGGAAAAAAAAAACCACCCTTAAAATATAACTGTCTGTGTACTATGTATGCAGAGGTGTAAAAAGCCAATACTTGCCTTTCACTGACAGTATGAGCTTATTGGTAGTCTGAAATTTGTCTTTACTGTCATTAAAGAGAAGAGACTTTCTGTCGTGTTGATAGAGTGCAGACTGGGGGAGAAGAATGAATATTACCTTAAAGACTCTGGGTAATGCATCCTTCAGCTGAACAGCAATGTGGGACTAACATCGTGCAGTGGGCTCTTCACATACTAGTTGCTGAATCTTACTTCTTGGTCTCTTTTTCCTCCTCCCAGGCCTAGATACTTGTTATGTTATTCCTGTTGCAACATCAAGAGAGTGTTGTGACCGGAGTCTGGTAACCTCCCTTCTCCCTCATTTCCCACCAGTGTAATTGAACCTAAAGAAAGAAAATTACCTAATTTATATGTGAAAGTGAATTTCCTCTACTCCAAGGTTTTCTAATTTAGGGAGAAAAACTCAAACATGTCAAGTTGAAATGAAAGTTTTGCTCTTTGTATATGGTAATAGCAAAGCTTCAATTTTGTGGAGTGGTTGAGTTCTTTAAATTGAAGTTTGTAGAGTTGTGTAATCTTCTTTCATTTGCTTTTTTTATAAAAGCTATTAAAGACTATGAGACTGCTCAAGCCAACAGTGAGAATGACCAGCAGATTCGGGAGGGGCTAGAACGTGCCCAGAGAATGCTGAAGCAATCACAGAAGAGGGATTACTATAAAATCCTGGGAGTAAAAAGGTGAGATATTAATTCCAGAGATGATGATGTGAAAGTTGGTTATTTAAACCAGCGTAGATAGGACTGATCACTTGAATTTGTTCTGCTGTTCCTTTATCTTGCTACCTTCACTTTTCTGTTGTACTAATTTAGTAGTGTTCAACTTGTAAGTAGCACCTATTTACAATTCCTGTAGAAGGAATGGAAAAACAGCATTGGTGAGAGGGGAAATAAATAATTCAGCAGGAAATTCTTAATAGATGAATGAATTGGGGAAGAAATGAGGACTGGCAAGAATTACCGAAAGCAACAAAAAATAAAATTGTGGCAGATAGTGTGATAGATTGGAAGAGTTTGGAAGGACTAACTGAAAGGTATAAAAAATACTTCTGCCATTAACCTTGAGAAACCAACAACTTCCTTTCTAATGAGGAGCAAACAAATGTCCAGTTCTGAACTAGTATTGGTCATCCTTCCAGTCGTGAACTAATTTGATCTCTGCTTTTTGTGCTTTTTGTTATGATTGCAAATTCTTCAGACTGGGAACTCTGTTCTGCATAGTATCTGGCAGTAGCATATTTCCAAGGAAAGTTAATGGGTGGTGAAGTAAAAGAGTGAGTAATCTTTGTTTGAAGTTGAAACCCGCTTCGTTTTGCATAAAGAATCTTCAGTGCCATTTGCAGAAGGTTAACTAACTCATAATTTTCCTAATGCCCTTAATTACTGTCTCAGTGTTTAAAATTAACCTGTAGATTCACTAGTGTGACATGTGATTTAGAGAATTAACTTAGTTATAATTTTATCCATCCAGAAATGCTCGAAAGCAAGAAATCATAAAAGCTTACAGAAAGCTGGCATCCCAGTGGCATCCTGATAACTTCCAGAGTGAGGAAGAAAAGAAGAAAGCAGAGAAAAAATTTATTGATATAGCAGCTGCTAAAGAAGTCCTCACTGACCCAGGTAATGATGCAGTGACTTCATTTTTTAATTACTTTTTTACAGTAAGTTAAAAACACAGCAAGTGTAAGTCATAACAGGCATTACAGCTTCCCTCTTTTTCCCTTTCTCCCCTTATCTCTCTTGAGAAAGTAGTGCACTAATACTTGCATCCAGTATGTCATATGAAGTCAGATGTAAACCTGGAATTATTTATTTCAGTGTTTCAGTGATTTTTGTTAGAAGTCAAAAATTGTTATTTCCAAGATCTCTTTTTGGGATATCATCTTGCAGAGATTTCTAGGATTGAGTAACTCTGGATATGCTTACTTCAAGGATACGGGTGTCTCCTGCCTCGAGTGCTATTGCAAATTGCATTTAGATTGTAACAGCACCTGAAGTATTCCAGGGAAGCCCTGTTATTACTGTGCCATAATTCCATCTTGGCTTTCTTTCCTCCAGAAATGAGACGGAAGTTTGATGCAGGAGAGGACCCACTGGATGCAGAGAGTCAGCAGGGTGGCAGCAACCCTTTCCACAGGAACTGGAACACGTGGCAAGGATTCAACCCCTTTGGTTCTGGAGGAGGACCATTTACATTCAAATTTCACTTCAGTTAGAGCCAAGACTGTTTCTGGTGGCTGCTGCTGTTTTTTACTCAATTCATTGAAAAATAAAAAGTCTCTCAGTTCAAGACCCAAAATTTTAATTTCTAATGTTGTCCTTAACCCAGAGTCTTACTGCACTAGAAGGAAGGTCTTTCTTTCTTTTGGTATTCAGTGGGTTTGCTTGACAAGCTCACACTGGTTGGGGGGGGAGTTGTACTGCCTTTGTATTTGTTGTGGATATGCAGGACATGTTTATTCCCATGGATGGAAAAAACAATAAGATGCTACTTAGGACAACGCTTAAATTTAGGACTCAAGTATATGCTTAAAGATAAAAATGCATGTAAATATTTTTCTGGATCGGGGCCTAATAAACACGGCAAGGGTAGATACAGTAGTCTCCACATTAACAAACTGTTGGTCATGCTCAGCAGAACGATCCATCTCTTCAGAGGAAACCCCAGTGACCACCTGCTGTGTTGGTGTCGGCAGCAGCATAGGCGGGAGAAGAGCCTGTGTGCTGAACCAGTCCCAGCAATCGCTCTGGAAAAAGAGTGCTTGGGAGTAATTGTATTTGAAAATGTCTGCTCGCTTTGCTCATTAATGGATTGGGGTGATTTCCTGGGTGGTAATTGTCAACTATGAAACTAAAAAAAAAACAAACCACACTTTTTTTTCTGAATGTCATTTGGGTTGTTTATTTGGGTATGATTCTTGAGTAATTGGCACTTTAACAAAATACCTGCTTGAGATTTGAGCAGAAAATTTGTTGTGACATATCCCTGACTGTGCAGCAATTTGTTAGTTCTGTACATAAACTCAGAACTAAGACAGGTTGTGAGGTGAGTGTACTGCTGACCAGGAATGTGATATTGACTCCTGTAATACAACTTCATTTCTGTTGGGTGGTGCAACAGGGAATTAATACTTTGGGAAATTGAAGTAATGTTGTGTTTCGTGTAACAGCCACGGTACTGCAGAAACAAATGTGTGCAAAAAGAGGGACTAACTTCCCACTAGCCAGAAGTCTAGTTTATTTTTTTCTATATGCACATAGTTAAAATTGGTTTGGTGCGGTTGATGGAACTGTGAGAGTGTGATGTACAGTGTTTCCAGGGCTGTAGCTGGGAGGAGTGAGGAGTCCTCTGTTCTGTAACTGAGTCTGTCATAGTTGCTGATGAGTTTCATCAGCAGCCATTTTCTTAGAACGCAAGAATTACGGTTCATCAGTGTTGATTGCATTTTAACTGGAAAACAATAATCAGTTGATAGGAACCTTCTCTCACTTCAACTTGTGGCATTTGAAACCATAAGCAGCCGCAGTAAAACAAATGAAATAGGCAAATAAGGCCTTCAGTCTGAAAGTGCATTTTATCTTACTATAGTCAAAGTTGCTGTTGGAGCATAACCCTTGGCTCCTGCCCAAGTACTTCATGAACATAATTGCAAAGCCATGCGTTCAGCAGAAATTTATCTTCAAGCTGGGTAGCAGTGTGGTGGTCCAAGAGTTTTTGGTTCAAAACTACCCCAGCAGCCTGTGAAACCCCAGTGTCGGATGTTTCCCAAGTTGAATGACTTCCTAGAAGTTCAGCTTGTGCCTTTGACCTGTTGGAAAGTTTTTTTGCTTAAGCTCTGTACCAGATACTCAGGACACTGTTCAGAGCACTCTAGGCTGGCATGACTCTCTGGGACTCAGACACAGGAACTTGCTGCACAGTGAATAACCTGTTACCCTGTGGAATTGGTCTCTGTGCATCTGCTTGTTGCTGGAGTACATAAAGGACGGGCAGGTGGCTCTCATGTGTCCCCCTGTGGCTCCTCTCAGCCCCTGAGGGGGAGCTCAACCCAGCCATGCCTGTTGTGGGCAGGGTGGTTCCTGGTGGTTGCTCTGTGTGTGTGTGTGTGTGTGTGTGCATGAGCCACTGCTCTGTGCAAACCCTTCTATATCGGCTCGTTCACAACAGAGGGGGCTGTTTTTAAATGAGTATTGAATGAGCAGTGTAAGCAATATGTCACATTTTGTACATACAGGAGTGTGGTTGGGCTGCACGTCACAACAAGGACCACAGACAGCTGTGTTTGTGTGCTGGGGAAGTGATGGGAATGAAATGTCTTTCCAAGAACTGCCCGTGTTCCTTTTTTATTTTTTTTCCCCCTCATCCCTCTCCCTTCTCTGTTTTAAAAACCAGAGCTGAGAGAAGTGTTTCCTGGGGTTTACTTTTTTTTTTCTTCTAGAGAAGGAATAAGATGGTCCCTCATGAGTAAATTCTTCATACAAGGCACTGATGTTGGAGCATCATGGGTTTGTTTCTCTGGGGCAGCAGGACAGTTCTAGTGTACGCTGGGAGCATTCAGGAACCAAAAAGGACCATGTGCATTTTGAGAATGAATGGGAAAGGGAAAATTACATTTTAAGAAAAAAAAAAATAAGGGTTGAATGTAGTCAGTAGAAGAAGGAAGATGATTAGTACCTGAATGCTGTTCATAGATTTGTTCCATGAAAGAAAGGTTCTTGGAAACAAAGGCAAAAAATGACAGTGGAGAAAAAAGCTTTACTAGTATTGAGCAGCAGCTGTTTACAAGAAGTGTTACCACCCCAGTGCTATTCCTAAGGGCTTTGAGGTACTTCTGGAAACGCAGAAAGATGAAGTTTGTTAAAAAAGAAACCATTTACATTGCAAGGCTCTCCAGATACGGTGATGCATTTCCTGATGTGACTTTGGAAAATGAAGCACTGGTAACACGCTGAGTGTTAATGGTGCAGGCAACGTGCAAGGAAGCTGAACTCGCATTTTTATTTATTAGTGGGTGTCTGTAGTGCAATAATGTTCAATAACTGAACATTGGAATAAATGTCTTGCTAGTTTGTCAACCCTGAGATGTGCATGAAGCATCGTTACCATAACTGGCCTGTATGTAGATGCAAACTTCCTCTGTTGAATTCTTTCAGTTTTAATAAACCTGTTTCCAACTTGTTGTAAAAGGAAGGTGGGGGGGCATGTTATACTTGGTACATGTTTAATACTGATGTACTGATGATCAGTGTTAAAACAGATTCAAAGTGAACTACAGACTGAAGTGCTCAAACTTGTGACATATGCAGAAAATGTGTCAGCTTAAACTTTTTTTTAAAAAAACATAAAGCTTGTTATCATTTCAGTTTTCAGACCAATGTTTGGAACAAGAATTATTCTTCTGTTTAGGGCTGTGATTTATAGGAGCTTTGCCGGAAACTAGCCAGGATAGCATAGCAGGTTAGTTGTATTTAAAAGTGCCTTATTGTAAGGTATTGTTTGTTTGCTCTGTAATACACACTTTTATCCATAAAATCATAACATAAATGGCAGAATAATTTTTTTTCCCTCAGCAAATCTCTAAGTAGCAGTTTTATGTTATAAGAAGGATAAGTAAAGCTAGCCAGAGATTTATCAAATGTTTCGAATTATAAAATGTCTTTATATGAAATCATGAATCTAAAAAGCAAGAACTGTTTTTTTCTAGAACTGTGGGAATTATTTTATGGTATTTTTCACAATAAAGATATTTATGATGACAAGAAAGCACTGCTGTGTGTTTGTCTGCCCTTCTTTGCTCATCCTGCTCTGCAGGTTTGGAGTTAGAGCTGTGCAGAAATGCAGTACAAGGCTGCTGGAGTGCCAGCAGGCAGGGGAGAAGAGGGGGGAGGAGTCACATTCTGTGGTAAGAGAAACTTGAATGTTTAGAAGTCAACTACTGCAATTGTAGAAACCCTACTCAAGGCCAGTTTCACAGTGAGAACAACCAGCCTTTGGAATAATCTCCCCAGGGAGACACAAAGCTCTTCCTGACAGAGTGCTGGGCCATCTTGTCTGGACTGTGCTTTTGCCAAGGAAGGCTGGACCAGATAATCCTGGAGGTCCTTCCAACCTGGTATCCTATGGTTCTATGATTCTGCAATGTTTCAGAGTGAGGCAAGTACCTGATTCAGGGAAAAGGGTAAAAGGAACCTTAATGAGAAATATTTTCAGTACTAAAGCTCTGGCTCATCATCAGCAGTGCACTAATGTCTGGTTCATACATTTTCTGCTAAACTTACAAGCTGACACCAAGAAGATTAAGAGCTAGAAAAGACACTATAATAGCAATATGGATATAAATTGTAAAAACCCTTCATTTGAATAGTTCAAATATTACTTTGCTTATTTACTAATTCAAACCATGTGGCAACACTCCACTAATCCAGGATGTGTTTTCTTACCGCTCCTAGGGCAGAGCATGCAGCTTGGAAACAACAAATAAGCTTGGTCTGCCTCTCTTAAGAAAGTGCTCACCCTGCAGCAGGTCCCTTGTTGCTGTTGCTTCCCTGCAAAAACACTTTCTGTAGGTTAAAGGCATTTAAGGACTTGCTGCAATTTTTTTGCTTTGGATCTACTAGCAAAGTATTTAATGGCTATTGTATAATACAAAGATGGAGAACAGAAAATAATACTATTTTTTTTCTCCAGTGGCACCTTTTAATATTTTGTACAACATACACAATACATGGGTTTGGTATTAAAAATATATGCTAATGACTCAAAGTGCTGCTTTCAAGAGATCTTTAACAAGTAGTGAATATATTGGTGGGACCCTTCTTGTTCTATAAACCAATGTATAATCTCAAAAAAAGAGCTTTCTTTGAAAGTAGTATTATGCAGAAAAAAATATTGTAAAAATTTTTTTACAAATATATAAAACACTGCAGGAAATTGCATGACACCTTTTACATCTTCGAAAATACCTCCAGCAAATTGCATTTCTAAAAATTATATTCTAATCACTTAAGTAATCTCAAGGAAATAGTATTTAAACAGCTATTTCCTTTTTTAAAGCCTGTAGAAGTAATCCAATTCAAAAAAGAACAGGATGCTACAGAAAACCTGAACACAAAATCAGTGCATAAACTATCCACTTTTTATATTGCATAACAGAAACTTCCCACACAGATACCCATAAGAGAACTAAGGTTTCTTACAGATGAAGAACCATTAACTTCTGCCTTAAAACAAGCTTTCCAATGTACACTCCAAGCATGAGAGACCAAGGCAGAGGGATGTGAAATGCTGCTGCAGAGTAACACATCAGGATGGAAGTATAAGCTTCAAAAAAGAAGTGAAAAAGAAAAAAATAATGCAGCAAGCATTTGAATAATGTTTTTTTTTTCTCTAATATGGAATATCAGTTATTTCCTTCTTATGCATGGAATTTATAGTAATGGTGCATATGCATCTGCTAGGTCAATTTTAAGTCCATCTATATGGTATAAAAATACCAAGTTTATGTTCCAGTATGTTTGACTTGCTGGCTGATATTCTGACGTAATTATGTTAGAGAACAAGCATAACAAAACAGATACCGCACTGAAATGGGACAGTTAAAGGGAACTGACATGAGAGTTTACTGACTACTGCTAGTGTGTCACACGGGAAATGCTCCATTGGGTGCTTCCTACAAAGAAAATCCCACAAAAGATATTTAAAAAAATGTATGCAACATGTCAAAACTGTTCAAAATGCATAAAGGTAAAACAACAAAAAATACAAAAAGCTGTAAAAAAATTAAAATCTGCATATCTCATGTTCTTAGTAACAGGAATTGAAAAATACCAGCAAGGCATAATTTAAAATACTTGCTCTTCCATTGTAAACAACCAACATCTGAGGACAATGACAGTACATACAAAAGAGGCTTCATTTCTCTTATTGTTTATTCAGTTATTTGCTGGTATGGAAATACTATGCAACTCACTGTAGATTCACCCACTTAGTGCAAATTGCCTTGTCTTTCGTAATTTCAAGCATTTAGACTGAAAGACTGCATTAAGTTGTTCTTATAAGAATTTGTGGTCTCATCCAGTCCAATTTTGAAACCAGCACAGCCTAAACAACAGAGTATATATTTAAGGCACTAGATTTCAGTTTAAGTCATAAATTCCTCCTTTTCAAATATGCGTATTGCAAGAACTTTTCCCTGCAATTTTTGTGGGATCAAAATGTCAGTAGCCCACTAAAGCAACAGTTTTGTGAGTACAGACTTAGAAAATTATAGGAAACACCACTGATAATCAAAAATACTCACATATTTTATTATTTTATTTTCAGTTTTAAACAGGCTGATGATAATCAAAACCAAGTAGAAACAACTTTCAGGTACTGACCTTCTGATGCAACGTGTGCTAGTTGGAAAACCACCTTAACCAAAGTCATAATGGAATTTTATGACACACCCTTTAAGTGACCAAAAGGAGCCTAAGAATCAAAACTTAGTTTTTAAAATTTGTAAGAGTGCAGCAATCCTGCACAATAAATGAAAAGTGTCATTCCTTGTTTTTAGCTTCCAAGTTGACTTATCTTTGTGTGGTCTAAATTACTAAAGTTATTTTTTGTGTCTTATCTTTGCTACACTGAGATTCTTTCTTGTGACCACAGCAGTTCTCCAGGGACAAAACGATAGACATATAACCAAAACTCTTAATACATAAACTTAATGCATGTAATATGCACAAACCAGTTTTCATGTACATATTTAATGTGTATGTCCTCCCCCAGACTGACAACGTATCTTTGAGAAGTTGAACACCTCTTTCTTCATATTCTAAAATCCTCTGGGCAAACTGAACTTTAAAGAAGGAAAAGAAAACCAAACTCCACACCGGGTAAAAAAAGCCACAACCCCAAGTACCTGTGGATTTCTCGGTTTTGTATTGCATTTAAAATATTTTAAATAACACTATAAGTTATAAAATATTTGACTTAACATTAAAGAATGTTGCAAATAGTGCCATTGTAACATTTGTAACTCCCCTTCAGTCTTTTCCAGAAGACTATTGAGTTGTCACCATTGTTGTTCAAGGGCTGTGCTAAAGTTCATCATGTTTAAGACCTGTAACCAAAGGGAAAAAGAAATTATAAAAACAAGTTAGATAAAGACAGTTCTGTAAAATGTGAAGAAAGCCCTTTACTTTCCATTTGCTGCTAGTCAGTCATGCAACATGAACTTCATTTTTTGGAGCCTTGCTAAAAGTTGAGCATAAGCTTTCACAAAGAATAAAAACCACTAAGAATTCTTTACAAGCGAATTTGTGCCTTGACTCAAGACTTTTAAATATATATCTGCCAAGTTTTTTCTTCAACCTTAAGGGCTGAGATCATCTTTTTCTTTTGTTTTGTTTCACATTACTCCAAGAAGTCTTATTAGAAGTTGTATAAGTGTGTTTGTTTGTTTGGGTTTTTTTGTGGGTTTTTTTGGTGGTTTTGTTGTTGGTTGTTTGGATTTTTTTCTCATGCTATTTAACAAACACATTAGTAAATAAATAAGCTAAACTCTATTTGTAGCCTAAACCACAATTTAGTCTGGTGCAAAAAGGCTCTGCATACATGAGCCTGGAGAAAAATAGAGACTGAGTTAACAGACATGAGCTTTAGGTTATCTAAGTGACGTCTAAGTTAATATGCTTTATTCAATATTTGTGCCTCAAATGACATGTGATGGTTGTGTTTGAGGTCCAAGAACAGGACACCACGAAACCTTCTCTTAGATTCTGGCACGAAACAAAAGATTTTATCCTCTCAGTGTAACTCTTATGTAAAGAAGCATAACACAACCATAAAACCCCACACAATTTCTGTAAGAACAGGGAAAATTACACAAATAAAAGATTTGTGCTTACTGACTGCAATCTTAATTTGAACTATATTAATATTTAATTTTTAAAAGCTAACAGATGAATATGCATGTAAGTTACCTTTTTGAAATAACGACGTTAGATTTTTCTTCTCTTTTTCAATTTGCTGTATTAACTTTCGTATCTCAGAGTCGTAGTCAACCCATTCAGGAACTATCCGGGCAGCAGCCTCTAATTTTGGTTCTTTGGTTTGGGGATTGTTGCACTGAAAGTTTAAAACATATTAGATGTAAACTAAGCGAATGTGAAAATAACATCTCCTCAGAGAACTTAGCTCAAATAATTTTGTCAGCATTTGCAATGTCATTGAAACATGCAAGGTCAGTCACTTGGACATTATTATTAAAAAAATTACACTGAAATTGTAAATAAATCCTGTTCAAATAATTCAAATAACTCACAACATATAATTGTAAATACTTTTCCTTTTCCCCCTGCTCCTGACTATATGTATAGCACAGAGATGGCCAGGACAAGACTACTAAGATTTAGACAAAGTTACATGGGGAGATGCAAGATATACATTGGCACGCTGAGGTTGAATCTGATAAAGTTTTTTTTATTACATTTGTGATGCTTCCTCTAGTGTTGTCTAGAAAAATGTATTGACTACTTCCATAAAATAATATAAATGGAAATCTCAGTATCAAGTGATACATGACAATGGGGACTGAAAGAGGGTGGGATGGGGTTTAATAATGAGAGAGGAAGATTTTCTGTTTCTATTCCCAAAGAAAGATACTTTCTTCTTTCTAGACATGGTTAATCCCCTGAACATTACACTTTTTAATCTTTGCTTTATCTCCTGTTTATAGTGATGAAATAGACAAAGAAACCATAATAATATTAAGCCCTATAATCATCGAGTTCTGGAGGAACCTTCTATGTAGGGAGTGCAACAGCAGCACACAATGCCCAGAGAGTTAACAGTACTTCATCACAGCTCTAGAAACCAGGCTGAGTATGGAAAAATTATTAGGAAAATACATGTATGGGCATGAAAAGCCTCAATCTTGTCCAGTTAAGAGACAGCAACACTTAATTTTTTGGTACAGTTTTCAGCTTTAATGTAAGAAATTTGTAAGAGCAACCAGGAGAGGAAAAGGACTGAGTGTTCAGTGCCTTCCATCAAGGCTGCCTTCACGACATGACATATATTTACCTCAAAAGCCACAGAAATCACAGCAAAGTTGTTAATCTGTAAAACTAATTCAAGTCAGGATCAACTCACCAAGTCTATTGTTTTAGCCTTTTTCTTGGACTGATCATCACACCAGGTTTCACACCAAAGCCACTCCTGAGGGAGAGACTTAATGGCTACTTGATGAATCATGTTATTGGGGAGATCCTGTACAAATTTTGTAAAATCATAAATTAGCATTGAATGTAATGTAACTGGTTATCAAGCAGCTACTTAAAAGTAGAATCTTTGCCTATTACTCTTACATTTTCTTCTTCTTACATTTCCTTCTTAGTGCTCACCTAGTTCTTTTTCAAGCAGATTCAAAACTTAGTCATGCTCATTTTGATGCCAATTCCACCTCTCATTTACCAAGCAATTTTTTTCTTGCACTTACATCTGTCTTTCCTTAGCTTGACATAACAATACTTCTGTCTGATACTCGTGGTTCAGCCTTGTGGTACTGCATGTCATACTATAAATACTGCTAAAGAGCAAAACTTAAACCATCTCTCCATTCCTTAAATTTGAAAAAAATATCCCTCAAAAACCATATAATGCAGGATTACACCACTACTCTAAATTTAGACAACTTCTAGGAAAATGGATCCCAGAAACATGAGCGTGAGAAGGAAAAGCTATTAAACTGCTATTCTAGCTACCTTCCTTACTTTACTTTTTTTGTTTTTTTAACCTGTACTATGCAGTCAGGTACTCTCTTCAAGAAAACTTCAAATGAAGATCTTGCTGAATGTAGGGAGCAGCATTTACAAATCAGAAAAACCTCAGGCAGTCATTCACTGGCCATAGTTAAAAATAATAGGTGTAATTGGCAGATCCATTTGTGAGCTCCCTCACATGTGCAACCCCTACATTATACTTTAAAATAAAAGTATAATGTGATAAGTATTAGTCACACCTTATTTTGCCAATTCACGTTGCTAAATGTGACAGAATAAAACAGCACATATTGCTGCATTATGAAAGACGTAATTTATTTCAAATATAGACATTCAAATGTAAATTGAGAGCCAAGACATTAAACAGTGAAATGCTTTAATTTTTGAAAAACTTAAATTCTACAATTTTTTGGAAGATTAAAAAATGGTTTATCACCATCTCAATTTCAAAAGAAGAGAAACTAGTTTTCTGTTGTGCCTCTTTGACTTTGTAAATGAAATCACAATTCCTGAGTTACTACAATTCCTGAGTTGTGAATTTACAAATTGTTACATGGGGCAGAAAGTCAGCTGCTAGTGCCAGGATTTAAAGTAAACAGAAGAAAAGAATGAATTAAAAAAAAAAATCTAAACAAAATTACTGTATTGGAAGTCTATTTTTTATGATGTGTAATTTTTCTCCCTAGGAGTTCTATACTCACTCTCCTTGGCATTTAAAATCACAATTTTCCCTTCCATCCACTTCTCTTTTGTGGTTTATATTAGCATAACCTTAGCTACCACCCATGAAGGTAGCAGTGCTGGCAGATTAGCAAAGAGCTGAGATTGCTTCTTCTTTGAGAAGAGCAGTGAGCACTCCAGTCAGGTATTTAAAATAAAAATAGTAATAAAAAGATAACAATGCATCCTTATCAGTAGATGAAAGCTCTCCAGGACTCAAATACATTGCACTGTGGTCTGTATTTCTAGGAATATTGCTGTATTTTGTGTAAGTAGTAGTAATTAAGACAGAAAGTAGTTCCTATCAATACAGTCAGAAACCAGATTAGTACGAACATATTACTTTGAAATATTTTTCCAACTAATTCCAATTCCTTTCTGCCAAGCTTTAGCTACCTTAACATCTGCTCCTTAGGTGGTTTTTTATTTGATCCAAGAGTTATTATTATAAGAGATATATGCCACCATGTATTAATGCTGTAATTGAAAATATAAGAATCTTAAAATAGAAAGAGACACATTTTTAACATTTTGAGAACATTAGATAAATCTCATTACTATTTCTGAAAATCAGCATTATAGTGGAAGCTCTGTACCCAGCCTCTGAATCTTTAAAGGTCTTTGTGAAAGACAACTTGCACATATGGGTAAGACTATGTTTGGAGAACATACAGCTACATCCTATCAGGACTAAGTGTGATACAGGGACGCCAATTCATTCCATTGTCCAGAAAAAGAGAAGTGAAATATGGGTGTTGCTGTTATGTCAGTCTTTTGCTCTTAACAATTACAGCTAAAGGCTGTTCCAACTCCCTGTGTCCAGTCTACTCTGAGTTTTTAGTGTAGCTGTATTCCCACTTTTCTTTGTCCAGTATTATAAGAACTGCTATTTTCAATTTTTACTTTTATTTCTGGGGAAAAAAAAAAAAGGCAAGTGGCAATAATGTCCTTATGTAAGAGAGAGAAATTTGCTTGCAGAGCAGCAGGGTGGAAAGTAGGCACTGAGAGATGTAGGCTTTGCTACCGTGGGATCCCTTTGCTGCTATAGGCAGGTAAAAACCTTTTTTTTGCTTTAGGAATTCCACGAGGAAAACAAATAAAGCAGGGACAATCTCACTTATGAAGCCTTCTGCAGTTCACCCAAAGTGAGACATAAATAAGTATTATTGACTCAGGCAGAAATGTGATGAGCTGTTTACTATCCATCTTCTATCAATTTAAATAACCTCTACTACAGGAAAAAAGTAATAAATTTAAGTATGTTATGTTTACATGGGATCCACTTACATGCTTGTGACTGCACCCTGATGTACCTCATTTGGGTTTAAAAACTGTTGGAATTACATAAATAAAAACTACAGCCAGCACAGGGTGACGATGTACAGCAACCACCAGAGTGCCTTTGCAGTTAGCTTACAAAAAAAAATAATTAAATTTACATTGATGAAAAAAAAAGAAGAAAAAGGAAAAAGCTCTTGCCAAATAAGAATATAATTACCATTATCAGAATAAAGGTGAACAGTTCTCTATGTTGTTTTTTCCTCATTTTTTTTCATATTAAACAATTATTTAAAACAATAATCATTTAGTGTTCAGTTTTCTGAACTGTGCTCACATGCACAACTTAAAATGTGCTAAAACAGCAGTACATGGCAAATAGTTTTACAATTATATAACATACACATTGAGCTACACAACAATTCCATGCAATTTGAGAAAGATAAAGAAAATAAACCCCAAATTGCTTAAAGTCATTTATACCTGATCTAGATTTGACAGACTGTTTGGATCTTGACTGAGAGCCTGGTACTGGCCCCGAAGCCTGTCTCCAGCTGCAATCTTTCTGAACGTCTTCAGATCCACAACATATAAGGCACTAAAAAGTTTAAAAAAAAAAATTAAGTTGTGGAGTTTCACCTTCTTTTTGACAATATTAATAAAAGTAACAAGAAACTAAAACATGTTCCCATCCTGAAGGAATATTTTTCTTAATTAAGTGGCTAAAGCTACAACAGAAAAGTGAAATCAATATGTCATCAGAATTCATGCCTTATTCATCTCTTGCTGAGAACGACTGGAGGGCAATTGGTTTTGAAAGCCTTGGTGATCAATATCAAGACCCAGATTTCAATTAAATGCACACACTGCACAAAAATGTGTTATCCTACCTAATATGGTATTTCCTTTTCCCAAGATGTGATGCCCAGTATCCTGATTTCCAGAAACGGTACCCATCCATTTCCTTTCGGCTGTCACAGAAAGGTGTGTATCCATAGGGAGCTCCATTTAGATCTAGATCTCTGAGTTCTTTCAGGTCACTTCTCACAATCTAAATAAGAATATAGTTATTTCTACAACTTAGTACTGTTTCTAAGGTATGCATATGAGGGTAGGTATTGCAGCAAGTTTCACAAAGTTTTATTTTAGATTAAAAAAAAACCTGAGACACTACGACAGCAGAGTATAGATAAAATATTCCACTGGAAGATATTTACCAAATTATTCTTCAAGTTAAAAAGAAGTGTTTATTATCTTATTAACAATGGTCATCTGTGTAACACATTTAATAAGTAAATTAAATAAACCAGGCACAATATTTTTTAATTCATAGATCAGTGTTTCTGGTTGCCCAAGACTAAATTCCTTAATGAAAAAGAATAACTTCTAAAATCTACCAAGCATGTCCCTTTTACAGAATCCTTCCTATTTGTTACCTAACTTGGTATTCCAAAATTATTGCATCATTTGAAAAATCTTTGTATCGAGTGATAAAGTACTTTTAAAAATAGGTTATAATGACATTTTACAAATGTCCTTTATTTACTGTGCAATCCTTCTCCATCTAATTTATCAGTGGTAAAAAAAAAGTTTTAGCTATTTGGGTGTAGAGAGAAATCCTTACAGCTGTGAGGACAGACAACCAGTGTTACCAGATGGTGTATCCAGATGAAACTGCAGAAAGTTGCAGTCTGCATTACTACACCTAAATTCAATTTATTCTCAAGCTTTGGAAAAGGACCAAAATACATTAATACTTGTCCTGACGTTTTTAACAACCTTGTGATAGACTTTTCAATGCCTCATCTCTTGGAGACAGCATTTTGTCTTTCAGTATATTATACAATACTCATTCCTCAGTGAAAGACTGCGTACAAATTTAAAATAGAGACAAGATTAATCTTGACAAATTTCAGCCATCTCGAAGTTGTTCAAATGGTCCAAACTAATCCCCTCAGACTCCTTGCACAGTGGAGAAGTCCTCTCACAATCAGTCCAGAGACTGATTCACTCCAATACAGTTTCAGTGAAAGGCCCGTTTAAGATCACACTCACCTCTCCAGGTGCCTTTCTCTCTCCACAGACAATTTAGGACAACTCAGTGTAGTGACACTCAATGTCCACATGACTAAAGACAAGTGAAATTATTGCATTTCACATTCTGCAACACCACTGGTTCTGTTCATACAGCTGCAGTATTCTTACGAGACCAACGTCTGAATAAATGACCATAGGGGATGAGACTGCATCAATTTAAGCCCATATGAATTCCTCATACATTTATTTATATACTATTATTTTTTCTTACCTGGTCAGCATCGACAAATATTATTTTATCCACAGCCAAAGGGAAAAGAACATCCAAGAAAAGAATTTTGTAGCCCCAGATAATTCTCTGTTTTTCTGTCTGTTGATAAAGCCAGCGGGGCCACTTATACTGTACTAACTCATAGTTGAAACCATACTTTTTAGCCATGTGAGGAATAACATCCTAGAAGAAAAAACAAAAAAAACTATTAGGTGCACATATATGGGACACAGAAGGACTCAAAAGGAAAAAGAGCAAGTGGTGCAAAACAGCTGTAGCTGTACTGGCCTTACTGACTACACAGTTTATTACTCTGAAATGTTTCTTTAGTTTTAGCAGTATCCTCAGCTACACCAGTAGTAAAAACATTTTATGCAAGTTCTTGGAGACTAGCAGAAGAGAATAAATTATTATAATTTATCACTGAGCTTTGCATTCCACAAGAGAAGAATCTTATGCAGAATACTTTTAAAACTATTAATATTTAAAACTATTAGTATTTAAAACTATTTAATCCACTCAGAGATCATTTTCCGCTGTGAAAATTTAATTTGAATTATACAGTTACTCAATTGTAATTTTAAAAAAATTATTTAAAATTTTAAAGAAAAAAAATAATAAAAGAAAGACTTTTCTCCTACCTTAAATGTAGGGGAGAGGTAGTTTTTCAGAAACCAAAATTTAACTGGTGTTTTTGTATGACGTAGGACAGAAAGCATCATAATTCTGTGGAAATATAAGTCTATAATAAACAAACAAATACACACAGGTCATTAAATTAAAACTGCACTTAAAAAGTGTTAAAACTTTCTAAGTATAATTTTCTTTTACCCAACTTAAGCAGAATTATCTATTTTTAATTAAAAGCTTTAAAGAGCATGTGTTCAACACTGTTTTGAGATGGACTTATTCGATTCACATTGGCTAAGCAACAGCAGAAGGAACAATTTCAAAAGTGGATCTATTAACAAATTTTATTCTCAGAGAATGCCTGACAAAATTAGAATAATGATTAATACCTTATATTAACTTATGCAACCATATGTGCATATAGTAAACCCACAGTCTGGACTAAATACAAATAGATACAATTCTGAATACAAGATTATGAAGTCACTTCTGTTACATCTTTATACAGAGAGGCTGAACTTCATCTTTTATGTTTGTACTTCACACATGAAAGACAAGGAGAACATTTTTCTATCTTCAAAGAATAATGGTACTTTTGAACATCTGTATGTTGAATCACTTTGTTCTTAAGCAAAGAGTAATATAGTCCTCATTGTATACAACCTTTCTATGTATTGACAATTTATTATTTTTATTTTGTTTAAAAAAATCAGTTTCTTTAAGCTGCTTAGTGCTAGTATGAAAATTTAGTGTATTGAGAAGAAATTCTTGTTTCCCTTTTACCTTTCCTTACCTTAAAAAACGTTCATATAAATGGCCTGAAGCAACAGAAAAAATGTTAAGAATATCACTTTTCTTTTCCTTCTCTTCTGTTGGAATTTCTTCTGAAAATCTAAAAATTATTATGAATTATTATATAAAGTAAACATTCAGCAGAAAAAAAATACTATATTATCATTAAGCTCATAAAGAATCAAAAGTAAGAAAATACACAAAAGAAATACTTATCCTATAGTAACCAAATACACTCCCACTGCACATGCCTATGATACCAAAATCTTTTGGGAGCAACATCTCATACCCAGTCACTCGGGACAAGCAATGGCACAACTGCAGCCTCCAGTATTTTCAATCAAACAGAACTCATATTTGACAAGAACTCCACATTTTATCAAAATAAAAATAATCAGAAATACATGCAGCCATATCATCTTGAGAACTGGTAGTTTTTAAATTAAAACCCAGTTATTTTCCATTGCTCATCCACATGCATTCTACATCAGAACAACCAATCCATGTTCTTGGGGTGAAGAATGCCTGCAATAGTCCTCATAGGTGGTTGAGCTGAATATATTCCCTAAAATACAGACTGAACATAATACAAAGATGGTCACACCAAATCAAATCACATATTTAACTCACTACCATCCCAACAGCAAATGGCAAGCCTGAGGAGTAGTAGCCTTTCCCAGAATACCCTAATAACATTCAGTGGTCTGTGATGATAGGATTTCCTGAGTGGTTTTCATAATACTCGCTGAATTCTTCCTTAAATTAATCCAATTACTCTCCCTATAAGCTAACCTATATATTTGAGGTACATTGTCCAGATGTTTTCTATTTCTGCTGCACAGCATTTTTTGCTCATTTTGAATACCAAAGTCTACCAGGACTGGTTTTTCACCGTGTATGCCTTCCAGCACACACAACCAGGATGTAATGGCTGCAGTCTTCCTCAAGCACTGCTTCATTGATCTCAGAACTGCAAAGGCTGCCTTAGCCAAACTCGTTACAGTATGGCTTGATATTGTTGGAAATTCACCTCAGTAGCCTTTTTTTTTTTTTTGAGGTCAGTCATTCTTCACACACTTAGATTGCATGAGTCACTCCTATTAACTTTTCTTCTGGTTACATCCCTTTTTAAAGTATCCTTTAGAAAGTAAAAAAGAAGTATCCCTCATAGTCTTTAAGAACAAATGAGACAAGTCTCACATCTCCAACATATTCAAAAGAGTTCATATCACTCCACTAATATAATGCCGAAATCCTAAAGGCTGCAATGTAAGTCATATGAATGATCTTTTTGAGAAAGATTATTCACATTGTTTTCACTCAGCCATGGTAAGAGCACAGTTGTACCTGTTCAGGACTATAGCAAATGCAGAAGAAAGTCAGTGGAGCAGCGCTGAGTGCACTGTATGGCATCTCTAAAGATGACAACCTCCCAACTAGCATCAAACTTTCACAGGCTAAACAGATTGCAGCTCACAGTCCCAAGCAGTCAGTCTTCCTTCTTCTTGACTTTTTATCTTGTTTCTTATTGTAGTGACAGCAGGACCAAAAGACTCTCAAGGTCTTTATAATGCAACCACCATGTGAAAAAAAATAAAATCAGGTTTTCATAAAAGGATCTTGAAAATATTGATTATGAAAAGATCTACAAAAAGGCAGAGATCTTCCAAACTGAACAAGCTGCTGGACTGACCTGTAAGGTCACATGGGAAAAGCAGTCAATTGGGAAAGGGCTGCTCAGTTATGAAAGGATTTGGGCAATGGTATGCATGTGTCCCATGTCAGAGCACACGTGATTTCCTCTAATGAGTAATGTGCTGGTGATATTCTTTTCATTCTGGGATAACAAAGAGGAAGGATATTTGACAAGTTCCTAGATAGCAAGAGGCTGATAGAAAGGGCAGGCCTCACATTGTGCCCTTGAGCCACAACTCTGAATCAATGGGAAGAAGAAATAAACTTATTGAGTGAGGGGCTTCAATTGCCCAGCTAAGCTCTGAGCCTGATGCACACTGATGAACTGACCAACTGTGGTAAAAGGCAAGACCTGAAAGATTGGGAGATCTCTGGCCTCGTAACCTTGTTAGAGGAAGTTAAGATCTTGATCACCGCACATACATCCTTTGATGCAGCCAATAAGAAGTGGGAAGCTTGAAGATGATGAAAAATTTCTTTATCTAACATCCTTCTGAAAAGAGACACCTTTGTGCAGAAATGTTGGTCCACTTCCTTGACCTGTGACTTCACGAAAAAATTTTTGAGAGTTGTAGTATATAGTCTAGTCAATATGGGTATAAATTGAAAGAGGGGAAATTTAGGTTAGATATTAGAAAGAAATTCTTTATTGTGAGGGTGATGAGATCCTGCAACAGGCTGCCCAGGGAGGTTGTGGATGCCCCAACCTGGCAGTGTTCAAAGCCACGTTGGATAAGTCCTTGAGCCACTTGATCTAGCGTAAGATGTCCTTGCACATGGTGGGGGGTTGGGACTAGATGATCTTTAGGGTTCCCTCCTACCCATACCATTCTATGATTCTGTGATACTGTACGAGTAAAATCATCTGTGGATAAATGGTGATAAACATAACATCAGCAACAGAGACTCAATATAATGTCCAGGTACTTGTGGTACAAGAGGTCTTTTCAAGAGAGATGATAAAGCTGAAACAGAACCCAGCCTTGGATCTACCAAGAGACGTGTGTTAGAGGATTAACTGGGGTCAACTTTTTACTAGATAAAGTAGAACTGCTATGCCTTCTCTTTATTTTCATTAACAGTCTGCACCTGAGAACCATTACCAAAGCTACTGAAAATGGAAGAAAACCTTTTCTGAGTCTTGCTTAAAACAGCAAATTAGAAATACTACAATGTTATTAGCCCCAAATGTAAAGCTTGAGGTGTTTATTGCAATTACTTATAGAACTCAGACTTTAAAGTAAAAGGTATTTTATTGACATATAAAAACATTTCTTGAGATTTCATAAATAATGTTTAGCAGCAGACAAGCACCATTGGCCTGCTTTTTGATGTTTATTTTCACGTATCTGAGTACCACATAACTGGCTGGGATTTTCACATTGAGATTGATTCCCTACCCCAAAAAAATAAAAAAACAGTGGGGGAAATGAACAGGAACTAGAAATGCAAAAGAAGGATTAAAAAAGGAAGTAAGGAGAGGTACAAGACATTGTAGCTTTTCTTCCCCCTCCTTGTATTTATTATTATAAATCCCTTGAATAGCCTTTTTACATATTACATATACCTATCAAGTAGGAAACACTTACTTGCTGTGAGTAATAATAAACATGTGCTGGAACAGCTAAACTAGAAGCAAATTATGCATTACCTTGTAACTGATTCCAGATTTCCATATTTTCCTGTTCCATCTGTAAGGAGATCTTCATTCATTTTATCAGGCTTTTTCTGTACCTAGTCAGTAAAATAAATGTCTTTGTGTAATTTAGGAAGTTGGTTGATAGTAATTACTACTTCAACTGTGATATCTAACTATGCTGTACTAACTGGCTAGAGCTGGATCAACATCTGGACCAATTTCTATTTCAGTAAAATACTTACTGAACTGCATTGAACTACATACTTTTAAACTATGTACAGAACTTGCTGTATTAAATGGTGATTAATAAATCAAACAGCATGTTCAAGCCCTCTGTACTTCTTTATGCAAACACTAACTACAAGTGTGGGGAATTCTACCTCATTTTCTACACTCATGAGTTCGTGATCCAGCCATTAGCTGGCAGAAGTGTAGCAGGGTGTTGCACCACACAGTGGAACTTCCCTGAAGGGAAATTGTCATTCTCATAAGCCCTTCACAAGGAGAAAGTGACAAATTTGGCACTGAAACATAAGCTCTTCCACACAACTTAAGCAATTTCTGCTGTCTTATCCAGGTGCATAATAAAGACTCCAAATCAATTTCATTTGCTGCTTTAATTTCCTTGATTAAAATAAACCTAATTGCTTTTGAAAACCAAATAGCTTCTAAAACCCTCAATGTCTGAACATACTCAATTCTAATCATATTAATTTCACATGATCATCCTGTCAAGCCAATGCTTACAGATTTCTGTTCACACTACATCACGAGTCTTTTTAGCTAGTGGTCCTGAAGCCCCATCCTACACATCACTGAAGTGATTCTGCAGTTCAACTGAATGCCAGACCTTACATATTCTAGCTATAAGCTTAATACGTGCCACCTCTCGCATCAAATAATTTTCATATTTTAACCCAAATGGCACCCTTTTATACTTTTTCTGTGGTTTAAAGGCAGGCTCATCATGTTCCAGAGTTTTACACATTTTCTCTGGGTTCTGGAAACTTTCAGTTACAGGACTGGGGAAGAGACACATGTCTGCGGTTTTAAAAATTCCTCTTGTACTTACATTTACATTGTTCACTCTCCTTCTCAATGTCTAAAATTAGGATACAACATACCAAGGAAATCTACACAAAATGTTATTTACAAAACAGAGGAAAACATATAATACTATGAGGCTCTTTCTCCTGAATATAACTCATGCTTAATTAGCTCTTTTTGATGCAGTTTTAAGAATGGAAGTAACGTAATTTCACTTACACAAATTTGGTAGCTTAGGGTAAAATTCAATACACCTAATTTTAACTTCCACTTTGGTATCTGGACTTCATAAAAAATCCCTCTCTCGTCACTGGAGAGAAATGAATGTCTCAAGAGGTGCTCATGTTGCTGGTTTAAATACATATATAAGCTGGGATTAGTAGACCTTTGGACTCTCTTATTCTATTACGCATAGAGGGAATTTAAGTCATCTAGACTACATATTTGGACACCTTGAGCTAGATGAGATAAATCTTATCTATGTTTAACCGCTATTTAACAATCTCCCATGCAATTAGTATAACCTGATTGGATCAAATTAACTACATTAATTTGCACATCCTTCTCTTTAATTACACAAAATCTAAATTATATATTTCAGTATAAACCTTTCAATTAAATATAGCCTAAGACATGTAAGCATAAGACACATTTCATATAAGGAAATGCTGCATACATACTTGAACTTTGATAATTTTGCTTCTGAAGTTGTTTAACACCACAATAATGTCTGTCAGGTCAGCAACAGAATCTGTTCCTTCATGGCTGTGAGGAGAAAAAGAACCCATGCAAAGTTACTGTCTCATTAAAACATGCATTGTTACTTGCATTTAATTAGAGTGTAAGGTTTAGAATTGTTATTTATAGAAACAAAATTTCTTCAGTTTCACCTAACTGTATTTTAACTTCATAAACTTTCTGAGTTTTAAGCATCACTAGACATTGTCCACAGTGGTAGCCCTCGCTTTTTAATCTGGATTTTCACAGGGAAATTTATCAATCAATGAAAAAATGCAGCAACTTGGAGCTGAACATGCTATTATGTATTAAACGGGTATATACTACATTTAAACACTGAACTAAAATTTATTTTTCAAATACGGAAAATATCTTAGAAATTGCTGTGCAATGGCATTAAATGTACTTTTAAAATAAACCTGCTTTAAAAAGCATAGGGAAAGCTTCATCACAGTGCTGAGATAGTAAAGATTGGCTTTCAACTAGTTAGCTTTGGAAACTGTACCCCTAAAGACATGGCTGTGCAAGCACCTCATGAACATATGCCCCACTGAACATCAGCTTAAACTATCCAGGCATCTCAAAACTGTACTGCAGTCCACTGAGTAACAAGTATAAAAATGTTGCTGTCACTCTGTGATACAGTAAAATAACATAATTCTCAATTTTTCGAGCTTTTATACCTCAATAGCCCATATATTTTTCCTTCAATCTTTTCTGTCTTTAACAGTACTACGTGGTTTCCTCTTGCTAAGGCTGTGTCTACAAAAAATGGGTTAAAGAAAGTAATCTGCTACCCCTTAGGCATCATTTTTCCCCCTAGAAAACAGAAGTATTTAGATCTTGTTTCAATCTCTTTCATACCCCTTACCTAAAAATGACAAGATTTTATATAGTTATATGAATTTTCTATTTAATACATTTTTGTGTGCCTATGATCACCTAGTTTCATAGAAATGGCCTATTCTTGCACAAAACAATGTTCAGGATTATCTTGACTTTTTTACTCTGATTTAGTTGTATGTTCACACTTTTAAAATACTGCATTTATGCACACTCAGTCAACAATGATCTTCTTATCACAGGGACCTAAAGCAGTCAACGGGCAGAGTTCTGCATTTTAAATAAACTGTACCATTAAAAAGCTTTAAAATAGTACAACTAGATCCAAACACAAACTGCTGACAGCAGCAGCCAGCCCAGTGTTCCCATTTTTGCCCTCAGTTTTTACACAACCAAAATCTTCTCTCTTATTCACTCAGTTACCTCAAAATCCCTATGCTATGAATTCTGTTGGTAGCTCTGCAGCTCTGATGAAAGAGATGTTTTTCCAAAATGTTTACAATATTCTCAAAGTGTTTGGTTTGGATGTAAATTTAACAACACTGTTTTGTCTCCCTAAATCTCTTTTGTGGATCCCTCACTGTGGGCTCCGTCTTTACTGAGTGCCAACTGTTTCACTCTGCACAGCCCTCAGTTTGATGAATTTCTGTCAGTATGAACAACCTTTTTAAATGCAAGTAAAATGTCTCGTATACTGGCAGCACTATAACATATGTAACAAAAACTACTTTATTGTTATATAATTGCTGTACAAAGCTAAACTTCTCTACCAGACTACTTATGTCACTTTAAAATGTTTCAAAACACTTAGGTGCTTTTAATATAAATACAAATAAGTATCAGTATAATATAAATTATAATTTTCCATATGGGGAACAAAAGCATTCAAGTTCAACAAATGGAGACCCTTAAAGAAACAAACAGAAAAACTCCTTGGCCAAATTATAAAAGATATAACTTTCAGCTATGCAGTCTGCATCAAAGTCTAATAAATTATATCTACCTGCCATTTTAAAAAATGAAGTCTTCAGCAGGATTGTATATATATATCTTTAGATATAAACTACTTTCTGCAGCCTTCTCTTGTAATACTTGCTTGTTTTTCCACCAGCTTCACAGAATCAAAGTTTCAATAATAAGCAGTGCTCAGACTATTGCTGGGTACAATAATTTTCATTTTACTAATATTCATAGTAATTTATTAATAACATTTTGACTGCTTCAAAATAATGATCCTTGTTAGAAGCAGTGTTCAAGAAAATAGAGGCAGCTTTTTCAAGTGTTGTGTATTTACAGAAAGTAAAAATAAATTACTTGCATGTCTATTAGATGCAACTACAGGAGAAGCAAATAAGCATTGAGATGTAGAAAGTGCTGTAACTTCAAATTCCTGTATTTCTCCTAAAGCTGCTATTATAATGTACGGGCCTGTGCCTCAAAGAAAACAGATCATCTCACATTTCAACAGGAGAGGACATTACTAATATATAAGGATGGAAAATATATTGCAATACCTCTTGGCAAAATTCCATCCTATCAAATAGTTGCCTGAGTTCTGATAGCAATTTCATACTAATAATACTGACACCTGTAAAAGAAATACCAAAGATCCTGGTACGGCCTCCCAAACATACTTTTGCAGTTGTGCCCTAAATATGTAATTATTACATGGCATGTAAAAATTAAATGAAATAAATGCTACTGTTTAGATTCCTAATCAAGTATTAGTTTTCCTGACTTAGCTGAGCTCAATTAAGCCCATTTGTATTTCTTCTTAGGGAAAATCAGTAATCTTACGAAACAGCAGATGATTTAAGTTTCCTTTGATGCAGCCTAAAATGTAGAATGGTTTTGTTTCATTTTGTTTAATTTTTTAATTCAACTACACCTCACTACATTATTCTTTTAACCACGTCATCTTACATAAATCACTTTTTATATCTTAAGAATTGAATGCTAAATTAGACAAATGATATAGCCACAGTGGGTGGAGATTAAGTGATCTTCTTAGGGTAAAGACTATGCTTTTCTGCTTTTCCAACAGATTGCGAGTGGTTTCTGGGGAAAAAAAAATTGAAAACTGTAAACAAATAGAATGAACCTAACATTCCATTAAGATTTCTCCCTGTAACACTGAAATTGATGTATTAACTAAATATTCATAACCATAAAGAGGTTAATCAAGTTTTTTAATTTTTTTAATAGTAGTTGATGAATAACAACATACAGAACTATGTATTCCTGAGCTCCAATAAGAAATATTTCATAGGACGTAGGCTTGTTTCAGGTCACAGAATGACATTGAAGGAGAAGAGAGATAAGGGAAAAAAAAAAAAGGAATGAAGAACTGAAGTTGAAATAAAATAAAACAATACTGCTCCTCTAGAAGGGATTTGATCTAAAACTTCAAGAGGAAGCCCTCATATGCTACAGATCTGTGCTGTTATATAAAACATAAGAAAAAGATGATTCTTTCAAGGAATAGTTGGAATGATGGCTAGCATTTCTTCCTTTATATGAAAATCAGCCATGGAAATTACAGATTAAGAAGTCATAGAGATGCCAGCTATATGTCATTTACAGGAGTACAACTTTCTTTCCATATACAGAGGTTTCTCCCAAGAGAGGGAAGTGTGGTGCACTCAACATGCAGCCAGGATCTCGAACTGAAGGGTGCTTCTACATTTTAAGGTGAAGGTGTAAACCAAAATGATTCTTAGATGACTTAGACAACTAAGAAACACTCAGAATTAACTGAAGAAAAAAAGTCTAGAAATGAATATAATAATCCTATACAAAAAAAAGATGCCTCCTATCAATAAGTCTACATTCAAAGGCACCCTCAGGACTGAAAAAAAAATGATGAGAGGGAAATTTGTGGTACTTCCTCCAGCTGATAAAGACACTGCTGGAGTGCTAGCAACGATCCACTTGACATATTCTTGGAATTACATATTCAATATGTTGGGAATGTCAAAATATTAATCAACAAAACCATGAGTGACATTTCTACAGAATTTGGTGTGAACAGTTGTATGATAAGGTTATCCATGCATGGAACTAACAGAGCAAGTGTCTGGTAGCTGTGTAACTGTATAGTAAGAGACCTTGCTCGCATCAAGCCCAGCTGAGCAGTTTAGGCTTATTACGCATTAATATATTCAAATGCCTTCAAAAAAAACCCACATGAAGCCATCAAATAACAACTTACACTATCAGGAAATAAGGTATCTCTTACAAACTTCAAATCATCATTTGCATCTTGTTCTTTTTTCGTAATGCTATTTTTGCTCATTTTCCTTCAGTATTGTCAGATCTTTTCCAAATATGTTGCACTTTCAGATTCATTTATAAGTGTGTTTCCAAATGATGGATTAATACTTACGAAAAAACCTGATAAATCTCTTCAGATCTTCCTTTACGCAACCTCAGTGTCCAAGCGCCTGGATTTGCTTTCAGCTGAAAATATCCCTATGAAAAAAAGACAGGCACTTCTTCCATCTGCATTTCAGACTCAACCATCTACATACACAGAAATCAATTATCCAACATTTATACTAGCCCTAAAAGAAATGTGTCAGTGATGCAACCAACTATCACCTTTCCTGCATGTCCATAATCATGTTTTTCAGTGCTCCATTCATTTCTAACCGAATTTGACTTGTATACAAAAAATCCATCAAGGACAGCAAGTAAGTGAGCAGTAAAGAAATAAATTACTGAACAGACCCTAAATTGAAAACCTTCTTTGAAACTTAAAATTTTTGTCCTGAACAACTTTCTGTGTCAACACAGCTCCTTTCCATTTTAGGAACACTGCAAATAGCTATCACTGTGTGAAAGTCAGGTGGAGCAAGCTTTGAAATTTGAGGAAACATTAAAAGTTTCATCATGCCAAATATCACCTACTGTTGAAACCGTATTCAGTATCTGTGTAAAAATCAAAGATTTATAGTTTATTAATAATTTTATTCCTTGTGATATAGTATTTACAAAGAACAGAGAACAGTAGATAGGTAAGAGGTCTTATTCATCAAAATCCTTCCCTATCAAATTACCTTAGCCAATAGGAAACAAATCTTTCATTTCAGAAATCATAGGGTCTTCTGCTCTACAGACTGCCAAACCAAAAAATAATTACTTTGCATGATGAGAAGAATTCTGAAGTGTGGATATGTCCCATACAGGCTGTAAGCGCTTACCTGAAGGGTCTAAAATAGGAGCCTTCTTTTGCCTGGATCATTGTGTAACAAAACTGGTTATTTTAACCAGAATGTGAATCATACCTTACATTTGTCAGTGGAATCTCCATCTCAATATAACTACCTCCTACCATCTACTAAAGGTAATTAGGCTCCCAGTTTAGGCACTTCAGGTTAGAGCCTAAAATTAGGTCATAGCCAAACCTATACTAGGATCAGAGGAGGAGCAGGAGGAAAGTTCAGCAAATTAAAGATGGTCTCAACTCCAGGATGTGCCTGTTACTTTTAGCATTACTAAGCTTGCAACACAGAGAAATGGATTTAAAGAACAAGATGCTCGTAAAGAATTCTCACAGAGTGTGCAATTGTAATGACTATTCGTGTACTTAACACTTACAAGGTTGGCCATCACAATAGTATCAACCACAACAGGATTATTCTTTGTGCCCAAAGTGAACTGTAACCCTCGAGGAGGTTGTCCAGTTGTCACATCAAAGCAATGCCCTTCAAGCAATATATATTCCAGTTCATATTCTGCTATAACTGCCCCTTTTACCTATGGAAGGAACATTTCATCATTACGTCATTTAACCGTGTGGGAAAAAGCAACATATTACAGTGGCAAATATGTTGTATGGGATTTACCCCAACTTAATTCAAGAGTCAAAAAACCCCAGAAAGGTCCTTCCAGAAGGAACTTCACTCAATTATAAAACAGGTATCCAAGATTAAGAGGAAGGATCACTGTCTGGAGGTACCTTCTCTCCACTGACTGTTGAGGAAGTTGAGGTATCTCTGCTTTGGTAAGGTAAATCCCAACTTTTATTTTCACAATACACCTTCCAAATACACAGCTCTGGTCAATCAAACATCCTCAATATTTTGCATAAGATGATGACCAAAACAAATCTAGTGACTTTGAAGATGAGGGATTAAAATATAACTAAAAGAACTGTAAACTAAATGAGGGTGAAATACATTTTAACCTACATTAAAGAACAGTCATATATTCAGGTTTATTTGAAGATTTACCTAGGTTATAATCCTATTACTACCAAAAATATATATAAAAATAAAAAAGAACTAGGAAGCTACCATAAAGAATCCTTTAATTGCTTTACTTATTTTTGTAAACATAAAGCTTAACATAACAGGTAAATTGACTTGACTTGTACTCTGCATTCTGATTTTTTTTCTGTTTCATTGCTTTCTTTTAAGGCTTGTCTTTTTCTTTTTTTAAGTAAGAGAAAACAAAAAAAAGACCATAACAATAGAAATGGTAAAATACTGACTAAATAATCAACTACCAAAGAAAATATTTCTGGAGAACAGACACAAAAAAAAATCTCACAGTATTTCCATTTCCCTCTTGAAGTAGAAGGTCCAACACAAGTTTTATAGTGTTTACAAACTATTACCTCCTGTAAATGAATGTTATCAAGATCACAGGAACTGTTTACTGCTTCAACCAACCAGCTTTCTGGAGTGATCATGTTTAGAGTCAAAAGAAGCGATTCTGGCAATTCTAGGAATTTTGCCACAGGTTCAGAAGGAAGGTTTTTGTTAATCCCATAACTTAATTCTGGTTCCAGAACAAACCGATAGAAGCTGTTGAAAAAGAAGTGTTAGAAAAAATATTTACTAAAGCAAAAAGTTCCAAACGTGAAGTTCTTCTAAAATACTTTAAAATATAGGGAATGTTTACCAAATTAATGAAGTTTAGAAGCACAGTAGTTCCCTATGTGTTTGGAATACCATCAGACAATACCAACAGGAACTCAAATGGGCTGGTAGATGAACACATCTATTTGCTTTTGATAATTTTTTGCTGTGGAAGTGCATATTTTCCACTAACATTCTAAGGGCTGTGAAGGTGAATAGCCAAGAGGTGCATCTGAACATCTTGACTGTGAACAGCCTCCTATTCTCAGATTCTGTATCACTGAACTAAGCAGAGGGACTAATCTCTATTAAAAGAAAAGAGTCTTTTAGAACTGCTCCTGACACTAGCAGAAGCAAAGACAGAACAGAGGAAAGGCAGTGGTCTCTCTATTCCTCTCCAGCTCTTTACCCCATTTATTCCACAGCTGAAAGTTCTCCCAAGCACAAGAAAAGAGCCAGGCATTAACATCTGCAAAGTGCCCAGCTTTAAAAGCAATCATGACAATGTTCACACAAGATTCTCAGAGGACTGATGATTCAGACACTCTTGCAGTCTAAGAGATGTGAGTAATTCCTCTCAAACCGAAGAGAAACTAAGGACTTTCGTTTTGTGGGCAAGTGATTCATTCTCCAGCCCACTGGTTAAAGGGCAGGCACTACCTTTCTCATTGGGAATTAGTAATAAAGATATTAAAATTAGAGGTAAAAGAGATGGCTGTGCTTAAACATTTCTCCTAAAGGGAAAGGAATCCTCTCTGGGGAATTCATTTCAGTGTAAATGTCTATCACTAAATTAGCGAACCTTGTTTTCTACAGAGAATTGAAAGAAACTTCAATTTATGACAGTACTTTCAGGGTTTAATCTTCTTTCTGAAATATAGTGAGATCTCAAATGCAGACTGTACATTTATTCAGATGAATTTCATTATTAAGAGTACTGAATTTGTAAAATTCATTGCACAGACAGTGAGCTGTAAGAAGGGATCAAGTTAGGCAGACCATCTTCCTCTACGAATTTTCATAGGCATAAAAGACTCTCCACTGATTTCTCTGAGATCTGTTTATAAGAGGTGCATTTGATGGACTGGATCACTTCCCTGTGATCCCATGCTTGACACCTTAGAACAAAATTTTTTCTCTAGACAAATGCAAACTGCTAAGGTAACATTCAATGAAAAAAGAATCCAGAAACACAGAGCAATGTTATTATTTTTAAGGGAACATACACTGTTAAGGCTGTTTTCCCAAACTGAGCAAGATCATAGAAGAAAAGCTAGAAACTACTTACCTCTTCAGTGGCAGTTCTGACAGCTTAGATTTGCAATTCAAAAATAACCTGAGCTTCATATTGATAACGTCCTTGAGTACCTACAGAAAAAAAATCTCTTTAAGAAATGGTTCTTGGTAATCACCAAACCTTGAAAATAAGCCAAAGTCATCCTTGCGACATCCTGTAATTTCTCAAGTTTCAGTAGAAATCTCAGATTTTTTAATGTTCTAAATATATCTGTCTATTAAAGGATGTTGTCAGATATTCCAAATAAAGATATGACCTTTTCTAAAACTGCATGATTTAGCATATGCTATTCTTGATAGTCAAAATGTTAATGTTTTCTCCCAGTGATGCTGTTTTACGAAGAGCAGCTGCTCCCATTTTCCAATACTTGAGTAAATTATATTATCACCTTTCTTACATTGTGTTTTCTAGAAGATTTTAAAACACTTGAAGTTCTCTAAGTACAAACACATACCTTTTACTCAATAACTTGTCTTAAAACGATTACTTTCATTCTTATTAAAATAGTTGTATACAGAAAATTGCTGAATACAGAGAATTATTTTAATACTTAGTTACTTAATAATTTTACAAGTCAACAATACATTAACAATGTATTAAACCATTCAATCAACTTCAAAAAATTTTAGTAAGTTAATATATTTCTACTTTTTTTTTCCTCAGTTTCTTCATCTGTTTATTTCTAAAATACTAATGTTATGGATGATTTTACATAGGAACCATAAAATTAGAACAATAGCTTTTTCTTAATTTAGTGAGCAATCTGTTTTGTTTAAAGCTAACAATGTTATTAATTTATTTAAAGCGCCCCAAAAAAACCTTTATCAAGTTATCTTCATTTCTGTGCTTTCTGATACAAAGTGCTTATCTGAAAGTATAAAGCATCTGTGTCTACATTTATGGATATTATTAGAATAGTCAATAAGATATAAAAGCTAAGTTAGAATATTGATACCACTGGGGCTAAAATCGAAAATTATAAGGGCAAATAAATTGGGAACAAAGCAAGACAACGGTCATTGTTAAGTTTCTCTTTTATTATAACTGTATTTTTTCCTTCCTCAGTTCAACCCATGGCTTACACACATTTTTTACTGCAGTGCTGTAACTTTACATGGCCCTAGGGACCTGTTCTATTCCTAGTTCCTCATTCCTTTGTGTCACCTGAATACCATCACTGGAAAACTACTGAACAAAAAATAAAGGCTAGGGAACAAGTGAAGAACCAAGAAACAGGAACCCAACAGCACTGGAAGCATAAGAAGGGAAAGTAGTATGTGATGGAAGTTTAAGACCATTAAAATAGAGGTCCAAGTGACTCAAATATCTATCATTCAGAATAAAAATCATGATATAAATGTATTGGACTTCACCTCCAAACAACACAAACCCCTCATCCCATTATAGCAGGAACGATACTTCAGCAAATCTGCATTGATAGGATGTTGTGTGTAGAATGAAATGATCCTGCAAAAGGCTGAGGTATCATCCTAATTCATCAGCTGACCATGACATTTAGTACAGTAGCAAAAAGAATAACACCATTCTTAATTAACATTTCAAAGGAATTTAAATAGGAAATGACAAATAAGACAATAATGCATTATTTCTGTGTTTTTCAACAAGTCAACTTCTGGAATACTGAATTTGGTTCTGTTATTTAGGTCTTATGAGGACACCAAAAGCCAGGACACTAAAGCAACACATGAAAATGGTTATAAGATTGGAAAGCCTCTTTTATAGGATACACGAAGAGTTCAGTCTGTTTACTTTAAATCAGAAAATTCAAAGAAGAGCATGTAAATTTAGTTCACAGAGCATTTCATACTGTAAAACCTGGCTGAATTATTTCAGTTTACTAGGTCTGAAAATTATTTAAAAGCAAGTTCTATTGTGCATATGTAGTCACTTTGCAAAACACTTAAGTTACCACAACTCATCTGAAGAGCATTAACTCACTAAACCATGGTTATTCAACCAATCACGTGGAATTGTTTGTGAACGTCACCATAATACAATGCATCTACACTGAAAGCAAACTCTTATAACAGAATCTTCAACAGAACTGGCAAAATAATGAGAAGATGAATGCTTACAGCATGGATCTAAATAAAAATCCATAAAGCCAAGTCCAAGTCAGGTTACTTACCCACTGGAAAAGCTCAGTAGGAGCTCCAATCTGCACTCAACTACTTGATAATATTTAAATTAGGAATTGATTAAGAAAATATTTCTACTTCAGATACTAATTGATAAAAAGAAGTCCTATGACCCGTGTTATATAGGAAATCAGACTATATTATCAAAAGGGCTCCTTCCAGGACTCCTTTTACTTTAGGGATGGAATAAGAGTTTCTCTCTGAGGATAGAATGAATATAGGAAAAAAGGCAAAAGATAATTGACAGGAAAAAAAGAAAAGGTTTGATTTTTCTCTCCACATTTTTAAATTACTGGACACCTACTAGAACAAGAAAAAGAAAGGCAGACGATCCTAAGAGTATGTATAATAATTTTTCAGCTGTTTTTGGTGAACCATGAGTTAAAAACAACACAACACTTTGATTTTGTCCTCCATTTTAGCAGAAGGAATTTCAGTTTTTTTCACATCACCTTAGAGATCACCTTCCTAACTTCAGAACTAATTAGCCATTCCATATATTCTGCTAGGAACTTATGTGGTCCGATCATGGTTAAGTTATGGCAGGTATTTAAATATTTACTATAGACAGTGCCTGTGCCTTATCTGGAAATACTTGATGCTCAAGGCTGTAACGAAACTTCTGAAAAAGGGAAAACACACATTATATGGAGAGTGCTACCTGCCTCACTCTGGAAAGGATATAGAGCAGTTCTTATGGTACAGTCCAGTATATATTTTAAAAACAGACAGAAGCCTTTACTCAGCTCTCATTCATGATCTGACTCATACCATGCCTCCATCCTTAAATTGCCAGATTCTCAGACTAAGCAGTAAATTTTAGATTATATTTTACCTATACCTATTTACACCCTTCTCAATTTCAATTCCACTTAATCTGAGTAACTTTTTGTTGATATTTTAAAAAAAAACCAAACCAAAAGATTTCTCTGTAGAAAGTGACACAGAAAGTAATACAATAGCCTGGTTTCACCAGGGCTAAAAAAAAAAAAAATCATGACATGGACATATTCAATGCAGACTGGGCAAGAATCATGTGTTTGCCATGGTAGCTACTACATGATATAGTAATTGGAGTTGGATCAGGGGTTGGACTTGATGATCTTGAAGGTCTTTTCCAACCCAATCTATTCTATGATTCTATGATACACAAATTTTGCACCATGAATGGTTACCAAAACAATAGACTGGGCACGAATCCAATTATGTTACTCAAAAGAAGAACCTTTAAATACAAATACATTCAGGTGCTTAAAGTTTACAGTATTTAAGTCACCCATATATACAGTAAGATAAGCAGAAAGGCATCCATTTAAGAACTTTGAATTTGGGGCTTGCTGTATATGTATGCCTGTTTTGTCTCTACACCAGGCCGCGGTGGCTTTCCAGATAGTTATATATATTTTTAATATATAATTTCCAGGTTATTTTTAGTTTTTTAAAAATATTATCAAAAAGTGTCATCTACATTAAAATAGTTCTGATTTGTTTACTTTCAACAGCATTTTATTATTCTCTCCTAAAGGCTGGCTTCTTGAATAAAACTAGAGCTCCTGTGAATCAAGTAGGATCTGGGATAGCTGAACAGCTTGGTTCACCATGGGAGTCATTTGCCCAGGCATGCATGAGGGAACCTGTTGTGCCAGGAGGAATGAAGGCTTCTGGTCTGAACTGCAAGGTTCTTAACGTGATTTATACTCCTAATATGAACTTCTGGCTAAATGGAGAGTTTCCAGTCAATTTCAACATGCAAATATTTTCATTTGGTAATACAAGCTTTCATTTTAACTGAGAATAGTGAAATGAAAGATCTCATTCTAGAGAAAAGCTAGCATTTCAGTGTCCTGAAATATCAGAATTTTCATGAATCTTTTAAAACATTTTACTTTGCTTCACTGTTATATATGAAGAGAGAGTGGATGCTTCAACCTTTGACAAAAAAGGGTATGAAACTGTGAGGGGAAAAAGCAATATAAGAATTTACAAAACTTGCATAATTACTGAAGAAAAAAGAAGATAAAATGGGATGCACCAAAAATCAAGTTACAGGCTTCAGAACTGTAGCAGACCATAAAGTGAAGACAAAATTTGCATTTTTATGGGAAACTATAAAGGAACCTGAGGCAGTGATATTCTGCAGTAAGCGAAAAAAGAAAATCATTTTAGCAGCTATGTTTTTAGGCCCATTTCTCTTTCAAACATCAATAGCTACACACAATGGAAGACCATCTAGAAATACTCAGTAGCATTAATCAACTGAGAAATACCCCTCCAAGAGCTGAAAGGTTTATAGTCCAATCTTCTTATGATGATATTACAGGTCAGATTTAGACCACCTCAACTGGGTACCTTGGAAAACTAAGGTGATCTGGTTTAATAGAATGAAGCATATGCTTCTTAAAATTTTGAGATGGGAGATTCTATTCCTCTGTATTATGCAGACAATTTCCTCCTCTCCTTCTATTCACTACAAAGAGCACTTATGGACTCACTTTTAAGAGGACTGGTGCATGGGGCATATGAACTTCACTTGCAAATGAAGTACTCACAATGATGAATTAGGTCACCCCCAACTTTTTTATATGAATTAAAATGACTAAACACATATTTAAAAGAAAAAAAACCCTAAATTTTGTTTAGCCTTTTATTATACTGTACATGAAAATTAGAACAAGTTTAGTAAAAATTAAGCTACAAATACGTAAATTAAAAAAAATTACCACCATCTTACAATCAATAAATGAGACATCTTCTGTGCTTCTCTTGTCAATGGATCCACAATAGCAATAACATCATAGAATGGTTCATTTTGTTGGGGGTCGACTTTTACTACGCTGTTAAAAAAGTATTAAAAATATTCATTAAAAATGAAAACTCTGAACTGAATTTGTGGAAATGACAAGCATTTTTAGGCATGAATTTGTAATATCAGAAGCACTTCAGATTTTACTATTCAAGAAGACACTTCCCTCATTTCAAGCAATAATCATGATTGCTCTCTGAGATATCACTAGGGAAGCTAAATGAGAACAGACATTAAAAATTTAGCATTGATCTATATAGTTCTATACTGGTTATTGATTAGATACATTCCTCACAACAAAATTAACAGAATAAACCATAGTAAAACTTGGAAAAATATGGCCTTTTTGATACTCATCTACAGTTTCCTTCACCAAGATCTAGAACCATCAGATGAGACAAGTGCTGGCAGTGCTACAATTTAGAAAAAAAGAAAAAGAACCAAGCAGTGGGAAAAATGGCAACTGAGAAGTGTGAAACTTGACAGGATGGATTAGCTTTATGTGTTCCAGAAAATAATTTAGTTTGATAAACTTGATTAGACTAAGTCAGGGAGATGCTATTTAAAGTACTCTAGATCGACAGGAAGGAAATGTTAGTAAACCTCACTTTAAAAAAGACAAAAACCAATGTGCTGTAAATACACAAAAGGGACTGTCTGAATTTGTTTTCCACAAAAGGTATGGTAGCAGCACAGTACTGACTGTTACTAGTCAGTAACTAACTTTGACAAAGGTGTCAGCCTCTTAAAACAGGCTACTACTGATTTTACTTCTGTTTTCAACAACAGGGACAGCCCACCAAGCCCAGCACACTGGAGGACATTTACCAGTAAAACAAGTAGGTATTCCAAAATAACATTTCAAAAACCTTTAGCTTGATCATAGTTCTCGTGTTACCATATGTCCTTTCAAAAAATGCACCTGTCTCTCCAATAAGCTTGCCCCAGCTAAGCTTAATTTAAAACCAGCATCCCCTTACAGAGAGGACAGGATTCACAGATGCCCATCTTGGTACTTCAGGTCTCATTCATCAACAATAACAACAAAAGGTGACAAGGCATATTCACTTTCTAAATGCAGGCTTCCAAACACAAGGAGCCAACACACAAGTAAGGACCCTAAAGACACATGAGCTTCCCGGGTCTAAATCTGCTGGCTGATGACAGGGGGTTCGCTTTTCCTTAAGGAATTAGCTGCCAATGAGCCCTATTAATTTGCATTTTAATGTAATCTAGTTGTATTAGCTGTGGTCAAGAATGACACTGCAAAGCCATAAACTGTTATCCAGGTATAAGCACATGTATATCAGTCTTGGCAACAGTAATCAAGATCCACAGACATAAAAAGCTGTGCTAGTTTTCCACATTAACAAAAATTAATGGAGAGTTCTTTTAGTTCTAATCAGTGAAACTCCTTCTAACATCTCATTAAGTGTATTGACTCCAAGTTTTCTAACTCCGAATCAACCACTCCTATTCACATCAATTGTAATCACTCCTTTTTCAGCAAAGTATAAGGTTGGAAAATCATTAGATATTACTAATTAATTTATAAAGAAAAAGGTAAAAACACATTATGCTATGGCAGATGAACAGGTTTGTTCATACAAACACAGAACCAACAACTTCTTTCCAAACTGGAATGCTTACTCAAGTTTCCAGAGACCTCATGTAGTCATCAGTACATTCTAATTTCTGTATGAAAGTACTGTAAATGCATTATCACGACAGACAGAACTTACCTGTGCTGCTCTTTAAGTAATTCAGCATCCTGTCTCGTCTCTGTTTTAGGCAAAGATGACAGCAGGGCATCTATTTTCATAATCAAATCACTGCCACTATATTAAATAAAGCACATATAGTTCTGTTTCATTAGAAAAGGAGTAAAACATTTATATTTTAATGTCTGTCTGTCTGTCTGCATAATATTTAAGAAGCCCATATCCCAAACCTGGACTCTTTAAAGGAATTATCACCTCAGTATTTGTAGCTCTGAGGACTAAAACCTTTAGCATGACAATGCCCAAGAACCACTACAGCCTTAGAGCTTGTGAACTGCACACTTCTTAATTTTAACTGATGCAGAATTTGCAGAATTATAATTCAGCCACACAGTTTCGATGCTACAATCTGCTGACATTTATAACTCTTTATTCCTTCTTTTTCTTATTTATTTTTCAGTGTGACTAAGTCACAATATTTGTCTGAATGTTTTGCCTCTCACTACTTGTCTCCTGGAATCTAACTCTTGCTGATTTTGTTTTTCTGGTAGTGATTCTTTCAGTTGCGCCAGTCCTTCCGGATAACAGAAATGATACTCAGACTTAGTAAGCCAACAGATATTGTAAAAATAACATAATTTTGCTCTCTTCTTTGTACACCATCTGGGTCCTTAGACTAAAAGATGTCTAGAACTCATCTCTACATGTGTGAATGTTGTCTGCACACATGAGATGAGGTGAGTTGGAGAGGATGTGATTTTTTGGACACACACAGGGATATCTTATGCCTTAACCTCATCACATATATGTGCAGTGACAAGAGAGTGCACTTCTTTTGAGTAACACAGGATGCCTTTTATTCTCCTCTGTGCTATAACAACGAGGCAACAAAGAGGCTGTCACCATCAGGATGACACAGGCAGTTGAAAACCAAAATACACAGTTTATATATATAGTGGAAAACTATGTTAAATAGCATAATCAGCCAAGCATAAAGGTGATACAGAATTTAGCAGATGTGTAATTTCTTCTGGAAAACAGGGCAAGGGCTGGAGTAGATAAGTATATTAAGTCTGTCAGGGAAATGCTAACCAGGCAATGAAGGACAGACAAACCTGTCTGCACAGAAGTATTCAAATGCTAAGCAAGAGGATAGTAAATATACAGCATTCAAACAACAAACACTTTAACTGCATGTAGAGTGTATATACATAGCATGGAGAGTACTATGACTATATACTTGAACCTTTAATCATATTTTCCCATGCAAAAAGATAATTAATTTGTCACAGGCAATAAACAAGACAGGACATCATAAAGCCTCAAAATGCAAGAGAATTTTACCTTTTACTGCTGTTTCCCATCTCTTTGACAAGAGCTTTAATCTTCTCCGCAGAGGTACTGTATGTTATCTTTTCTAACAAATCAAAGTCTTCTGCATAGAATTCATTTTCATCTAAAGGACCCAGTACCTTAGATAGAGAAAACAATGTCATTAAGTGTGGAATGTCCCAATACTGTTCCATTTGTAAGTAACAATACATTAATATTTTAAATGAATGCACAATATTCAACTCCCATCCCCATACACTTCAATATTAGTATCTATAAAACACTAAACTTTATAGTAACCATGCAGAATTAGGTTTCTACGGTTATGTGATTACAGTTAATTTTCAATCACAAAAAATACTTGCAATCGAAATATCCATGCTATCTTTCATTATACGTCCCTTTGTAAAGGAATACACTACTTAGAAATAACAACTCTAAGTTTAAGAAGAAGTTCTGTTAGGTACATTAATTTAAACTCAAATTACTGTCTGTCTACTACACTATTTAGTTGTTTAATTCTGTGAGCACAATCTTAACTTCTCAAGGCTTTCTATCCATTCTAAGCAGAATGTACAGAAAGGAAGAAAAGAGCAAAGGATAAGAAATGCAGAATAAGAGACAAGATATAGAACTACTATGTTATTTTGGTGTCTGAAGGAAAAGAAGGTGCCTTGAAGTTCCAGAAAATAGCTTTGAGGATGCTTGTTTGGATTTTCTACTCAACGTCCACCAAGCTAAATGGACCCAAGTCAACTTACACAGTGCCCAGGATGTAGAATGTCATGATGTAAGTTTGGCGTTGAACGCCTCTCTCCCAAAATTCAACTGCTTCCTAAAAATGAGAGGTTATGTAACCTCTCTGGAGTTATTTCACTTTTGACTGTTTATCAGTATTAATGATGTATGAGATAGATGAAACCACAGTGTGATTATAAAATACCATGCTAATTTTGTACAAGTTATAACTAGAAAAAAATTTAATTTGCTCATGAAAATAAAACTAAAGTGCTGAAATAGCTAGGAAAGAAGTGAAGGATATCCCATATCTTTTTTTTTAAAGTAATCTTTTAAGTGAAAACACACATTCAGATGGAATGTGCACTATCAAATTTATCCAAGTATTTTTAGGAAACCTATTTCCCCAAAACTTAAAATATGACATTATTTGAGCTTTTTAGGCATAGAAAACAGTAATGATAATTTATAAAATAACATTGCATATTTAGCTATGGGGGAGTTGACACCAAAAAAGCCAACAATTCTTTTGTGCTTCATCAACAGAAATGCTTTCTGTGTGTTTCTTAGAGGTGTTTCAGTTGCATCTCAGAAGCATTTAGGATGCACAAAAGTAACTAAAGTCACAATTTAAAGAGAGGTTCCAGTAATGAGATGCCAACACAATATCTCTTTCTTTCTAATGGTGGAGCAGTAAACAGAAAATAGAAAAGAGTAAAGGAGTAGTCTGTATAGATTTTATTTACAATGTTAGATATTGACTGTCATTTAACAAGTACTAAATATTGAATGCAACATTGTATTTTTTAAATCACGGTTCACCTACAGACACACTGGAATTAAGGGTATTGGTTCCAGAATATACATATAAGAAACAAAAAAATTACTATACTTTTATTTGAATATTAAGAATTAAGACTATAAAACAACTTAATATTTATAAAAAATGTGGTGTTTTACAACTTGAAATACTAACCTAGACAATGTAATTTATATATATTTATTTATGTGGTATAATATAGGTAAGCTCAGGATCAAAATTTATTCTTAAATATCATAAATAAAAAATCAGATATTAAACCATTTAGAGAATTTCGTCAGATTAACTCTAAAATAGCTGTGGGAATTACACACATACATAGCAGCTTCAATGGAATAGACCTCATGAAAAAAATAGGAGTAAAACAAACTAAAAAACCCCAAAGGCAAAAATTCATACCATTCTCTAACTCTAGGATGAATAACTGGGAAATTATTATAATGCATTTTCTTTAGCTTGAAACTGAAGTTCCAGGAAGTAAAAAATTCCTACAAGAAGACTGAGTGATGAATTACTTTCTTTCTTACCCTGCCATTGCTCATAACAGCCATTTGCCCAGGAAGCAGTTTAAGAACCTCCTGGCAGAACATCTGGTGGGTTTTAATTAAATCCAGTCCTAAAGTGTTGTACTTCTTCTCAAAAGTATTGCCATCCATTCCCTAAAGCAAAGGTAAAGCATAAGATGGTGGAATGATTCAGCAAAAATAAATTCTGTAACAGATGAGGTAATCAAAGATTTTCTCTAAGTTATGTGGTAATGAGAAATCAAAGCAAAACAACCTCGACTTCAGTGTAAGTACATGACTTTGGTGTGGAGCCAAGGTCTCACAATTAGCTGGGGTGCTGTTTTTACCCTGGGGCAACTCTGAATTACCGTGAGAGGAAAACTGAGCCTGAGGGTAAGCACTTTTTCCACAATCCAGCACACAGCTGCATGAAAAATAATATTTTCTGTTAACAACTGAACTATATTCTCACTTTTAGGAAAAAGATGTACAAAAAATCCATAATACCCCAAAAACCTAACAGTCATTCATGTGGCCACTGGATACAACTTGAATGTTTTGGGGAAGCCAACATCATCCAATAAGACACACAACAAATCCATGTCTGAAGTGGGAAAAAATGTCAAAACTTACACTGGCACTGTGCCTTACCTGTCAAAATTATCATGCTATATTAAACTCTCCTGATATGTATTTCTTCACTAGTAATGTGCAGACCAAGCAAATAGATTCGCTCAGATACAATTAATGTATCAGAATAAACAAAACAAAATAAATCAGTAACATGCCTGCTTGATTATCTACCTTTACGTCTTTCAAAATCCATTAAAGAAATAAAAGTATGACTCAAAGCAACTAATTAATTTTCCAGTATGTTGCCAGTTCTCTTAGTCTTGCAACACCTCCTATTTAAAAAGACGACAATTTATAGCTCCTTCTGAAACAAAACCTGTAGTTAGCAGCTGTTATTTGATAACTCAGCTCCACTCTACATGCGAAATTTGAAATCAGCAACATTTGTATTTTAAACCAATGAATTTGCATAAAAACAGAGCAGAAAATGTTGTCCAGAACTGTATAATGCTTCAGTCTGTGCCTACTACTGCTCACAACCACAGCAGCAGTAAAAAGTTACTTCTGAAGTCCTAATTCTTGAAAAACATTAATATTGTAATTTTAACTGAGAGCTATAAAAAAAAATCAACAATTAAAAAATAAACTATTTTGGTTTCGATTATCCAGTATCTGTACTTTCTATTTTTCAGTACTCTTGCTTGACTTTAAATAAATTCTTTATTCTTCAACTGTATAAAAGTTGCCAAAAATCCAAATCTGCTTCAGCAGAAACTGTATAAGGGTTATAAACTTAGTAACATTTGGCCACACGCTGTCACTCTCAACCATGCCCCCTTACAATAAAATATATGTAAAATGAAAAAGAAAGTAATCTAATTTAGTTTTTACTCACTGGGATGAGGAATTTAGTAATTTTAGTTCCAGCAGCAAGGGATTTTGCTGTCTCTTCCTTACTGAGTTTACTGAGGAAACTTTTTAAGTTGCTGTTATTTTGTGTTAGAAAAGCAGACAAAATTCCTCTTGCAATGGCTGTGTTAGATTCCTTTATTTTTGATGAAGGATTGTTCAAAATCCCTACTCGTGTATGACTGCTTGTTTTCTGCAAAGAAAAATACAGAATAATAAGCATATTCATTTACAATTCCATCTGCTGTTATGTAGTGTATTCATATCTCTGTGAAATGAACTTAAGTATTTAATTTTTTTGCAGCTATTTGTCTTTAGAAAATATACTTCAATGCTGTAATATAATTCATAATTTCAACTAGGAGTTAAAACATGATTAGTAAGGATTTACCTATTCTGTAATACATATTTTAAATAGAAGGTTTTTTTTAATAGAACAATTGCCTTTGTGCATTTTGCAGAAGCATATTTTTAACAAAGGATATACACAAGTGTTCATTTACAGACTTCAGAACTGGTTTTGTAGACATTTTTCTGTTTTTCAAAAACTATCAAACTAAGCATAAAATAAATGCAAGCAAATTTATCCACTTACCCCTTTAATCTTAATCAGCAGAAAAATCTTTCACCTGCTAAAGTCAGTGATGCCACTCAAATTTTACCAGAGAGCATGAGGATTCTAAGGTAGGATCAAATAGCATCACTAACCGAAGAAAAGGTAAATGGACTTTATTGCAGTAAGGAATAAAAAAATAAGTAGTGCAATCACTGGTACTCAACACACTAAACGTTAGCAAACTTTAAATTGCAGCCCTTGAGAAAAACTTTGTTAAAACAGTTATGGTCCCCCCCCAGTGCAGTAAAAGATGTTGAAATGCTGGAGAGGCTTCAGCAAAGGGCTTTTAAGATGGTCAGAAGACTATGAGGAAATACTGAAGAACCTGGGCTTGCTCAGTCTGGCAAAGAGGAGGCTACAGGGGACTCTAATAGCAAACAACTGCTACTGAAGGGGAATGAAAAACATGACTGGGGCCAAATCCTTCTTGGTAGCAGCAGAGTATAACAAGGGTTAATGGTCACAAATTTTGGCCTGGCAGAAAAAACTGTATTAGGAAGGCAGTGCAACACCAGAGCAAATTCTAAAGAGAGGGGACAGAGTTGCCACCTTGGAGATTTCCAGGAATCCTTCAGACACACCTACAGTTGACCTGATCTAATAAAGGCAATAATCCCACTCTGAGTGGGAGGCTGAACTGGATGAACTGTAAAGGTCTCTTCCAGCTAAGACATCTCTAGCTTTTTTTTCAAATGAAGTAAAAATATATTTGTAGTTTTCAAAACAGTATATATTAGTTGGAATAGTTAAAAGTGAATTTCCTTCAGCCACTTTCCCGCCCAGATTCTTGCATGTTTTCTTCAAATGCTGATGGCAAGTCATGAGCAAGAGGTGTTTGTGCCAATTCTGCAACTATCAGAAATTCTACTAGACCCTGATTTGATAGACAAAAGGGACTAGAAAGGAGAACCTCCATACAAATCAATGGACTTCAGAAAAATACTGGTTCTGTTTTTTTTGTCATGACACTTGAAAGTCACTAGACCAAGCAGTACAGGAGGTTTATGTGAATCAATCTATGAATTAGAATGAAGATAACCAATTAAACCGCTGTTGCACTGAAGATTCGACAAACCTTATTCAGAATGTTTTTTTCTAATAGTTTTCTTTCCTAGATTCTCCTTACTAACACATGGGGACTTGCCTAGGCAGTTCTCACCTCTTAGCTGGGAATATGGAATTTTTCCTCTGCTGAAGTGGTGGGTAGAAAACGAAACTACAGATGGAAGACATGTCAAGCTTGGGTCACTGATCAAGCAGTCAGAGAAATTAAATGTTTTTCTGTAACAAGGACTTGTACTGAATATTCCTCTTTACGTTTTTTAAAGCCTCTCTCTAATACATACTTGTTATCACATGCTCTCTGCAAGATATCAATCTTCTAATTCCCTTAGGGTGGTTCCTATTTCATTCCTGATTGGAAAATGTAGATGCTTTCCCAATTTCAGTTTAAGCACTCTCCTAACCTGACCCGAACTGAGAGTTTTTGGTCATTTATATTCACATGAGACATTTACACTTTATAAAGTATATTTACGTATTTGTATTTTAGACATTTATACTTTAAATCATATTATTAATACAGAAGAACTTAAAAAAAAAGCAAACTCATGAATGTGGATGATCCTCCTAACATATTAAGAACACACAAACAAAAATTAATCTGTCTTTGAAGCACACAAACAGTACATGAAAAAATGGTCGCTTCATGACCACAGTTATGCCATATAACAGGAGAACACTGCATAATGGCTCACATCAACAGGCAGTATGCTAAATTCCTTGGCCCAGGTCACATGCTAGGCTACCTGATGGGAGAAAGTCTGTAACTGGGAAGACATTCACCCTTTTAGTACACAGTGTCATAGTTTCTCTCCTGTGTCATGACCCAAGAACCAACCAAATAATCATTTCTGGGGGGGAGTTGGGCAAAACAAAAGCACAGTCTCTCAAGTATGCACCTGACCCACAAAGAAAACGTTGTTACACCTTTATGTAGCAGTATAATTATTGAATGTGCAGAGCGTTGTTAAGAACATGTTCATAATAATTAATTTCATAAAACCTGCTAGAAACTCACCAGGCTTTTCAGGGCATTAGAAAGCAGTCGTCTACCAGATGGTTTATCAAAATCAGCAATAATCCAGATAGTAACAGCATATACTGTGTCTTCATCTGAAAATTAAAGATAATCCTGCATTACTTTCTGGAGAATCTTCTCACAACTAATGAATAATGAATTAATTAATTCTGTTTGAGATTTCAAAATTTATGTGTATCTTTGACTGCTGACTTCAATTGCAAGACTAATCTTTGCCACATCTGAATCTTTTGTTCTCTGAATTGAAATAAGATTCTTAGGAGGTAATTTACCATGTTAATAGGACAAAGTCACTAAAAGAGCCAAGCCATTGTTGCAGCACTGAAACAAAAGGGCCCTAAGTAATAAGATAGCTCCAATTAACAAGATCTGCTTTACCAGAGGTTACTTGTGAACATTGGATTGGAGGCTGCTCATATAGCCAGAAATGAGAAGAATTAAGTCGTTACAAGAATGCATAAACTAGGCCAACCACTTTCTCTGGCAGTAGAGTCCTTCAACTAAATGCTGAAAAAACCTTCTGGAGGCAAATGGGAATAATAATAAATACAGTCCAAAGAAAGTAAACTACTGTGTAAGTGTATTTGCAGAAAATTTCCTATTTTCCTGCTCTGCAGTCTCCTGTTCTTTACTTGTCATAGAAGAGGAACAGTATGTGAAAAATTCTGCAAAATTATCTGTAGAAGAATATCAGTCTACCCAGGTCTATCCTATATCCCCTAAAAGGTAATACATATAGACAGAAATTTTCAAAGGTTCTGGTGAGATTCTAGGAAGAGGTTATTATTAACTCTTGCTGTGGTCTAGAGAAACATACTGGGGACAGAGATATGAAATATAGATTCCAGCTTAAAGGTTATGGGCTTTACACAAGAGATCTCAATCTTACAAATAAGCCTAAAATTGAAAGTCAGTCATTTGACAGCTAGCTGGGATGTCCCTATGGTTGAAGACACAGAATCAAATAGAGCCAAATAATTGTATTCTGAAGAAATTTAAGTATTTGGCATTTACTTCTGATAACGGAATAAGTAGAAACTCTGTAAATATTACATAAAAATCAGTGAAAGAACAGCACTTTGTTAACATGGTTATTCTGTCTCTTGATGGACTGGTTAAGAGCAATTGTTAACTGTTCCCTCCTAGAAGTAAATAAGGTAAAATTCCATGCAGAAATATGCCCCCTCTGTTGTAATTTCCTCTAACTCCAAGGTAATGTACTTGTATATGCAATAAGAATGTTTACATTAAAAAATAGTTCAAATGTACAAAAAAATTGAGTTTTAATAAATATAAAATGTATCAATGAGTGATAATATCATAGAATCATAGAATCAACAGGGTTGGAAAAGACCTCCGAGATCAAGTCCAACCCTTGATCCAACACTGCCATGGTTACTAGACCATGGCACTCAGTGCCACATCCAGTCTCATCTTAAAAACCTCCACGGACGGCGAATCCACCACCTCCCTGGGCAGCCCATTCCAATGTCTTACTACTCTCTGCGTAAAAAATTTCTTCCTAATATCCAACCTAAACTTCCCCTGGCAGGGCTTATCAGAATATATTTTATTTCTTTTCTACAAAAAGACAAAGTTTCATATAGCAAAATTAAACCACCTAACTAGGCGAAAAATAAGAAGATACTTATGCTAATAAATAAGATATATAATCAATTATTCCTGAAATTACAGATATGCCTAATTTTGGTATAGATATTACAAAGACTATATATTCTGCATTTGATAATGGTGCAGCTAAGAGTCACTTGAAAACTGAATATCCTCTAACATTCTCAAGTAAAATATTAATTTGAAAACTGCATCTGTTTCCAAAGCTGAAAAGTCTTGCAAAGCTTTTAAACTTTATGTTTGTGAAACAAAAAACAACTAGCCACCACATCCATCCCATTTCAAAACTACAAATTTGAAAATAACTATCCTGTTAATTATAATTTATGCTTATAATATTTGGATGTGATCTGGTTCCTTAAAGAAGGTACTAGGATATTAGAAAATGTAGTTGTTTACATGTGATCCTTGGGATACTGACTTATTCAGGATATTTTACTGGCAAACTTCAACAATTTAACAGTGTAATACCCATATACAGATAGACAGATAACCCATACAGGAAACTAATGTACCCTTTTTTGTTAAATACTTCATGTTGTCTGAAATTACAGCACTTTTATCTTGTGAGTCCAAAAAGGAGAAAGTAGAGAAGTCTTCCACATCAAATGGAACTGCAAAATGTAAAATGCAATATGTTAAACATTAAAAAGAAAAATAAAAATCATAACAACAGCCAATCTGAGAAAAGTAGTTACCGGATGTGGGTCTGAAAGGTATGTATCTTCTTTCTGCTCCAAGAATAGCGGGGTTTATACGGGAAACTATGTTGTTCTGGTCCATAAGAAAATCTATTGCATTCATGTGATCATTTAGCAAACCCTGTAGTAAGAGAAAAAAATTAAATCTGTACTTTTATAGTTTCAAGACAAAGACCAAGTATTTGTACAGTCTTTCAACTGAGCTTAAAGCTTCTATATACACCAAATTATGGACTATGTCAAGTCAAAACCACATAAATTATATCAGACAGATAGTATTTCAAAATATCAGATGCACATTTTTCAATTAACAACTGCAGTATAGTCTCAGTTTCTGGTTGAAAAAACCAATATAATTACTATATGCTCAGTTGATCCTCCAGTCTTGAATAATTTAAATGTACTGTTTCAAAACCATGACCACAAATTAATGTAACAATGTAACTGCAGGTGTGCTATTATTAATTCCAAGCCATCTCATTATAAAAAACTTAATAGATAAACATGACTCAAACAATTTACTGCCAAATATTTCATCTTGCCTTCGTTCAGTAATGTTGAACATACCATGAACACTGCCCGCTGGAAGAACTTGGTGGCATCAATAATCCTCTGAAGAATAACTGTCTCTAACTCTTCAACATCCATCTCGTCTCTATTAAAGGGCACGCCATTAAACAGCACTTGAGGCAATGGGCCCAGGCCACTCCTTTTATAAAAGGTTGCTCCTGCCTGATCACATCAGAAATATCACAGGATTAAACAGACTGTGGCTGACTGTTGCAAAAAATGAAACTAATATCAAGAGAGGATGAACTCTAATCTCCACGCACTCATCACTGTCACACCTTCTCATGAGTAGCAGGGAGAAAACAAGAAGCGTTTGGAAAGCACAGAGGAACAGATGGGACTCATTTCTCAAACAGAATGACAAAAGAAATCATAGCTCTGTAGATGGTGTTCTAAACTTGCTGAGAAATATTCTTTTATTTTGCTTAACATTCTTAGGAAAAAAAATTAAGCAACAACATTAGAGAAAAACCCTGAGACAAAGTTTTTTTTTTCCCAAAGAAAGTACCCTAAAAAAACCTCAAAAGGTTTTTATGTTCATAAGTGAGGTCTTATTTGATAAGAAATCAGAACAAGCTGATTTTTCCTCAAAATTAGAAAATTCAGTGAGACAAAGAAAAATAAAGATGTATTGTAAGCAACTCTCCCTTCTTATATTCTGCATCATTTCATGTTTTCTTGCAATACCTATGTGTTCATCTTTCTGTCATCCCACTGTCTCCTCCCTGGTCTTCATCACAGTCTCACTGTCCCTGCTTGTACAGGGGATTTCTTCCTGGTGGCTGACTATTTTTCTTTCTTTAATATTCTCTGTGGGAGACTTCTCCTAACTGTACTCACTTGTTTCCAGGACAGATTCAAACTGCCCCGCCACACAAAGCCTCTAGACTTTATTCCAGTGAGGAATAAACAGCATAAGGCATATAGCACCCTTTTTTCTGGCTGCCCCAATACATCTTTTTAAAGAAATATAATACACATTAGATAACAAATTTTAAAAGGAAATAAATTAAATGGAGTCAAAACCACAAGACTGTATGAACAGCATGGCTGAAGACACACAGAGGAAAAAGGTATTTTATGTATGTTTTAGCAGAAAACTGTCTACTCAATTACAGATAAAAATGTCTTCTCTACAGCCTTTAAATAAAAATCCATAGCTGTCTTTCCCAAAGGATATTATAACCAGAAGGCAGAATTAAAGAAAACAATGATCCACCTAGAAGACAGGTTTCAGCTCTTCACCCAGAGACACATATAATTTCTACAGCATGAGGGAGACCCCTTGACATGACTACTAAAAAAAAAATACTTGTGCTCCTGAATACAGCAGGCAAGAGTAAATTTTCATAGTGAGACTAGTAATGCAGAAACCCCTGCAGCATTTCCATTAATGACTGAATGGTAGCTGAAGAAAATGACTCAAAGGTGCTGTATCTACTTACTTTAACATTTAGCAATCCTTCAGCTTAGCAAATGCATTAAGTTGTACACTGCAGTATTTCTGGCTCTCAACATACCTTCCTCCCTTCATCATGTTCAGAATGAACACCTAGTATACTCTGAACATCAGCATTGGGGTATTCACTTCTAAGGACATCTTTCACATCATCTACTGTTAGAACACTTCCATCTCTCACTTCATGGTACATCTGTAAAAATTATAACAGAAAGAAATTAAAAAAATGTGGTGAATTGTCAAACATAACTCGATAAAATCAATAAAAGTATATAAACAATAATTTTTTTATCATGCTCTAGCAAATTTTGTATCAATATAATTTTATATTGCTGTATTGAAGTTTTTATATCGCTTTAGTAATTATCACCATTGCTCATATGCACAATTTTACATCAGAGCACTGTTCTGATTAATGTATTATTATACCTTTAGTCTAAATCTGAAGTGGCAAAGGAAATACACTTATGTGAGCTGAATGTGAAAGGTTATTTCTCTCCACTAATTAGAGAAGCAATCTAAGTTCTTTCAATAAACTACCTAATCATGGGTAGTTACCTGAATCTATATGGGATTAATCCAAGCCTAAATTAGTCACTGATACTTTTTCCTACAGAAATAATTTTTCCTTAGAAATGTTATTTTATTTCATAGAATAATATTTTATTACTTTCATTAAACATACAATAGAAATTTGAAGTGAAAAATATTCAGTCCACTTCTTTTCAAATGAGGAACAATACATTTTCCTCTATAGATCTGAGTATCTCAAACTTGTATTTTATTGCTTATATTTTTGCGATCTTTTAATTATATTTATCATTCTCTCCTTTTTATATTATGAAACAAAGTAAAGAGAGAAACACAACATTTTAAAAAGAACACTGTAAATTATATTTTGTGATTCTGGTCAGGGATAATTGTCAGCTCCCTAACATCTGTGGATTTCTCTCCCAAGGTAATCCTAGTTACTTTAATTTCTTTCATCTTAAGCTCTCTAAGTTTATCCATGACATCAGTTTCTAAGCACTAAACAGAAAAATAGAAAAGAAATGTAAGTAAAAATGTTATGCATTAATACCATATTCTCTGATGTAATTTTTACCTGCAGAGCCTTTACATGGACTGCTCACTTTATTTTCCTCCATTCATCTCTCACCTCTGAAACTCCTGTCTTTACAAGAACCTGCATTCTCTCACAAAGAAAGCCTGTGTCAAGCATTAAGCTGCAAGCCTGGAGCGTCTCTATGTTTTGTACATTCATGAACAGCTCAAGCATTATCAAAAAAGAAAGAAATTATCTTACTCTGTTTCACCTTCTACATTGGAGAAAAACAAAGGGTTTTTCAAAGCTGACAGGACTACCAAAGTGACATTAAAATCCCTGTACTCCAGAAGATACAGAACACAAAGACAGGGCCATCGCATTAACACAAATAATAGAGAATAATATTTCATAAGAAAATACTAAAAGCTGCAAGGCATGTATCTAATTTTTTATATTATTGAAGACAGCCTGTTGATAGGTAAAATGAAAAGAGCAAGTTGGTTTCTGAGGAAGGAAAGCATTTCTGCAAATAATAGAATATTAATGCTACACGTTTCTAACATTTCCGTATAAAGTAAATGCATACATCTCATGTTATCACAAGGTAGCAAGATCCTAATTATATTAAAAATTAATAAATTTTAATAAAAAAGAAGAAAAAAGGTGATTTCTTGTGAAAGAACTAACCTTAATTATTGAGGTAAAGGCCTGAAAGGTGTCATATTCCTCCGCAATGTAACTAAAACTTCTCCAAAGAGCTATTCCAGCATCTTCATTTCCATCAATTTCTTCTTTTGTATTTAAAATGAAAACAATTCCAATTCTATAAACAAGCAAAAATATCCGCTTCACACGCATTCTAATACCAACACAGAAGAGTAAGATGTTTGCATTTAAGTAATCTGCCCAACGCTTAGTGATGAAAACCCTGTACCTAGAGATGGCTGAATACCTGCCTGCCCAAGGGAAGTGGTGAATGAATTCCTTGCTTTGTTCGTGTGCATGGGTTTTGCTTTACCTATTAGTCTTTATCTCAACCCACATGTTCTCTCATTTTTGCTCTTCCAATTCTCTACCCCATTTCACCAAGGAGCAGTGACCCAGCAGCTCTGAGGGCTTTAACTGCAGGCTGGAGTAAAACCACAACATCCAGAAAGCCTAAAAGTCCAAGACACTGATGTGAAGATCTTGTTTCTCAGGGGAACAAAGACATTGAGCAATGAGACAATCTGATCAAACAGACTGCAAATAGTGGCATAATGACTAAAGCACAAAGTCTTTCCCAAACTAAACACCCAGGAGAGAGAAAACTGAAGATATTTGAAGTTATATTCCCTGCCAAGAACAAATAAGGATCCTTCTGGTCTCTACTACACTATTGGAAAGGAATTCTGATCATTACAGTCAATTCCACATCATACATGACATAGGAAAAGAACACGAAAAATCCTTCTGCTGAGTCCCAAGTGACAGAGCACATCTATGTCCATGGCTAGAACTTATGGATTCCGAAGAGGAAAAAATATATGCCTATTCATGAACATAGTTGTTTGCATTAAAAGATGAAGACTAGGAAGATGGATTCTGCCAGTCATCCAGAATTTTGTGAGTCCAAAGCCATCAGAACCCTTCTAAACATTTCCAAGCCTTCCACTCTCTGCTATCAATAAATTTTCTTAGAAGTGCATTTTAACCAGCATTTTAACATGAAACCTGCTTGTGCAATGGGAGAGAGCCATGAGGAAGAAGATGGTAAAAACCAGATACTTTTATGAATCAGAAATAGAGATTTTATGCAAATACTTAGCTGGACTCTGGGGTAGCATGTAATTTTCTAGAACACATCCTTGAATCATCCTGAGCATCTGCAGCTAATGCTATACATATTAGATCTGCAGGAAAATCCTCTGCCTTTAGCTGTCACTTGTCCCAAAACAAACCTAACAGGCCACCAAAAGGCTGCTCCATGAGAAACCTCTACAGAAGCAGCGATTCAATTTTTTTCTCCTCTACATTTACTTTATAGCCAACCTACAGGTAGAGATGTCTATGGCTGCCAACCTGCAACCAAAACCATCTAATAATGTGCAAAATGGCTTACACAACCACAGCAATCTATGAACTACAGCTGTATAAGCTGCTGCCTATTCCTGACCACACATATGACAGCCCTGGATAATGTCCCATATGCAGCAGCTGGCTGAAAGATCAAAATTTATGCCAACTATAGAAAAGAGGCAAATTGCAAGGCAAAACAAGAGAACTACAGTCTTTCTAAAGAACTATCAGAGACCCAAATCTGGCTCCTGCTATACAAAACACCGTGCATCCTGCAAGTATTTCCACGAAGTGTACAGCTCTGTCACAGCTGCTACAAGAACATGAGGCACCTACTGGTCCCGTGATACATGAGAGCTACTACAACAACACGACCACCTGCAAGGCTGAGCCCATGCTTCAGTGGACCTTCATATTTACAATCAGTAGGTTGATTTAGGAAGTCAGCTTTTCACTTAGATAGCCACTTCACATTAGATATCTTAAGGCTATTAAAATGAAATCTGTCTTATCAGTATAAAATCATTTAGACAGGTGTTCAGGACAATCAGGTGTGTACCAGATCACAGGACAGAGGGATTAAGAAATACAGCAAGTTTTCTAAAAAGATACAAATAATAATCAATTCATAAAGATGCAGCATGTTCTACAACTAATTGCTTCTCCCATTTTTTACATCTCACTATTGCAAATAACTTTTCCCAAAGACTTATGTCACCTGGATGCCATAGAAACAGTCAGCAAAAGTAAATATCATATGACAAGATAGACCCCATGACTTGTCTACATCTTGAATACTGTGTACATGGCTGTTGCTCTCATCTCAGAGAAGACATATTAACACTAAGAAAGTCCGGAGAGAGACAACGCAGAAAATAAAACAAACTTTGGAACAGCTTTCAGGAAAAGAATAACTTGTAACCTAGGGAATGAAATGAGTGCAGTTGAACACAGCAGAGCTTTATAAAATCATGACACCTATAAAATCAAGAGAGAGAGGGAGAGACTGCTTAGGTTCCTGTTTATAAGAGCACAGAGACAGTAAATGAAGCTACTAAAACTCTGGCTCAAAACAAATAAAGCAAGTTTTTCATACATCACATAGTTCAATGGTGAAAACACCTGGAAAAGGATACCGGGGGTGCTAAAACTTCACAGGAATTTGAGGGAAAACCAGAAAAGTTTGTGGAACAGAAACCAATTGAGGATAGCTAAGTATCCTAAGAATTCTTTGATCTCTAAATGCATGAATGCCAGGAAAATAATCAGGCAAAGAACCTGGTTCCACTATGCTTTTTATCACACCAAGTCAATTCCTTGTGGCTTCTTGTAGACAGACTGACCAAAATGGATCTTTGCCCTGACCCAGTTTAGCTACTCTTACGCTGTTATATATCACAAAAGGCAAATCATGTTCTAGGATATATTCTCCTCAAGGACTGAAGGAGTATTGTCTCCCAGGAAGTGACAAAATGCACATGTAACTAATATCTGTCCTGCATTATGTTTTTGTAATTGAAAAATAAAACATTAAGAAAAACAAAACAATTATCAGAGACAGTAAAATTTTAAAGAAAAAGGAAAGCCGTGTAACTTATTGAGGAAACAAAAAACATTTCACAGGAAGATTTTAAATATTTAACATGGAATTCATCTTGCTAAACCTTGGATACCCTTCATTTGTAAGCTGTGGAAATAAACAGTTTCATTTTTCATAAAAATGAAACAATTCATTTTTTCTTAAAAGTAGGCATCTCAGATTAACCAGACTGTTCCCAAAAAGTGTCTTTATCTCAAATGCTAACTAGTTCAGACCCAGACAGCTAATTTTTAGAAATTCAAAACTTGATGAGGACAATCTTGCTTTAGTCTTAAAAGTTTTTATATAAAACCAAAGTTAAGTAAAGCAACCTCAATGGAAATAATTGAATTAAAAAAATTCTCTCAAAATATGTTTTACAGCATGTTTTGATTACAGTGCAGCTTCACAAGGGCATGCAGTGGGACTATTTGACAAAACAAATTTTTATCAGACTTTTGCAGTTCATTTTACACACAGTCAAGTACGTTATCCCTTGCAATCTATTTGCTTAAGAAGACTTAATACCCGAGTAAGCTTGACACAAGTGGGTAACCAATGTGTCTTATTAGAACGTGGTTGAATTGGACTTCATTTGAATTCACATCTTTTTCTAGCAAAACAGAAGATGAAGATGAAGAAGAAAAAACGGAAAGCAACCTTATTTGAAGACTCTTCCTCAAGATTTTCAGTTTTCCTTACCTAAGTGGTACATTATAATGGTAGAATAACTCTGCCACTTTCATGTAATCACCTGTATCTTCTTGGACAGGATCAACAAAAAGTACCTAAGAAGAGAAAACATATCATGCAGCCAACATTTTTTCTTGATGTCTGCTTTTATTTTTTTTTCAGACATAAAATCCAAGATAAAAACATTAATTTCCAAAGGAGCTGTACGCCTCAACTGTTTTCAATTTTTTAGAGCATTCATTGTAAGAAAACATTAAAAGCATAAATGAAAATAACTTCAGAACTAACGAATTTGGATCAAATGCTGAAAACAGGAACTTCAAACCAAGTGATACTGTTTTCTCATTTGAAAGACTCTGTGCCATTACTTTGTTTATATTAATGAACTTTATATTTATTTTAAAAAGGATATAATGACTATTTTTATGTTAGTTCTTTTAACTGACTCTCTTCTGTTGTGAAAACCAAACAAAAATAAATAAATGGAATATATTGGCTTAAAACTTTAGTTAAAAGATAGAGCTTTGGGAAAGAATTCTTCCTTTCTGTCTCATATATTTTTGTAGTCTCTCTTTCACTTAGTGTAGCTTAGAATATAAAATTAGATCTTTCAGGCATGCATAAAATCTAAAACTGGGATGTATCTGCATAGATAGATTATCCTTATGTAGATTTAATTATGACATCTGTACCTTATTTATTCAGCTTTGCACTGCAAACTCCCCTTAGAATTTATCATATTTGCTAAAGCAGATGAAATGCAGCAGAATAACTTGCAAAATTTTGATTGCTCTCCCCCTCAGATTATAGTTAAATGATATGTTGTAGACTTCTATAATACAGCTGTTATATTTAACAAATTTAACTTTGAATAAATAATGCAATCTACTTCATATTACACACATCTTATGCTTCATTAGAAGTGAAAGAGTGACTACCTAAATATGTGAACAGAAAGAAAGAATTCTTTCCCAAAGCTCTATCTTTTAATTAAAGTTTTAAGCCAATATTTATTTTTGTTTCTATGTATGCTTCATAGAAACATACATTTTTTATTACACATTGCTTGTAATTTCACTGTCTTTTTATGTACTGAATTTAGTGTCACTTTAAACAACTGCATCAATGGACAAGCAAAGCGCTACAGATTTCATCAATCTGGGTTTCTGTAAGGCCTTTGACATGGTTCCCCACAACATCCTTCTCCTTAAATTGGAGAGAGATGGAGCTGATGGATGGCCTAATCAGAGGGTAAGAAATTGGTGGGATGGTTGCATCCAGCTCAATATCTGGTCTGTATTGTGACCAGTATTACTCAATATCTTCATTAGTGACACAGACCAAGTGATTGAGAGCACCCTCAGCAAATTTGCAGATGACACCAAGCTGAGTGGTGCAATTGACACAACTGAAGGACGGGATGCCATCCAGAGGGACCTGAACAAGCTCAAGAAGTGTGCCCATGGGAATCTCGAGAGGTTCAGCAAGGCCAAGTGCTGCACCTGGGTTGAGGCAACTCCCAGTTTATCAATGCAGGCTGAGGGACGAAGGTATTGACAACAGCCTTGCAGAGAAAGATTTGCAGGTGCTGGTGGATGAGAGGCTAGACATGAGCTGGCAGTGTGTGCTTGCAGCCCAAAAAGTGAATTTTATCCTGGGCTGCATCAAAAGAAACATGACCAGCAGGTCAAAGGAGGTGATTCTGCCCCTCTGCTCCACTCTGGTGAGACCCCACCTGGAGTATCCAGCTCTGGGGCCCTCAGTATGGGAAAGACATGGACCAGTTGGAGCAGGTCCAAAGGAGGGCCACAAAAACAATCAGAGGGCTGGAGAACCTCTCCTATGAGTAGAGGGAAACTTATAAGAAAAATGGAGAGAGGCTTTATACCAGTAGTAGTGACACTGTAGTGACAGAACAAGAGATAACAGTTTTGAACTAAAAGAGGGCAGATTTATATTGAATATGAAGAAATGAGGGTGGTGAGGCACCAAAGGTGTCACAGGGGAACCGGTTGCCCAGAGAAGCTGTGGAGGCACCACTATTTAAACTGGTAAAGGACAGATTGGATGAGGTTCTGATCAACCTGGTCTTGTTGAAGATGTCACTGGTCACTGCAGGAGGGTTGGACTAGATAACCTTTAATGGTCCTTTCCAACCCAAACCATTTTATGATTCTGTAGTTCATACAATTACCTTTTATATTTTAAATCAGCAATAGCTGCTTCCTTAACTCACTAAGGGATACAGAATGCTACATGCAGAGGAAAAATTAGGCTACAAGACACTCATAATTCGTATCCTTTAAAACATAAATCTTTTTGTACATCTGTTCACCATCTCTAAAACAAGGACAGTTCCCTCAGTAGTGTACTATGAAAAAAATTCTTCTATATTAGTGAATTATCTATGTGTAACATGGAAAGGAACACAAAAACTCCTGACAAAACTGTGCCCAAGTCCATTTCTGGAAATCAGACAATAACTGCATATGACTCACTAGACAAAGCACTCTTCACTATTATTAGCAGATCCACATAGAAAACAAATCTTAACAGTAAATCCAGCATGTGTATTTTTTAATAAACTGTCTGTTCACATATTAATAGATATGTTATGCAAAAATATTAAGTTCTCCAAACTTACCAAATTATGTAAATTGCGTCTAATCTGCTGCAGAACTCCAGGAAGCGTGGGTCTTAGCAGTTCCTGATAGCTTTCAGGCCATGTGCTATAGCTGTGATCTTGTTCTATATTATTAATCCACTGAAACAAAAAAGGTAGTCACTTAAAAAACACACACTGAACACTGAGTAAAATACGTGGACATAAATAATAATATTCAGAAACACATGGAAAGATTGCAAAGAATAAAATGTCTTCCCCTTTTTTTTTAAATAGTAACAGAAAGTAGCTTCTAAAATTAATCTCTTTTTTTTCCAATCAAACTGTTTTCATTTGCAGTACACATGAAACTATTAATGGATGGAAAAGGAAAAAGGACAATTTGTACTGTGCATAAGGGTGTGAATAAAATCATTTTTTTCAAGTGTGGAAACTACTTTCACAATACAAACATCATAACAACATATCACGTATATGTGGGTAACCCAGCATAACCACCTTGTAATCCAAATACAGTATTTATCTATAATGTGCAGTAACAGCACTTTGGATATACCAAAATAACCAATCCATATGTGGCCAATTTTTTCTTCTAGTCCTTTCTGTGTAAGCCTTGGCAAGCAGAAGAGTGAAATATGGCTCTTTCAGGTAAAAATAATTTTATTTTAGTGCCTTTTTCACTGGTATATAACCTTTATAGTGAAACCTGCATATATTTTGAAAAAGGGTAAAAAGCTCAGTCATTGGTCAGTTAGAAACAAAATATTTATGTGGTCCACAATTCACTTATCATACCTGTAAACTACACTTAGAAGTCTTGCATAATAGGATGATACCACATAGTGTTATGTGGCTAGCTTAATTGCTGTAAAGTCAAATTCTATTGCTGTAAGTGTGAAACTACTCTCAGATACATTTTTCTTTTCTTTTAAATATCTTACGTCTTAAAATTTTAATAAGGTATAAACTAGAGAAAATTACTCCTCAAATATATTGAAGGAATATCATCCTCAAAAATATAGTCTTAGGACTAGTATTTCAATTACACTATCAAAAAAGATAAACTATCTCATACATAAAATTATCAAATATGTAATATTTAAATAAATAATTTTAAAATTACTTACTACTATCGAAGAGTGACGAATATCTAGCGCATAACTGTTATCTGCAGGATGTATATGCAACCTCATAAATTTACTCAGGATCTCCTCTTTGATTCCAAGTTCATGAAGGCCATGCATCACTTTTCCTTCCAGTTTAAGAGTCTCTAAGATACTTTTTCAGGAAGATAAAATACATGTCTACACAGAACTCTTGTCATGACATAAAAACTATTTTTCATACTAAAAATAATCCTCATATTAACAGTCTTAGAAATATTTTTCTTTCTATATTCTCCCACAGACTAATGTTGAAAAAATGTATCAGTTAATAACACCCTAATTGTACATCTTTAACTTACTTCAAAACAGAACTACAAGAGATAATACAACTCTTTTGTTGATTCACATTTATTGTATATGAAGCAATTTTATCCATCTTTAGTAAGACGTGGCAGGACAGCAGAGCACAAGGTTTCTTGCTGTACTGTCCTGGCTGAGGCAGAAACCCAAGCTGGAGTATCCTAAGAGGAAGCTTTGCAAGTAGGCAGAGAAGCAGGCAGCACATGATAGGGACACAGATGAGCTCTAAGTCTGCATCACTGCAGAACCCTGAAAACAGCATGGAGGAAACACACAGCCACACCTCTAAAGTTTCCCAGAAAACCCAGTGGGACTCTAGAATACCTGTTACAATCTTAAAGTTCAAATCTGGGAAGGAAACAAACCCTGAAGCACTCCACTGTAGAACACAGCTTGCAAGATTTTACAACTGCCTTCATTTCTATCCTGCTTCATTTTGAGTTTCCTCTATTCCTAAAGCTTTCTTCTAAAACACGTTGAAATGAAACCTAGCACTATCATTAAAAAACACATAATTACTATGAAAGATTCAAGTCACTCCATCTCAAAACTCTGGTTGACAAAAAAAATAGGTAAAATTGCAAGCATAAATACTAAGCCCAAGAAAGTTTAAGAATCTTTATGGAAAAGAAAATAAGACATGAGTTAAAAATTGAAAATAAATAATTACAGACTGTGACAAATTAGTAGATTTACTAACAGTTTTGCAGGCCATCAAAAACAATTTTGAAGTAGTCCTGTTCGTTGTCCTTGACAACAGAGAAGAATACAACAGAAAATGTTTGTGGCTTGAGTGCTTGCATAAAAGAGGCAAGTCACACCCAAAATTATTATATTATAATTGCACAAACTAGAAAAAGATTTCTTATACCAAAAAGCACACTACCTTTGCATTAACAAAAGTTATTATAAAAGGTGGCCAGATAGAGACTTGCAAGCATGTCAAAAGTAACCCAAGGTGTTGGATATCTAAATTTAATGCCTGCAATTTTTTTTTTAAATTTTTAAGAAACAGGGATATGAAAACATTTAATTTACTGTCAAAAGTGCTTTCCCCACCTTTTTACAGCTACTGATTGGATTCCTTCCGTTTCCAAATTAATTTTACATGGTAAGTTGTAAAATTTTAACTGAACTAGAAAAAACATTCCAAGAGAAAATGCTGTTTTCAACTACTTATACAATGTTCATATTCAAAGCAAAACCACTGTAAACCAGTGTTCTCTCTACTGGAGGACATCCTGGCCCCCAAAATGCAACAGATGAGATTATCACCATGAGCACAACTTCTCCAGTATTATTAGTAGTTCTGTAATCTTCAAACAAGATGTACCATCTTACCTAAAAGGATCATGAAAATCCAAGTCAATAGGAAGGCCATTTAGAAATAAATGTGCTTCTCCAGGTTGGATTCCAAGTGTTTCATGAAAATGCTAAAAAGTAAAAAGTACTGCTTACTTATTTAGGTATATGTCAACCACAAACACACATATATAAATACATACACACACATATATCCATATATCTATATATCTATATCACATATCTATAAAAACCCTAAAGAAATTCTGCAAAATATACACATCAATTCTCTTCCACACAATTCCTTCTTGTATTTGAGTGTTGGAAAAAATACCAACATCATACTTTTATGAGTGCTATTTAATACACTTTGTACAAATACAAATGAAAACAGCTGGTAATTCCCCCCAAAACAATCTACAGTGTCCCTCCCTATCTGTACAAGGCAGAAAAAAAGACACATTCTCAATGTTTGCCAACAGAAAGTGAAAATACACATACGGAAATATGTCTTGTAAGTTTTTGAAAAATTCTACATATCTGTTCAGGAATGGAGAACTTACATGTGTCCTTCAGACCTCCACCTGAAAGCAGCTTTTGCAATAGCACAACATCTCTCAATTCCAAAAAAAGTGTATTCACAACTGTTTTAGGGAATTAAGAAAAACAGACAAGAAACCCAAAATCTCCTCTAACAAAGGGACCTCGGGAAAAATGCCGATTAGAAAGGGATAGCATAGCATATCTTTACTTTGCAAAGAAGAAAAGAGACCCACAATAAACAAATACAACAGAAGCATTTAGGGAGTAAAGTATGTCTTATCATTCTATTTCAGAGAGCTCTGAGGAACTATCTGTTTCAATCTCAGGTGGCTGTATCAAGATAAGTAACAGGAGCAACAGCAGTAGTGTATCCCAACTCACCCCATAGGAATCAGATTTCTGGATCTGTCTTAATTCCCAGTAGAGGAATGGAAAGTAAAAAATATGCAAAAAAAAAGCAAAAAAAAAATTTTTACCCATTTAGCTCCCACTTGCTAAATAAAATAAGTGTGAACAAAACATGCACTTTGAAGAAAAGCACATTTAAAGCAAGTAACTCGGGCTGCATATATTACTCCACTTATAAGCCTGTCACTGAACAAATGAGAGAAAAAAAATGAGCATATATTAAAAATAGTATTATTTCTTTAAAACAGTGTGGTTACTTTCACACAGTAAAATGCAAATAAACTCAAAGCTAACTGGTTTGTGGCATTACAAGTGCAAACCCACATAAATGAGACAACAGTTTCCTTGAAGCTCCTTGTAATCCAACATACGTGCATTATTGCTCATCACTCATTGAGAAGGTACCATATTCCTTAGTATATATAAACATTTCCAAAACCCCAAGGAGAATGGAAATATGCAATAGTACCTAATACTAGTTTATGAAAGGCAGGGCTCTCCATGAAGGAAAGCTGCACCTGTGATAAGTCTAACATAGAAAGAATGTTTATTTAAGTCCAATACCGGTCCTTGACTTCGAAAACCAAAGTCTGAAATTTGCAAATTTCCTTCATTTAATGGTATAAGCTGAACTTCACAGTGCTTTCATTGCTTTTTGTATGCTTATTTACAAAAGTATAATGTAATTACTTATGCTTGCTATAAAGTATCTAAATGCATATATTCATACTGTGATATAATGTGAAGAATACTAGAGACTTGGAATCATAGAATGGTTTGGGTTGCAAGGGACCTTAAAGATCACCTAGTTTCAATCCCCTTGCCATGGGCAGGGTCACCTTTCACTAGACCAGGTTGCTCAAACCACTATCCAACCTGGCCTTGAACACTTCCAGGGATGGGGCATCCACATCCTCTCTGGGCAGCTTGTTCCAGTGCCTCACCACCTTCACAGTAAAGACCTTCTTCCATATTTCTAACCTAAATTTCCCCTCTTTAAGTTTGACCCCATTACTCCCTGTCCTGTTGTCAGAGGTCAGATTCGTATCTCACCAGGTAGTTTGACTGATGGGTCAAATAAACCAGGTTGTCTGGGGGGGGGAGGGGAGCAAGGGCTAGGCCTAGGCCTGCAGCCAACACGGCCGAGAGCACACGGCAGGGAAAGTGGTGTTGCTGGGCTGTCAATCAATAAGGTCTGCCTGATGGCCTACCCACACCACATCCCCTGGAGCCTTTGAGCGGCTGTGGCACCCTCTCTTTGGCTGGGGGGACAGTGAGGGGCAGTGAGCCCTAGGTCCTGCCTATAGGGAGTGCCCACAATAGCCAGAGTCTATACACAGACACGGGCAAGGTCTCCATATTGCCTCGGCCTGTTGTCCTCGAAGCTGGCAAGATGTGACCTTCTTAGTAGTAACTATATTTTTCTCTCCTCTCCTTAGTCTTTCTTCTCTTAATATCCCTTCCTTTACTCTTGTGGGCAACTTAAACACCTATTTTCTGTATTTCACTTAATTTGTGGGTATTTCACTTAAGTTGTATGGAGTTTGTGTTTGCTGGGTGTAACATAGGTTTCCTACTCCATAGCAATGCTTGCTAGTCCTAGTAATCTGCTGTAATGCTTTTGTGATTGGATTCTTTGTACTAGGTGTCATAGTGAAATGCTTTTTCTTGGTTTGCATGTTATCTCCGTAAAAGCCTTTTTGCCAAAATGCCTATTTTCTCACCAAATTAAAGGTAGTTATTATCATTCATGAAAATTTTTGTAGACACCTAAAAAATGGATGTCGGGGGCTTTCAAAAACAAGGACTGTAAATGCATGGCAGTAAGTTTCCTGTAGGAAAAAAAAAAACCAAACTGAAAAGAGATAATTTATTAGTTTCCTAATTTATAAACCCCACTTTATTCCCAATCCTATACTCATGTAAATTACAGATTTTTTTCCTTTTTTTGTACGTCCCAGAACTTGGTACAGAAGGACTTCTATCTTCCTTACAACTAATTGTTGGTTTGGATTACTCCAGTCCAAGTGTTGGACTTTGTATTTATCTTTGTGAAATCTCATGCAAACATTAAAAACCAACTAGAAGTAGTGGCTGGTGTCTGACGTTTACATTTTTCCTACTACAGCTTCAATTACATGCTCTCCCAAGGTCTCGCTCGACACATCCCTTCTAAGCAGCCAAAATTCACAAGTGCCTGACAATACCAAGCGCCCTTGCAGCAGGTAACACTTCCAATCATTTTACCTACACAGTTTGATCCTGAGACACAAACAAAACAGGCAGAAAAGACAAACTGAAACAGCCAGGCACACAGCCACGAGCCTCCTCTGCACCAGCCAGTCCTAGGTATACATGGAATTTTCCTGTACTTAACAAATTGAACTTGGACTAAGGGTTAATAACAGCATTGTGCTATGAAGTGCTCTGACCACAGAGAAACCCCTCTCAATGCCACTGGACTCAAGCAGTGAACAATAAATATAAAGATGATTACAGTCTCCAGCAGTCTTACCAGTATCCTTCAGGGCTCTTACACAGATCTTGTGAGATCAGCTAGAACAGCCCTCTCACTGAAGCACCAAAATCAGCATTTAGGATATGAGATTTCTATCACTACTGAAAGCTTACTGTCATAAGCCCAGACATTCATGTATACATAGATACTGAGAAAGACTGTAACTGGCTGATGTAGGTCATAAAAACACTAACTAAAATGAATGCAAGAATAATGAAAAAATTATAATTCACTGGGTATTGAAATGAGATTAAAAGTTTGTCAAATTCTTCAGTACTGCAGTAGAAAAAGATCTGAGCTGAATCACTGGATGTGTCAGGTTGGAAGGGACCACAGAGGAGGTTGCCTGGTCCAACATTCCTGCTCAAGCAGATTCATGGTAGAGCAGCACATGGCATAGGATTGCATCAAGACGATTCTTGAGTATCTCCAGTGAGGGAGACTCCACAACTTTTCTGGACAATCTGTTCCAGTGCATGGTAACCCACATAGCAAAGAAGTTCTTCGTCATATTTACGTGGAACTTCCTGTGCATCAGCTTCCTCTTGTCCTATTGCTTGGCACCATCCTCTTGATGCCCTCCCTTAAGATACTTATAGACATTGATAAATCAGAGGTGAGACTCATGATACAATTTTGATGCTAGGCATTTGATTGTTCAGAAGCGCATCCAATTTGCCATAAAAACATTGATGGATGGAGTATTTAGGCAGCCCATATTAGAATTTAAGGCTGATAATAGTCATATAGTATTTTCTTGCTAAACTGTCAGCAAATTATTGCACTGTAAGTTGTGAGTTGTGTTTAATGAGATTTTATTTTTTTCTTTTCTCTATAGCAGTTCTTTTGTCTATTTCTTGGTTAGGTATCAATTCATTACACCTAAATCATCACATGTCTTTCAACTTACAATGCCTTTATTTCCTCCCGTTGCATTTCCTATTCAACTTTCATTATCTTGAGAGGGAATCATCCAGTTACACACAGCATGGGATCATATCTCTCCTGCTGCTAGATGGATGTACTGCAGTTCAAGAATGCACATTCCAAGTTATTGTGCTCAAGCAGCAGTGTTCAGGAAGTTTCCCTACTTTTATTCAACAGATTTTAGTTTTCAGCTGTCGAAAGGCCTGTAGCCTTTAGACTACATGAAGGATGCAGTAGGAAATTTAAACTCAGTGTGAGAGGTGCATAAAATCCTCTTAATGTAGTTAATACAGTCATGGAATCATATGAGTGATTCAGCTCATATGTGATCATATGTGACCAACCACACAGATATCCAGTGTAATTTGTTTCAGGGCAAGATATCTTTGGACTGGAAAATACAGGTGAGGCAGAAGGGAATGGATGTCCCAGTGGACACATATGCCAGACCTGTGTGGCTGTCTCGGATAACCTGTAGCACCTCAAATGACATCAGAAATTCAGGCTTAGGCAACTCAGTTGTGCCCCATAAAAGAAACACTGAACAAGCTAAATTATTTTTGATGTCCATTGACTACATCTTCATTGTCATAACAGCTTATATATATATATAGCTTTGCCTAAATACATACTTCATTTCAATCCAAATTTTAAGTTACTTTTCCTAATCCTTATACTTACTAATTACCACTTTAATTCATGGTAGACCTTTACTTTTTTTTTTTTTTTTTGCATTTTATGGTGGAGGAGTAGTTTTTGATTAAGCAGTTAGTTTTGATTTTTGCGTTAACAGAGCTTCAATTTAAGAAGATCTCTGTGAAAACCCAAGAATCAAACATGCACTCTGCACACAAGAAAGCTGAAGGGGTCAAGGCAGTGAAATGCTGAAATACATGAAATATCTTCTCCATATACCAGCCCCAAGTGCAATCACCAAAGGACAGAAAAAGGCCTCCACAATTGTTTGCTTAACCATTTACAAGGATTTACACTCGATCCTGTCACTATTTGGGCAGGTACTACTCAAGATACTGGAAAGCCTTACATTAGTTTTGCATAGTGGAGAGCTCTAACACATTTATTTGATATTTTTGCTACAATAAAGATGACAAGCTCTTTATGAGAAGGCTGCACCAGTGCAACAGGCACATTGTTCACTTTCCCTGTTTTGGAAGGTTGGAAGAAACCGGAAAGGCATTCCCCTGGACATACTAGCCTTGGCAAGGCAAGAGGAAAAGGTCTGAATGGATACAAAGCAATATGATATATGAAAATGTTGCAGAAGTACGGGAGTGCCATAAGTAATACAGTGGTTGTCAATCTTAACACCATACAAAAATACATGTTCTGAAGATCAGGAATAGGGCAGTCCTATGGATGTCATTTCATGTGACCAGTCCTAAAAGCATGGTGGCTAACATTTAACTATAACACTCAACTTGAAAGAAAAAGTCCAACCTCCGAACACAGAATACAAGAGACATCATGAACTCAACAAACACAAAGTGGCATCTCAGAATAAATCTCAGATCAGTCAAAATCACAGGAAAAAGGGCTCCTCATGTGACACAAGGAACAAAAGATGCAGTGACTCAAGGACAAAAATAAAACCACCATCTACCATAGATGATGTTTGAAACGCTTCGCAGAATAGTTGCATGTGTGATTCTGAGAGTGTGGATTCTGGAGTGTGGAAAGCTCAAAGCTAGCATGTGCTGACCACAATGTAAGCAGCAGGTCTAGATTCAGCAACAAAGCTCTAGAAAAATTAGCTGATATCTATTTTGCTTTCACAGCACACGATTTGTGACTCAACACAACACTGTGAAAATTGTTTGGCCTTGCCTAGTTCTATAAAGCCAAAAAAGAGACGGGAAAAAGTGTCATGAACAGCAGAAAGTAAACTATTTGAATTGGGCATTTAAATGTTACCTACCTAGTAACAGATTTTTAGACCAATTAACTCTTTTTCTCTAATAGCAACCATGTGAAAGTTGCTACACTAATAAAAATCTCCAAAAGCAGCAATATGATAGTAACTCAAATGTCCACTTGAAATAAAAACAAACCTTCTGATTTTCTTCTATTTCATTTCGCATTTCCTTGTCTATGGTCACTCTTGTCAGTGATCTGTTAAAATAAAATATTTGTATCACTCAACCACCACATTTTCAAAATATCATTAAATAATGTGAAATAGGTATTTTAATAAAACATCCAATGCACTTTAATAAAACATCTCTAATTGAAGAATGCTGTAATTAAATCTCAAAAAGAAGAGCGATGCAGTGTCATAAATTTTGTATTTTCAAACCAAATATTGTTCCATATTACTCCAGTAAACCCAGGCTTCAAATTCAAACTAGGTTTTGTTGAAGTAATATAATCAACATATGTTTTACCACTCTCAATTTTTTCTCTTGTGGTTTTTTTTTTTTTTTTCTGGAAAATAGCATGCATACAAAAAGTAAGCTGCTTGGTCATCTAAATTATTACCTAAATACAACCCATATTTGTATATTTTAAGTTACTGTTACTAACTCCATGCTACTCAACATTACAGCACAGACAGCCAAGGATTTGCCTGGATAAAGGCAAGGAAAACATGTAAAGAATGACCACTTAAAATTAGGTGAGACTTAAAAAAGAGATTCACTGATTGAGACTCTTGAAAATGTTAAGCATTCACAGACAGTAAAAATTTTAATTTCCTTAGTCATTCTGCCTTTCAAAGATAATGCATTGATTTGTCTTTTTTTACCTCTGAATGTTCTGGAAGACTATTTTATCTTCCTCTGCCACAATGTATTGTATGTCAGGCTATCTTAAAATACTTCCAGAGGCAAATTAATCTTTCCATATTTTAAGAAAACCTAAATCTGACAGTCCTGATAAATGCCCAAAAAAATATGCTAGTTGCCTATACAAGCATTTTTTTCAAAACAAGGTTGTACATGTTTTAGCAAATTGTATGGGGCTTCAAGAAAAACTGGAATCATCTTAAACCTGAAAGTTAACCAAGCAAACCGAGAATGCTCCTATATGAAGCCAACTTCAACACTTATGGATAACAAAGCAGTTATTTAATAATATAAATCCTCACTTCGTCCCCAAAGAAACTGATTCAGAACAGATCTTGCTAGTATACTCCACATTGCTCACAATATGTCAGAAGTAAGACATAAAATCAGTTTATTTTAAACAACTATTCAAGCTTTCCAGACAATCAGAGAGACTACTTGTTAGGAGCAAACAGTATGATTTCCAAGCTTGGTTTTAGAGAGTCCTGAATTAAATATACATTAGGGAAAACAAAACCAGCTGATTTTTATCATGCTGAACTCGACATAAATAGTAGGTTCTGTAGTTCTCAGAAGTGATGCTTCATTCTGCACACACAGTTGATAAAAAAATGCACAGAGAAAAAGGATAACCATTTCCAAATGGCTCCTACCGTGAGTAGTTAGGCAGAAAAGTAAAACATGAATGTGAAAAAAATGAAAAGCTGGAAAAGAGAATACAAAGCCGGTCCAATCTTAGCAAGGAAGTAAAATACCTATCAGCAAAAGGTAAGCTTTACTGATAGTTTCGGTAACAGGAAAGCAACACCCTTAGGAATTATTAAATAGTTCCTTGTCTATGCATGGCAGTTGACAATGGAGGATTCTAGCAAGATTTTATGGAGAGGGTGTGATGGCTGATCCTGGAAAAGAACACCCTACGAATCTGAGGTAACAGAAGTACCTGTGAAAGACATCTGTTCATTTTGAATTCTGTCATTTGTTCGATTTGTTCAGAGCTTCACAAAGTTTTTATGCAGGTTTTTCTACGTCTAGCAAGTAAATGGATACTATTTATCTTTCTACATGATGAAGAAATGTTCTAATATGACCTTAAAGTTGCAGTATTCTCTATCATATAATTTTGTGCATCTTTGTTCTTACCTGGACAAGTACCTATATATATATATATAGTACTGAGTATTGAAAAAAGGAAACCTTTCACATGGTCATAATGTTAACATTCATGAATGATTAATAAATAGCAAGTAACAGAACATTATAATACTTCATTATCTGTTCTTTAAGAATGCAATAATATGACAAGTACACAACAAAACAAAGATGAAAAATACCCTATAGAATGAATTATCAAAATGTCGCCATGACATATATCAGTTGTTACACTGTCTACATCTGATGACATTTTGTAAAATCTACCTCAGACTAACCTTTTCATCTGGAAATACTGAGACACAAAATGCAGGCTGTAAATTAGAAAGTGAAAGAAACTTTCAGGGGAATGGTACATTATTTTTTTTATGGTCTAAGAGACTCCTCCATTTTTAAGGAACATATAATATTTAATTGTTATTTTCATAACTACAGTTCTAAAATTTTTATACAGCCTTTTCAAAGCATAATTTGCAAAATTAGAAATAGTTCTTTTCATATATAAACTGTCTGAAACTGAAACAATCTTAAAATACTATTAATATAATGAACAGCTATGTATCTAAAGTGATTAAGCAATATGTCTTCATGTCTTGCTTATTCTAGTTTTTATTTTTCCAAGTTAGTATTTTTGACTCATCAAGTTAAGCATGATTACCTTATTAATGAAATCTATTCTGTGCACTGTTTTTACACAATGCCCCTTGGATTTAAGTTTGTTGTCAATGCAGGCCTACTAAATTTAAATTATTTAAATATCTGTAATCTCTCAAGTTAAAAATAATATGCTAGATTACCATGTTAGAATACATGATTCCTCTTTTAATAATTTTAAAGTCTTCTTATACTTTTACCCATAAAATGTTTGAAGAGTAGGTAAATTGTGCTCTCTAATGCCACAAATACATTCCACTTCAACTCCTGTCGTGTAACAATTTAATGACTTTTTAAATCAATTATTTAAATGTCACCTAGCATACTTCAAAATGACTTTTTCCTGTCCTTTAAAGAATGGAACCTGCCTTGAAGTTCAACATCATGTACACTTCCACTATCTCCTACTGGAAAGCTGAATTTTCTGATTGATAACCTGAACGTAAACTTATATTATACTACTTCATAATAATTATGCTTCAGGCATTTTAAAAGGCATTTTGCTTCCTTGAAACAAGATGTTACAATGGTAGCTTTTCCATTACAGTGTAGATTTTCTCTAACAGACAATCAGGGGTGACAATGAAACACTGTGATAATTAAACAAGAGTGGTAAAATGTGACAGCACTCTGAGTTAAGAACCCTATTTAGCATCACATTTAATTCAGTATTCAAGCAAATATTGCTGACAGGATTACATGAAGAACTTACTAAGTATGAAGAAAAGCATTTCTCAATTATAATAGAATTGGCTTACAGGAAGAGTAATTTTTAATATTAGGACAGACAATATTGAGGCCACATCCATTTATTTAGTATTTATCTTGATCTTCTATTAAGTAATCTCTTATGGAAGACAGATCTTCCCCAGTAAGAACGCTAACATACACTAGCCAGGGCCCAATCTCCAAGCAATGTTCTTCTTAGAACTAATGTGTGTGGATCCCCCCTGAAATTTTTTAATATAATATTGCCTCTTCCTACTGTGACTAGAATCTGCTAATTATTCAACAGAAATTTCCACCCGAGAAAATATCGATCCAGTGAAATCCGTAAGGACTACTCATTCAACCATAAGAGCCTGAAGAATTATCATGTCTTCATGGCATCTCCTGCATCAGATAGGAAACATTTAAGAGATCAATCATGAGCTCTCCCTGGAGTCATCTTCTACTCAATTAAATTGCCTGGGATCTATCTAGCAAGCTGTCATACGTGAATATCTGACTGCGGGATTTGGATATAAATCTGTATTACTGTCATTAAATTCAAATGCAAACATGAAAACAGTTTTTGAAAAACAAGTTTAAGTATCATACCTGGCTCTTATTGGGAAGTTCTGAGCAATGTCTTTCATTACCTTTAAAGCATCATAAACAGGGGTAGACATAACTCGAGCAGCTGCTTGAAAACTAAGATCTGGCATAGGGGGAAATAAAAAACAAGATCACTGGAAATATCACTCTCAATCATTACTGCCTACAGTCAGAAAACTGTTCTATATAAACACTCACTATTAACGTATTTTATGTTTCAATCAATGATTCAGCAAGAAGTAACATTATTAAGGTTGAAAAGATGGTCACTTGAAAGTTGGAATATTAAATTCAGGATTTTCTACAGAATTCTGCTTAACTTTCTTGAACATACACATTGTACGTGTAATTTCTAAATTTACAGAAACACACTGAAACAAACCCAGACCATTCATCACATGGTATTATGGAGTTATCACAAGGGTATCTCACACTCAAACCTAGACACAAACCAACCCACAGAAAACCAGAACTGCAGTAAAGAGTAAGATTTTTCCAGCTCCAGGACTTAACAAGATTTTCAGAGAACAGATATATTTAACATAGAAGGTTGCACTGAGCACGTGAATAGTACAGTTTTCAAAAGTAACAGCAATTTCACAGAAAGAAAATGGAGACTCGTGAAAGAAAGGTCAATCTGTCAAATATCAGGTTCTCCTAAGTGTCCAGCACAATTTTTAAAGGGATTTCATTTTTCTCTCTATGCTTTTTCTCAGAATGAAGTATATTTTCAGATTTCAGAACAGTTTAAAATTCATTTGTCTATGCACTAAAAAAACAATGATGGAATTCAGTTAGCTGTCTCTGGCGTCTAACTTGAGTGTGGCAAATTTTGGCACGTAAGAATAGGGAAAATCCAATTTTGGTACCGATGAGGTAAGACAATAATATACCAGGTGCTTCCATGTACCTTGGATACAGTCTGCTTAACTACCTCAGGGCAATAATGCTTCTTCCTCCTAATTTGCTAGTTAAGACACCTGAGCAGAAACTGAAAGCCTTGGATTATTGAGTTTGAGGAAAGCTGATGCCACATATTGTAAAAAGTGCTGGGCAGAAAATAATTGAGGATGCTGCCTACTAAAACTTTGCACCAACTTTTCAAAGTAATTAGGAATTAAAAAAAAAAAAGAAGGCTGAAGGAAAGTAAATAACATACACTCTTAGTTTAGCCTGATGAAGTATACCTTGGCTGCAAAGAAAGGTGAGAGGTGGAATGTTAACTTGGTATTTCTTAATACTTTTAAAAAAAAGGTATAAAAAGAGATTGCTCTTTTAAAAAGTACGTTTCAGATCCCTTTCAACAGGCACATAACTTGTCATCAGGTGAAGCAACACCCAGTTGCTGCTGTTACTACAGATAGTGATGTCTTACCTGCGGTGAACTTAAGAGCACATGCTTAAAATCCTTCACAAATTGTTAGTAAATTCCATTTCATGCTGAACAGCTAGAGTATGAATATTGAAACTGAGGCCAACAGACATCTTTTGACATTCTTGGTTATCTCTGGTTGGGGCTGTCACTTACCAACCTACCCTTGCAGCACCTTGACACAGCTGAGAGTGCAGTGTAAGGCACCTTGGGGAAAATGTACTTACTAATTACTTATCTAAAATATAAAAGCTCTTGAAAGGCAACTCTTGAATGGTGTTTAGGTTCATTTATAAATAGAAGTATGCCCTATAGCTGAAGTAGTTTTGCTTAAATTTAGTTAAATTTTTACTTGGAAGCTAATTAAAGGAAATCAGAGAGAAGCTGAGCCATTAATTCAGCCAGTATAATTAGTCATTAAGAATGAACTAAAGAAAGCACCCTGTCATGTCAGCAGTAAGAGTATCAAAACAAGTACACCATAAAAATTGGGGGCTGGAGACCCCCTGTCTAAGAAGACCCTGAATAACAGTCACTACAACTAAACAAACAGCATCACAAAGCTTAACTACTTTCAACACTAAGAACTGGTTTCTTGGGGGTTAGCACCAATTTCATATTTTATTTATACAGCCATGACAAATACCTAATGTCAGACTGGACACTGCAAGCAAGCTCCATAACACCAGGGTCCCAAAAAGAAACTAAAGCTCAGCCTCCTTCACTGCAGTAGTATGAAGGCAAATCATTTTTGATCAGGTTGCCCTCTTAAATTGAAGAATGTAACAGGAAAAACTTTGTTGCCTAAACTTAAGTGTCATGACATTTTAGGGACCTGTATTAGAGTGGTTTATAATTTCATTCAGGCTACAGAATGTCCTGCAGGTCATCAACACAGAAGCTGTTGAGAAATCAACTTATACAGATTTGTTGATTTGTTCTCCTTTTCTTCAGGAAAGCTTTTAAAAGCATGTTCTTCCATTTGATGTTACATTAAAAAATTTATCAATGTGAACTCCAGTACACTGATAAAAGTTAGAATTTATGAATTAAACAAACTGTCTTTAACATGTATTTCATCCTGACACAAGTCATACCTTTTGCCTGACCTCTAAAAAAAAAATCTGAAACTAAATTTAATACCCAAGATTACACATCAGGAAAAAAACCAGGCATCTTATAAAATTACTTCTCTATCTTATAAAATTACTTCAATGTTTCTTTATTTTCTACATAGAAGATACCAACACATGCCTTTTAAATACTTAATGTAATACAGCCTTTTTATGAAACTGTGTCTCTTTTTAAAAGATGCTTTTATTGTAATGTTAATACATCAACATAACAAAGGAAAATTAAATAGAGTGTTGTGTTAGTCCAGAAAAAAATACAATACATACCCTGTAGCTCCCAAACCTTCAGCGGTTCCATGTTGTTAGTAGTTTCAATTAGATGTTTTTTAAACTTTTTCAGGTTATTTTTCAGATCGGGATATATCTGTCTACAATAAAACATTTTCCTTTTAACAAAGGCAGAATCAATTACATCCATCAATGTTTGCTTTTACCCACAATATTGCTCACAGTTAATACTGTATCTTTAGGGTAACAAACAACAATGAAAACTTGAATTCATTCTTAAAAAAAAAAAAAGATTTGTGGTAAGAAAAGGTGATTACTGAGGACTAAAAATCAGTCAATTAGAGTCTTAAGACTAGAATCATTTAGGTTGGAACAGATCTCTAAGATCATCAGAGCATCAAGTCTGACCATTAATCCAGCCCTGCCAAGTCCACTATTAAACCATGTTCCTCAGTGCCACATCTACCCAGGGATGGAGACTCAACCATTTCTCCAGGCAGCTTTTCCCAATGCCTAACAACTCTCTCCGTGAGGAAATTCTTACTAAATACAAGGAGTTCAATTGTTTTGTAGTGATCTGCCTCAAAACCTGCCACATAAATTCTGATGGAATAAATGAACTCAAAGATTAAACAGTATCAACACACAATACAGGTAACTGTGTAGTTTGTTTATTATAGCATAATGTATACCTAACTGTATATTAACTGTACTATACATTGACTGTAACTCTATGCAGAGTTTGTGGCATTACTTAGAAAAGATAAAGGCAAGACAATGTTGAGAACATCTGTTATAAATTAACATCGCTGACAAAATCAAGCTACTGAGCACACAAATCACCAGTCTGACCTGAAGAAGAGCGTGGTACCCAAAAGCTTAGCTCTTTGTTTTGAAAAGATAATAGGGTAGTGTAAAGAAGTTCTGAGGGCAAACACTTCAGCCTGCTACAAGATATCCTTGAACAATCTCCATTAGATTTCTAAAGATTTTATGTCTTCTGCTTCCATTCATAACTATTTCACAGCTGAGAAAACTATAACGTTTGGCATGGGGATACCTGAGGGACAATTTACAGACTGAAATATCTATTTCACCTCCTGTATGAAACGGAGAAGACAAAAAAAAAAAAAAAGTCTAGAGACAATGTCAAAAAGCCTGAAGAATTATCTGACAGCTTCACAAACCAGTCACAGTGCAACATCAAGAAACTAAGTATAGCTAAACCTATCAGAATCCAAGAAGAAAAAAGCTCAGATAAAAATATGACATAAGCATTTGGTATGACCTGCTGTGGAAGGTCTCTAATATCCAGGTGAAACAAGGGAGCCTGCAGATCTAGATGCACTTCTAACTCAATCTGTTTACTCTAAAAAAGGCAGGAAAGGGGATGGGCTCTCAAGAATTTAGACAGAATTAGATGCTCTGAACTCTGAGACTCACAGCTTATTGACAATTACCTACAAACAAGTTTACTTTTTGCTTTCAGTGGTAAGAGACAGAATGACATTAGAGAAGACCCACAGTCTTGGTGTTTTTCCTGAATTAAAAACAATTCATGATTCTCTGCATGGATCTGCTACAGGAAAAGGGAAGCACTTGGGATGACTGAAACCATGAAATGTATCTGCAACTGAGGACTGGAAGGAGCCCTCAATAGGGTAATATTCAATTTCATCTAACAGATTGAATTGAATTCTGGTCCTGCTGGAACAGAACACAAATTCACAAACTCCACAATAAGATATCTATAATAAGCACATCTTCCACGAAATATCACTCCTATGAAATTAACTACTATCCTTCTTAGAAAGACCTTATGTAGCTACAGCACATGGATTTGTGTTCATTGTGTAACTATTTGCATTTTAAAAACCAACATTTTGATTCTAAGTATCTTACCAATATGAAAACATGGTGTTCTAAGTTTTTGTGACTGCTATCCAGACAGATTTTTTTTTATTTTAAAAAGTTTACCGTATGGGTTCACAGAGAATTAGAAAACTACAAGGAATAAACTGGAATTCACAGAATAAACAACAGTTGCATCTTTACATTCAGAAGACATACCCCCAAAAAAAAAAAAAATCAGGATTTTCACCCAATAAAAAAATTTCCAACATAAATCTTACGTCTTCTACTAAAAAAAAAAAAAATTAAAAAATTGGTTCGGGTTCCAGAAAAAAAATGCAGACATTTAGTTAAAACTTGTATCAACTCACTTTAACTTGCCAAAGAGAAATCCTTGGACATCACTTTCCTCTTCCTCTTCCTCATCTTCCTCTTCTTTTGTCTCATTTGCTCCTGAACACATAGCACACGTAGACAACATAAGCCAAGAAAGTTACCGTTCTGTTATGTTCTTATGAATTATAAAGCAGTTAACAGAAACACACAATCAGAAAGTTGTCATTCCCAGATGTAATCTTAATTAGATTTATATTTACACATTCTGGCATCAGAAATAATTACTTTACAAAACTTCACAACATCCAAATTAATTTTTAAATATGATTCATCCAATGGTAACATTTTTTATATAAATGAAATTTATATAGTTAAACAGTTCACTTCCCAAAGCAACCATTTCTCAATTTTATTAAGTGATAAGATATAACTCTTATCAGCCAACTACTACCAAATTTATGCTTGAAAAGCCTGATGACTTTTAAGCGCATGAATCTCCAGCTGGACTTTCATGTAACTCAGAGATCAGTTTCTTTACCTTTAAAAGGTTAAACTATTTTTTGACATGACTCAAAGGTTTTTAAACCTTAGACTTGCCAAAGAGAGTTAATTTTCCTTATATCTTGTAAATGTCCAAGCAAAGCAATTTCTCTGTGTCAACATGCTAGAGCTACCACTTCCTGTGGTAAATGCCTGATTTCAACACGTAATATACACTGCTCCCAATGCTAGGACACATCACATCTTTCCTACAGGAGATTGTGAAAATATTTCCACATAAATTCAGAAAAAAACCCCTCACCCCTGAAACACTAATGGGTAGATACTGTAGTCACCAGCATATGAGAGATGCCAACAAATATGAAGTAATTGAAGGAGAAAGATTAAGCAATTTTAAACTTACTGAAAGAAGACTGGGTTATGTTTTGAAGATCCAGAGAAAACAACAATTAGAGCTTAGATAATAAACTGTATCCTAAGCACAGATCTTTACAAATGTTCTCATGTATTTTGATGTCTTAGTTCCTAATACCTGAGATTTCCTTCTGTAGAAAGAAATTAAGCATAACCTTCAAAACATTAATGACTGAAGATTGTACAAACTAAAGATTCTAATATATTTCAATCGTATCTCCAATGAGATATCAATAAATTAAAAAAGCACATACCTTTAACCTGTGTGTCATCTACTGCTTTATATTCTGTACTCTTTATTGCAAGTTCCACACTATATCCAGATAAATACATTTTCCTGGAACCTGGTTTCTGCTTGACGATATTATTTTAACAGAAGAAAAAATATAAATTAAAAAGGTATTCATAGGAGATTAACGATATATAATACTGTAACTTTAAAATTTTATGATAGACATTACTTAAATTCATCTTTCAATTCAAAGTACAAGGCATACTGAGAGTCCACTGAGAAGGCCTGTAACAGAATGTGACAATCTCCTTTACCTCCTGCAGATCACAGAAAGGCTGTGTCAAAATTGTAGTCCCTTCACATAATACTCAAGAAGGACTAGAACAGGAAGAGCTCATAGCACCATATACAACTATCGATACTTCACAATTCACATTTTAAACTGCTATGAATTTCTTTCTAATGTTGCCAGACCTTCAGCATGTTAGGAAGCAATTCTCTGTTCTTGCATCAGACTGATTCTTTTAAAAAGTTTTGAGAAAACAGTTAATCAATTTCTGCAAGGCAGATTAAGACAATGTATTAAGAGTATCACTGCTAAAATCAAGTTGCCACTTTGTTAGAAACAAATAAGTATTTCTAATTTGGGAGTGGAAGTTTGAAATTCAATACTGTAATTACAGAGAGAATATTTGTATCTGAAAATGTGCCCTAATTTGCCCCAAATGGAAATGCCCTTTCCAAAATGCAATTTGCACACGCACAGCAGCAATTTCTTAAAAGCTTTTCAGCTTTAGCTTGCAATTTCTAAGAATCATTCTGTACTGAGAATCCTCCAACCCACAAGTGAAAACCCAGCAGGGATGGGGGTTTTCTCTGTCCATCCTCTAAGCAAATCTCAGTGCAGAGAGAGCACTGCACTCTGTAAGTAGTCTAGGTGATACTGGCAAAAAAAAAAAGACAGCAGAGAGACCGTACCTCTTCTGTACTCAATGCTCCCTCTTCTGGCATTTAATGTAAAAAAGGAGGGAGGATCCGTCTCAGTGGGAACCAAAGAATAAAAATGGAGGTTGTGAGGAAGAAAGAAAAGGGGACAGAGATCTGAAGAGAGAAAAAGTGCAGGCAGGAAGACAACACACATTTGGGGGGACCATGGTGCATAAGCCAGGCAGAGCAATGAGACATTTAATATGCAAGTAGGCATTTAATTGAAATAAAAGAGCATAAAAGAACAAAGTTCGGTAAAAACTATAACCCACACAACTTACAATTCAAGACTGGCATCCTCAAATTCTCTATTTCATTACTATGAGCAAACAATTCAAAGTCATCCGCAAACTACGTAGCTCATCTCCCTGAAATGTCTGGTCTACATGAATCACAGCAAGCTCTCACTTCATCAGGTTATTCTCATATTTGTCACACTATTTAAGAGCTGTTCTTTGAATCTAAATTACAAAAGCCTTCCAAAACCAAAACTGAGGACAATACAGTTCCATGTACTGGTATTTTATTTGCTTTGCTTCAGGGAGAAGAGTAAATTAAGGAAAGAATTCAGAAACATTATGTTTCAAATACTGACACTGTGGAATGCAAACATCAAAAAACTAGTCAATGACACTGACTGTGATAGCCCACACTGCTGTACTACAATGAACATACGAGATCATATTGAGCATTTATAAAAACATAAGTATAATTAATAATGTTTCAACTTCATTTTCTATTCTGCTTTCCATTTTTCTAGTTCTCGTTATTATAATGTTCAGTCTGCTATACCAAAATTCACCCAAGATCTTTCTGTGGTGTACTAAATCCAGACATAAAACCAAAAAAGAGGTATTTCAAGATCAATCAGTGATGCAAATAGTGCTTGCATGCAAGATTAGATAATATTATCATGCTTTCCCAGCTTCAGAATTTGTATTAAGTGAATCACTTCACCTAGAAAGTTTTAAAATTAGAGCATATATTGCACGTCATGTAGGCAAATGCAAAAATAAATGCAGAAAATGTGTTTTGTCAAAAAGCAAGCAAAACAAAGACAGAATACTAACAGTTTACTGAAACGTTGCTGATTTGAATTACATACCTGAACATAATGCCGGAGAACATAAACAATTTCCTCCTTTTGTGCCTTCTCAGATAAAATCTTGTGGAATTTGGCAAAGTCTTTTGTACCCATTTCTGCATACAGAACAACCACTGGGCCATCCTCTTTGACAGCTGGGAATTTATGGTCTCCTTTAAAAAGATATGGCCTGGGTCTGGTTTTAAAACAAATACTTGTGATATTACATAGTCAGAAAATAAATTAAAACAGTGCCAATTTTTCTACCTCATAATTGAAAAAAACAGTGAAGGCTTATATGCTAAAAGTATACAAGCCATGTTAAAAGTATCACAAAATAATCATGATTGCTCACAGATGAACCTAGAACACCAAATTCACAAATTAAAATTATTTATAGTTGATGCTGACTTTTCAGTTTATTATACTTTAATATATTTTATCAAATTACCACACAAAGCAAATGAAAAGCATAGCACTTGGAGATTTTGTGCAACGATCAGTAACAGCTTGAAGCTTTTAATTTGAATGATTCATTACATCTATTAGAAATGTACAGAGCAATCAGCGAGTAACATAGTAGCAGAGGGATATTTTGTGACATTTGAGAAAGCTGCTAACACACAGGGAAACTAACTGGGGTTATACTACTTTAACACCATCAAGCTCTCTTAATTTAGCTAATTTTGCAAATTTTGACTGCCTGCCTATCCTCCTCACTGAAAACCATGACTAGAAAAGTTATACTGCAATGATTTCTTAGATGACTAAAAATATCTTTTGAATAAAACCTGGGAAAGATGGAGAAGTAACAGAGGATATCACTGAGCAATATACTCAAGGTGGTAATTATGGATGAGCACATTTCTTTTCAAAGCCTTTGCACAGCCACATTTGAAAGTTATGAAACTTTAATCCAAAACACAATAAATGTGTGTAGTAGACACTCACTGAAAAGTCATACTAGAAAGGTGTGAGCAGAACTCCATACACACCAGTTTCTGTGATGCAAATCTTAGGAATATCTTCAGTGTAAGAATCACAGAATAACATGCACTACAAAGGACCTTTGGAGGTAATCTGCTGCAAACTCTCACTCAAAGCAGGGACAATTTGTATCAGGTTACTCAGGGCCTTAACATCAACATCCTATGTAAGTTCTGTAGGTATGCAACTACAGACTTCATTTGTAAGGCAGAAATAAAAGGAGGGGCCAAGTTCGAGAATTAACTTCGGTGTGTGTGGCCATGTGTCACAGAAATATCAGGCAAGCTTTGCCACTGCTATCACTGGATGAGGCTGACCAAGCAGGTGTCACCTGGGAGTCTAAAACAACTCCTGAATGAGTAAGCTCCGTTCAAGAACTGACCCAGATCTGCCCCAGTGAAAGCATTATATACAGGATGTGGCTTGTGCAACTTCCTTGTCATATCCAGAGAGACAAGAACTGTCACAGTCACTTTTAGGAGTGGAAAACCTAAAAGTTTCACTTTTCTTAACTAGCCTTAACCACCTTAACTAAGGTGGTTACCAAGTGCTGCCATGACCTTCTTTAACACTGACAGACTCAAAGAAAGCATTTCATATGCTAATGAACATGCTTCACTAAAAAATTAAGTGCTGCAGTGAAAAAACACTGCATAGAGCTACCCTAATGACCTTGGGTAGGAGAATTAAAGTGTTCAGCCCTTGTAAATCCAAGATAAGCCTCTGTTCTCTGTTTCTCTTCAACACTGAATAGTAGTGCGAAGGAATTGATTCTCTTGCTCTTAGAGCTGAAAGTTAATTAATTTCCTGCCATAAGAGATTCTCATAAGAAGGCTGCCTGAAAGGCAAGGAAGAACAGCTGGGCTGACAAAAAAAAGATAAAAAAAATTACATGGATGTGGAGTTCAGCACTTGCTAATCAGTCACTAGGATAGTACAGGCAACTATATGCTTGCCTAGACAGTTGCCAGGACAGGATGCAGAAGGAACATGATAGCAGACAGCAGATGCATGTACTGACAAACCTAAGACACTGACTGTTTTGAACAAAATGTGACTCCAATTAATGCTTCTTCTCTTAGCAGCAACATCCCCAGCGGTCTTAGTATTGTGTTTTAGACAGTTTGCAAGATAAGAAATCCCATTTAACCACATGTCCTTCGACAGAACCCTTGAGCAGCCCACTGCACTTTCACACAAAATATTCCCTATTAGAGCCAAGCAGTCCATTGTAACACAGCTGAAAGTGTAACAGGCAAAATCACAGTAGCTGCTACATAAAGGACTGTGCGAAGCAAAACCCTGACTTTGACAGGCAGAATATTTGGGCTCTCCTGGATCCAAAGAGCCTGAGACTTCCTGAATCTTGGGTTGAGCTGATGGATCCACATAAAACTATGCTGCAGCCTCTTCTTTCTCTTCCAGAGAGATTTGAAGCTATCAATCCAATATATAATTGGATATTGATATATCAATATCAAATTAGAATATTTCTAGTGTCCTCATCCAAATGTGAACTTTAGGACACAACTGAAAGCATAGCTTAAACTGGCCTGGCTTAAGTAGAAGAGTCATGACAGACAGAAAATGAAACATAACAGAAAATAGTTTGAAATACAGAGAAATCAATAAATCATAATGATCTCTTTTCATACAGGATAGATAAAAAGAATGACTGGTTTAGAGGAACCAACAGCAAGATGGCACACTGTCTTATATATCATTTGTTCACCATATAGAAAAGAAAGAACAGGAGCACAGCCTTATCTCTATCACCTAGGCTAAACATGTCCTGCAGAAGTGAAAAGCATCTGCTAAGCAGAGCACAAATGAAAATAATAGTGGAAACAACTACCTGAATATGTGAAGGTGAACGTGTTTTTCTCAAAGTCTAGCTCCAGGAACTCTAAATATTTGAGTGACACAACTACTTTTGGGGTGGAGAGGAGATGAAATTTATCAAGATTTTGTCCCTGCAACTCTAAAGGTTGTAATGGGACTGGTGCATGCAAAACTACCAAAAATACAAGACCAATCAATCAGAAAAAACTTCAGTTTTGTTGCACATTCCTAAAGTTAATGATTTCCAGAAGTCTAACTCTCTCACTTCTGAATAATTCAGGATTCTATTGTTTAGTACTGTGATTTTCCAGAATCTTGTAAATTTGGGAATAGTATCTCCAGAATGGAGAATGTGCTGAATCCAGTTAACTGCTTTAAAAGATAATTATATTCAGACACTGTAATAAAATGTTAAGGTCTTACAATGCTTTAATGTACGATCACATTTGTACTATATTTTGGCTTTTGTCTAAGAAAGAAAGAGACATTTGTTAGTAGACCATAATAGTTAAAAATGGGACATAGTAAAATAGACAATTGACTGTTTTTTCAAAAACCCCAGCTATTGAATAAGTAAAAGACAATTATTTAGTAGGTTGTAATTGAATCAATAGACTTACAATATACCATAAATCACATATGGGGAAGACAAAATTGTTCTCAGAAGCAACTAACCACAAAGACACAAGTTTACAGGTTTTCAGGTTTTTTTTCCCCACAATTTATATTTGACAGAAAGCAAAATCCAAGAAATATACCCTACTAAATCATCTTTCAGTTCTGCCTATCTTCATGAAGTGGCTGAGGGTATGGGCACTAATGTATATTATGGTGACCTTGGCCACTGCAGGAAAAAAAAAACTCAAAGAAAAAAATGTTATACACAGGTCTTGAAAAAACACAAATTAATTCTTTTTTTTTTTTTTAAACAGAGATTAAATACTATGCTTTCATTATTTTGTTACTGTTATTTTGATAGGTTCTGCATATTTTAGTTCACAGGTCAAATTAATTCTGGGCTAATGCCCAGACTCCAGAAAGGCTTGATAAGTGCAAAGTCTAGCACAAGGTGAGGAAAGGTTATGCCAGCTGAGGCAGACTTCTCTTCCACTCCTGTGCCAAGCCCTTGCAATCTAGAAAACCTCAAGTGCAGTGGCACTGACGACATAGAAAGGTCTGTCAGGAGAGTACTGTCTCAGACACATGAAACTGTAAGTTTGTACAGAAGGTACACAGTAACTTAAATTTGACTATTCCGTTTAAAAAAACCAAAAAACCCTGAAGAAATACAAAATTATCCATGTGATTAGATGAGCAAAGCTCTATGATTTTATTTTAAAACCCTACTTCAATTCATAATTGATGAATTCTCTTAACATGAAGTGTTTAAAGTATTTCAAAATCAAAAGTAAGTCTTTTAAAATAACATATACTTTAAAAGGGTATGACTTTAAAGATCTAGTAAACTGGGCTTTATGAGCTTGGCATAAAATTTCAAAGTACTATGACTTTACATGCAATAATACATTTTCCTCTTTAGTAACCTATTTTTCCTCTTAAATCATTACATTTACCTCTTAGTAGCCTTCTTCAGCAGCTTTTTTATTTCATTAGTCTTACAGGTGTGCTTCTCATGGATAACCACAAATGCACTGCAACCTTCTGGTGGAGGTTCATCAGCTGCAATCTAATATTTCAACAATTACACTCAACCAGAACACTTTGATTGCACTTCAACTTAAACTCACATCCCTTTGATTAAAATAACTCAACAGCTGCCATTAAGTTGTGTTTCCAATTAAGCCCATTCAAAATTGGGTACAGGTAAAAAAAAAAAAAAGAAAAATATTAGAAGATTAAGACCTTATAACCTTTGTGAGATGTAGTCTATCAAATAGAGTCATACTCCAGAAAATACAAGTCCATTTATGTTCTGTAAAGACAGGGCTGAGGAATCTCCTCCACTGGCTGAAATCACAGCCTGTACTCTGAGACATTTTTAATTTTAGTTGCTATCCGCAATCATGTTAATGTACAAAGATTAAACCTCTAAACCAATAAATCCCAAACAATTGATGTCAATTTTTGGTTTTCTCTCCTTCTCACCCCTGCTTTTTTTTTTTTTTAACTCTATTCAGCTATGTAAAGTGGGAATCATATGACTGCATGCCAATGAATCCAGATTCACATGCTGCAAAATAAAAGTCAAAAGACATGAGTCTGAGATTATGATATTCCTCTAAAGAACACTTGCAAAACCCCCTAACTTTATTATAGCTTATTACCTTTCAGAAAAATGGATTTCTTACTTTATCATGAAGATGGTATTGCTGAAAGGAGGAGGAGCAGTTTTAGGCTTAGAAGCAGAGTGAATTTATGTCCTCCCGCTCTTTTGTTAATAAAGCAGGTACTTATTTACCTTATTTTTCAACTTTTCAAATACAAAAATCACAAGAGATGAGAAATCCACTACATAATAAATATAAATTACTTGAAGCTACAGGAAATGTCCTAATTTGGGTATGTCTGAATTCCTGTATGATTATTTAAAGCAAAGCAAAAAATCCCCACAACTCAAGTTTTATAAAGTGATCAACTGCAAAAAATTGTACCCTGCAAGTAATGCTATCAATACAATTGAACATCAATATTTATTCCTGTCAGTATAACCACCTTATAAAACACCACCTCTGTGAACGGACCATGTTTGATTCCATATAATATTGGCATATATTTTATTGAACTGTAACAATGAAGATTCTCTACTCTGTAACCAAAATACCACATTTAATCATGTATCAAATACATCAGATAATACAGTCACCTGCTGAAACATCTGAACAGTTGGAGAATAAGCCCGTATGGAAAGTGCAAACTTCAACAGATTGATTTGCAAATTGGATAAAAATTGTCCTGCTTTTTTCAAGATTAAATTGTAATAGGAATACTCCGAATCTGTTAAAGAAAAAAAAAAGAAGACAAACTTTTAGTATTTAGCCACAAATGATGTGGTGTATCTACCCACGCTACATAACAGGCAAACATTAGTGCTAGTGCTGCTTGGCAGTTCAAAAATCTTGAATGTTGTCCACTGATAATTGCTTACTTTACTACCAATCTAAAGGTCTCATACAGCACAAATAGAAGAAAAGAGAGCTCAATAGCACTAGTTAATATCTCAAATATTTTCAGCAATATATAAATCCACTCAATACAATAATGTCTCTTCGAAGATACATACGGAAAGCCCTGAATAGAATTTATTCCCTCATTTCTGTTTGTCAAGATTATGCCACCCTTTTAACAAAAATATTTCAGGTTACTTACTTTCAACCAGCATTATTTTACAAATAAATTCCTTGCATTTAGCCTTGAAACACTCCAACAATGCAGCTTACATAAATAAAATTCTTTGGGCTACTCTCACATAATCTGTTTCTCCCCTAAAAATACGTGATAAACAAGAGTGTGAGAATGGATGTAACAGGTGAAGTACTTCCCTTCTCCCTGCATACCTTGTGTTTTCAAGGACAAGATCAGGACTCTAAGTAAGAAGATAGGTGGATGGTGTCCAGGAATGACAGAAGTGATAATACAGAACATTGGTTGGAAAAAATTAGCCATCATTTCTCATTCTAGAGGCATATTCAATTTTCATAACTAAGTACCTCCTATCCTCTCATTTTCCTTTTACAACCCTGTTGTGATTGTCAAAAAATATTCTTTTGCTCTAAAGCCTCTAGTATCTCCTTTCTGCCTCCTTCTTCTTAAAACTCATTATTTAGAAAGTCTGAGTTTGCTGTAATTCACTAGGAAAAACCTAAGATTATAAAAGTATATAATCTGCATTTCAAGAAAGCTCCTTCCCATAAATTTTACATGCCTGGTTCCTGGGAGAGAGTTAATTTTCTTCCTAGTAGCTGGTACAGGGCTGTGTTTTGGATTCAATACGAGAATAACATCGATAACACACTAGTGTTTTAGTTGTGGCCAAGTAGTGCTTACCCTACTCAAGGACTTTTCAGTTTCCCATGCTCTGCCAGCGAGGAGGTGCACAAGAAGCCAGAAGTGGGCATGGCCAGGAGAGGCTGACCCTAGCTGCCCAAAGGGCTATTCCATACCATAAAATGTCATGCTCCGTTTATAAACTGAGGGGAGTTGGCCAGGAGCAGTGATCCTTCCTCAGGGATGGGCTGGACATAGGTTAGTGGGTGGTGACCAACTATATTGTGCATCACTTGTCACAAGTTTTGTTCCTCTTTCTCCTTTTCCTATTATTATATTTTACTTTATTTCTATTATTAAACTGTTCTTATCTCAACCCACAGGTTTCACCTTTCCCAACTCTCTTCCTTGTCCCACTGAAGTGACACAGAGAGCAGGCACGTGGTACTTCATCGCTGCCTGGAGTTAAACCACAACATATGATTATTACTGTCTTACATTAAATTCAAAGGATGAAAAACCCATCTCTTCTATGTTTTCTATACCTACATGTAGCCCTGGCAGAACTCAAATGGCAACAAAGCTGGTGAAGGCTCTAGATGCACGTCCCATGAGGACCAGTTGGTGGAGTTGGGCTGTTTAGCCTGGAGAAAAGGAGATTCAGGGATGACCTCATCACTTTCTACAACTACATCAAAGGAGGATGTAGCCAGGTGGGGATTGGCCTCTTCTCCCAGGCCACCAGCAACAAGACAAAAGGAAATGGCCTCAAGCTATGCCAGGGGAGGTTCATGCTGGACATCAGGAAGAATTTCTTCACTGCGTGGTTAAGCACTGGAATGAGCTGCCCGGGGACGTGGTAGAGTCACCATCCCTGAAGGTGTTCAAGAAATAACTGGATGTGGCACTTGGTGCTGTGGTTGAGTTGGCAGAGTGGTGATCGGTCAAAGGTTGGACTCGATCTTGGAGGCCTTTTCCAAACTTAATGATTCTTTGATTCTAAATGAGATAAATTTGGCATCATGCATTCAAAACAATGAATGTAAAAATTTGCAAGGGGCAAACCCTTCCAGATTGAAATGTTTTTTCAATAACTATATTTTCAACTTTTCTTCAAATTATCTCCACAAAAATAAAAATGAAATCCAAAATTTTTGCCTCTCCACTCAGCCCCAAATAACATCCTATTGAAGACAATGAAGAGCTATTAAATAGACAATTCTAACGATACCTCCTCAATAAAGTATTTTTACCTAGTCTTTAAATTCTTTGGCTTACAAATTCCAGCTGTGCTTTCACTGCTGTATTTAAAACAGCTTTTTTTTTCTGGAAGATGATTATTATAATGATTTTAATAAGTAAAAAAAAAAAGATAGTTATGTGCCTTCAAAAATGATTGTATAACATTGACAAGGATACATTTACCAGATCATGCATCCACTCCTACTACTTCAACTTCTATTAATGCTGCTGGCTTCATTCAGAATACAACTGTACTTTAAACTTCAGCAAGACAAATTAAAGCACATGAAATGCTACATGATCCACATAATGCAAAAACAATTTTTAAAGTTTATTACATACACAGAATCACACAGAATATTCTGGAAGGGACTCACAAGGATCATCGAGTCCACCTCTTAAGTGAATGGCCCATACAGGGATTGAACCCTGACCTTGGTGTTATTAGTACCATGCTCTAACCAACTGAGCCAATCTCAGTTAATGAGAACTATGGTTTCAGTTTTGCAAATTATTTTCACGTAGTATTGGATCCTTGAAACTTGATCATTACTTGCCCTCCAAGCTCCTTTTAACACTGTACTCTATGCCAAAGAGTAGAAGACAGAATAAATCTCTTAGGATGTTACAGGGAATCACAAAGTACCAGGTTTTTTTGGTTATAAAATCCTGCATGATAGCATATTACCAATAAATCATTAAGGAAGTGGATTTAAAAATAAATGAGAACACATTAGTGGAATACAACTCCAGATTTCAGACATCCGAATGCACATGTATGAGCTACGTGTCTATAAAATTTCATTCCAGCCACGAGAGATAAAGCCAACAAAACGTCAAAAGCTATTTAGCTCACTCTAAAGATGCCTTAATTTGTCATCTGAATAGCTCTCTCAACTCTTGTAGCCAAATTGATTAATTGACCACAGCAAGAACTGAATAGCTAGCTAAGCAGACTCACATTTAAATGTTGAATATTACTATCCACAATCTACAGCAGTATTTCATCACAGGTAAGTTAATAATAATTTAAAACAGACAACCAGGGCAGTACCAAAAGGAAAGGAAAAGTTTACACCACAGCTCCTCAGACCTCATGCACACACAGCACAAAATTAAGCAGAATATGCTGGTGACCCATAAGAGAATTCAAACTACTGAGGCACAGGAGGTAGACAGAGTAAACCTAAGGGATGTAATCAATCAGAAAAACCACAGCACGCTGGGATCATTATTTTGATGGATAGAATATGGTGGTTGTTCCAACTGCATAGATGTGTATATCTGTATCCATAGATCAGCTAGGGAATTAGAGATGCCAGGTAATGGCAGTTCAGGCAATCACTGGCCAGTCAAATCTCTGAGACATTTAAAATGCCTGTAGAGAGGGAATACTTTGTTTTATTGCATGATTAGTATAGAAGTGCTATGCTTGTGAAAATGATTCCTCTAGAATCTTTAAGGTTGATAGGCACATAAAAATATTTATCTAATTTAGTGCTATGTGAATAATGTGTAGTCTTCTAGATTACAACAAATAATTTGCAGGACTGCTGCTTATATGTAATATACTGCTACATTTTTTTCAGAGAAAGTTTCCCTAGAGAAAATATGTTTGTTTGTTGCTTTTGTTTTGGTCTGTAATATATATTTATGCTGAAAATTCAATATATAAAGCACTTGGGAAATCAGTAAACACTCAAGTGATAATTAGTCAGCAGGGAACTGGCTACTTACCTTCACTCTCTATTCATAAATTAACCTTTAGAGATATAAAAGCAGCAGCAAGTTTAAAATGACACATTTAGTGTTTAGTAACTGCTGGTTTTAATATGAAATTTTTGCAGCTTTGATTTCTTTATAACATACCTGCAGCCCAAAATACCACCATCTGCATTTCTAAGTATTTCACAAGCCTGGCAGAAACTATGTTGCATATTAAGAGGACATAAACAAGCTGTCCATGCTACCTGAAGACCTCACTCTAATTTAATACAGTGTATCCCATCGCTAACTTTCGTTAGTGATGTTTTCCATAGGGTATAATCAAAATGATGCCCGAGTTGATTCGAGTTCATATTAAAAAAAAAATGTTAAAACCATCAAATGCATCACCGGACTAAATGCTTTACCAAATTCCATGTATGTAATTCCTACCAAATCCTTTACATTGCTACATATATCATAGCTAAAGAGACCATTAATAGACATAATTTGCTGAGGCTGAATATTTTAAATGAACAAATTAACAACAGATGTTCATTTGATTATTCTAAATTTAAAACTACAAGTTCTGAGAACTGATAAAAAGACCAGATTGAAAATCATCCAAGGAATTATTTAAACGAAAAAAGCCACCATATTCAGTTACCTTTTAGCTTTAATACTTCATGACTCTTCTAAAGTTCAACAGTATGCTGGGATATAAATCTATCATCCAATTCTTCTATAAATCCAGATTTTCAGCTTCAAATATAGCAATTCTTCACCTTTTACGAAAATGTTTCTACTTTAAAAACCAACGTTTTTATTTCCTGCTTATTCATCCTATCTGGTCTCGGTATCACCCAGAGAAGAACTGAAAAGGCCATCAGACCAACCAACCCTTTTTAAGCCAGATCCTTTTATCTGCTCAGGTAGTTGTTGTTACATCAGCTATAATGCATCATGAACATCCCCCTATGTCAATGTGTCCTGACACGCAACAGGTAAGACAGAACCCATTCCATACCACATAGAGAACACCTCCTCAGAGGTGAACTACTACATATCTCTCAGTAACTGTGCCACTCCAGTATTGCAGTTCCAGATTCTTCACTCAAGCTGATAATTTTATTGTAAACCTACTGTAGAATTCCCTACTAAAAATGACTTAACTATTGCTGGATATATATGATGCTTATATTATTTCCACTTTATACTTTGCATGTTGACTTCAGTAAGACAATCTTAAGTTGGAAGAATCAATATTGATGTGATTTAGTCATTAAGTAACCACTTTGCTTTCCTCTAAAACTGAATCTTTCCTTCACATCCTGTTCATGAAGAGCACTGGTTTGCTTATATAAGACTACCCCAACTACATACGGACTTTTAAGAAAGCCACTGGGTGCCAGAACTTCAAATTTTTCTGCATTATCAACATAGATGTGTGTTGGCCATAATGATAAATATACACATCAATTCCTCAATATGCTTAATTGAAGTAATATTTTAGTACATCTCAAGGTTCCCCACCACCAGCATCTAACACTTCACTGGCATGACTGGTCATGGAGATCATCCCCTTGATAATTTATTTATTCTTAATCACAGTTTATCCAGGTGAAGTAGGTATTTAATTAACAGCTGATTTCAACAGACACCTGTGTCACAAACAATAAACACCACTAAAAGTTCAAATTCCTTGGGAAGTGTGTCCAAGCAAGCAGAAAAGAGATGGCTGATAAAAAAACCTGACAGATCATCTATAACAGCAGTCTTGTCTCAAAGCAATAATAACTGCATCTAAGCCACTCATAGAAAAAAAAGAATAATTCAAGTCAAAAGTGATTTCTGGAGGTCACCTCATCCAAACTGTTACTTAGAGATCTAATTCAAGGCTTGATTAGGCTGCTCAAGGCCTCATGCAGCAGAGTTTTGAGTACCTCCAAGAATGTAGATTCTGCAGCCTCCTGGGGCAGGCTGTTCCAGTGCCTACCTGACCCTATGGCAGAAATATTTTCTGCCAAATTTCATGTTGCAACTTGTGCCCTTTGCTTTTTCTTCATACTGCTGTGTACCTTCAGGAAGGGTTTAGTTCCATCTTCTCTACACAATTCTATTAGAAAGCTGGAGATATGACGTCTCTCCTTACTGTTCTCTTTCTCAGGTTCAATAAAACCCAGTTCTCTCAGCCTTTTCTCAGGAGTCTGTTCCAGCTCCCTAACCCTTGTGGGGATCCACTTCTATACTTCCTTCAATACTGAACTCTTGACTTCTAAAGGAGAGCCCCAACCTGGGCCCAGTATTCCAGACATAGTTTGTAATTCACAAGTGCCACATACAGTGGTCATTTTCCTTGACCTGTGGGCTACACTCTTGCTGCTGCAGCCTGGCATGTAGTTAGTCTTCTCAGGCATAAGAATATAATGCAACTGTTTACAAGGATCCCCAGGTCTGTTTCTCAAAGAAACTGCTTTTTGAGATTAAGTGCCAAGATTACACTGTTGCTGAGTCTGTAAAGTGCCTTTGCTGAATTTCCCGATGTTTCTGTTCTCCTCTCTCTCCAGCTTGTAAAGGCCCCCCTAATGACACAGCCTTTTCTTTCAGCTTCTCAACTTTTCCCAGTGCTGAGCACTCAAAGACCATTTTCACACTGATACCACAAATTTTTAACTTTTATTCAGTCGGTCACAATTGTTGAAACACATTGTTTCTCAAGTTCTCTCTCCCCTATACAGCATTTTTCATGTACCTTCATTTCTCACTGCCATTTTCTACATGATCTTTCTGCAATTTGTTAGCTTTTAACTACTGATTTAACATTCAATTTCCCCGAAGTCTCTTCCACAAGTGGTGTTAGGTCCTCACACTCATGCCAGAAGTGTTGTACTATTCTGAAGTAAAGAGCAAAATGAAGCAGCCTTATCTTGTTTTGACACTTTTTTCACCTTGTTCATCTGTTGACCTACCAAGCAGGTCTAATACTGACCAACCTGGTGTAAAGTCACCGGTAGGTTTCTCGATTTTTCATTACCATGGACATTTCTAGTAAACTGCTCTCCAAGGTATCTTCTCAGGTGGCTTTTTATGCTTCTCTTATGCTTTGTTCTTCTCTCCAAATTTCTAACAATATTCATTTGTCTAATCATGCAAGGTATTTTTAATCCTATTTTGTCAGTGATAAAACTTTATTCTAAAACACCTGTATTGATGCTAGAAAACAGTCTCTATACCATCTACAAGTATTACACCTTTTCTGGTAACTCTTTTAATTTTTTCCTTTAGTTATTTACAGGATTCTCTCCCCTACAAGCATCCACCTTAGAGAAAACAGGAAGTCTCAATATCCTATAAGCTCTTGCTGAGTCACATACTCAGATAGGTATCTTTAATCTTTACACTTCTGTTCCATATTGTAAGTTTAGTTCATCTTGTGTTCTTTTTTTTTTTTTTTACTCCTCTACAAGTATTGCTCTGAAGGATATGCTACAACTCTCTGAAAGAAAACTATCTAATAAGCCATAATGGAAGAGTTAGGCTTGACCTGCCTGGAACCAGTTAATGTGTTCTGTCTCAAAACTAAATACAGTGTGAGATAATGTATTAAAAACTAGCATATTGTTTAACTTACCTCCTTGCTTATAAACTGTTAATTCCCGTACAGTTTCCAAGAACTGCCAAAACTTCTCATTACCATCTTCTGCAATGAATTCACTGTTTAAAAATAAAAATGAATTGTCTACAGGTTGACTTTGTCCAAAGATGTAACACAGTAAAAACCTTCAGTTGTTTAAAATAATAAATACCCAGCAGCAACCAAGTGTTACATATTCAATGACCTTCTAACATCTCTGTAGCATAAAACACTGAACAGAGGTGTACTTTGGTTAAAAGAGATTTTGAACAAAGTACTACCATCCAAAGTCAACAATGAGAGCTGTAAACAGGCAGACTATTCTCTTGATACAGGAACCCCCCACATTTTTCACTTTATTTTTCCACAGCTATTCCAATATACAGTTATAAATAAAATCGCTTCACTAAGCAAGCTTTATTTAATAGTGGCTAAATACACAAATAAGAACATACACTCTGTCAGGTTATAGTTTTTCATTACATTACAGGCTTTCATCAATGGCAATGTCTACTTTGCTTTGCAGGGGGGAGATCGTCAATTTCTGAAATGGTTGAATTCTTACAAAGCATAAAAGATAAAGTTTGCTCTATTCCAAATACCATTCTTTCATTTTTTAATTTCAAACTGAAAGAGGTGAAATTTAGGTGAGATATACTGAAGAAATTCTTTATTCTTAGGGCGGTAAGGCACTGGAACAAGTTACCCAGAGAAGATGAGGATGCCCCATTCCTGGAAGCATTTAAGGCCAGCTTGGATGGGGCTTTGAGCAACCTGGTCTAGTGAAAGGTGTTCCTGCCCACGGCAGGGAGGCTGGAACTAGATGATCTTTATCTGAAGGTCCCTTCCAACCCAAACTATTCTGTGATTCTACGATTTACTGGTAACGCTTTTTAAGTTTTTTTCCTTAAGGTAACATCAGTTGTTTATTTTCCCTCTGCTTATGTCTGCCAAAAACTTCCACTTGGTAGCATGACTGAATTGTTTTCTAATCTTTACTTTGGAAGTTTGCCCCTCCTTTGATTACAGAAGCTTGCAGTTCTCCCTTTCATGGGAGTTCTCTGAACAGCAGCAAATAAGTTTAAAAACAAAACAAATTTCAGGCAAACAGGCAGGGAAGTCTCAAACACATAAAACTGGAAAACATTTTCACTTCCTATTGTGAATCACAGAACGATTTGGCTTTGGAAGGGACCTTAAAGATCATCTAGTTCCAGCCCTGCTGCCGTGGGCCTTCCGCTAGACCAGGCTGCTCAAAGCCCCATCAAGCCTGGCCTTGAACACTTCCAAGGATGGAGCACCCACAGCCTCTCTGGACAACCTGTTTCAATGCCTCACAGTAAAGAATTTCTTGCTTCTACATAATCTAAACACACCCTCTTTCAGCTTGAATTCATTATCCCTTGTTGTGTCAACTTCTAAAAAGCCCCTCTCCGTCTTTCCTGTAGGCCCCCTTTAGGTACTGGAAGGCCACAGTTAGTTCACCCTGAACCCTTCTCTTCTCCAGGCTGAAACTATTATTACAAGTTAACAATACCCTTTTTAAAAAAAAATGTTTTACTACTACAGCTTCACATGTTCACAATACCTTTAAAATCATTTAATGAAGGGTGAGATGGAAGAGATCTTGTTACTCAGTGGAAGACAGTGATTGTGTACATTGGCTCATTACATTTCCTCAACCTAAAGACCTGCAAAACGTCTGAGCAGGCTACAAACGAAGCCGCTTGCACAGCGCACTCGAAGCGTGGGACTCTGCCCGCACCATCCACACAGTTTTACGAGGGGAGAAAACAGTTCAGCCTTACACCCAAGGAGTACTGGAACACACCCTCCGACCGGGAGAAACGCGGCCATCCCCCTCTGACAGCCGGCCTTCCCGCTCAGCGGAGGGGAAAGGGGGTCCCTCCCTCGTCCTGCCCCCCAGGAGACAGCCGGGGCAGGAACCGCAGCTGGGAGGAAGAGGAGGAGGAGAAGGAGGAGGAGGCTGCACGCACCTCGCCTCCAGCAGCAGCGGGGTCGCCGGCCACTTCGCCGCCAGCCGAGCGGTCACGGGCTGTGAGGAGGAGGCCGGAGCGGTGCCGCAGAGGCTCGGCCGGGCACACAACAGGGTGAGCAAGAGCAGGAGCAAGAGCGCCAGCGGCAGCGCCCGGCCCGCCATGAAGAGCAGCAGCCACTCAGCGGTACCACAGCAAAGCCCCACACGACCCTCGCCTCTGCCCCGCCCACACGGCCGTGCCGCGCTCCTACTGGCTGCGCTGCGGCCTCGCTTTGGACCATTGGTCATCCCTGAGGCCAATCAGCGGCTGACGGCAGATAAATAGCGGGGCTGCCCAGGCCGGCGCGATGACACGCGGCGCTGGGGGTGGCGCGCGGGCGGCGCTCCGCGGGGCCGGAGAGGGGGCGCAAGCGCGGGAGCGGCGTTACCTCCCCCCGGCCTGAGGCGGACACTGTTGTCGACCCGCTCCCGCGGCAGTGCTCTTGTTTCCTTAGTTTTCGGGTTGTTTTATGGAAGCGTGGTCTTCGCGAGGGGTGCACTTAGGTTTGACTGCCGTACGCACCGTGGGGTATAGCGGCGGTGGCTGCAGGCAGCTGAGGAGCGACACGACGGTGTTGTCCACGGAACAGCAGCCGCCTGCCCTGGCGCTCCCCAAACCTCCTAGTACCGCTGCCTGGACTGGGTCCCAAAGGGCTATTCTCCCTCAGCCTTCACCAGGCTGAAAAAAAATCACAGAATCACTGAATTGACGGGGTTGGAAGGGACATCTGAAGACCGTCTAGTCCAACCCCCCCACAAAGGCAGAGTCCGCTAGAGAAGGTTAACCTGGAATGCATCCAAGTGGGTTTTGAATGTCAGCAGAGAGGGCGAGTTCACGACCTCGGTGGGAAACCTGTTCCAGTGCTCTGCCACCCTCAATGTAAAGAAGTTCCTCCTCATTTTGAGGTGGAGCTTCTTGTGTTTTAGTTTATGGGCATTGCTCCTTGTCCTGTTGATGGGCACCACTGGAAAGAGGCTGGCACTATCAGCTTGGCAGCTGCCTTTGAGATATTTATATGCATTTACAAGATCCCCTCTCAGTCTTTTCCAGGCTGAACATGCCCAGCTCTCAGTCTATCGTAGGAGAGATGCTCCACACCCCTAATCATCTTTGTGGCTCTCTGCTGGACCCTCTCCATTAGCTTCTTGACTCTCTTGTACTGAGGAACCCAGAACTGGACACCGTAGTCCAGATGATGCAAAAATGGTAATAAAGATCTTAGCAAGTGTGAGCAACTTCATACATAATACATATATTCACCATATAGTTGTTCTACTGAGGGGGAAGTACCTAATTTTTGCCCCCTCAAAGTTTTCCAAACTGACCTCTATTTTGAAATGTGTTCTGTTTCCTAACTGCATGTTTTTTTTCCTCAATAAACATGAGCTTCACAGGAACCATGCCTCTACCTTCTACCTAACTTACCTTACAGTGTTCAGGCTCATAGTCTTCATTTTCTTTATCCGTGCCTGAAATCTCAGTAGCTAAATCCATTTCCTCAACAAAGCTCCTACACTTCCTCAATTTTTCCCCAGCTGTACAGTAGAGCTAAAAGAGGCTGGTGCTTCTGCAGCTGTATTGTGGGATTTGAATACAGAGCAGCTCTCAATAGTCGTTTACTGGAGGAAGAATCCTCCAGCTGTTTTAGAAATACGAGGTATTGCCTTTTCCATAACATCAGTCATGAAACTTGAAACTGAAACCTGGAACATCTTACTGCTGCATAAACTTTGTTTTGTGCACAGTCCTCTCCTGACTGCCTAAAGCTGCTGTGTGGATGGTGGGAGCCAGTGAGGGCACAACTCGAGGGAGCAGGCTGTGGATTGTATAGTTTGTTTTGTTAGTGCTCATCTCAAAGGTATAAAGCTCTGCCCTAGCAAAATGCGTGTACTTAACATGCTTCTGTGTGTTTGTAATGCAAAAATATGAAAAATACATCCACAAGGGTCATTCATATGTAAATTCAGTCTGGGGCCTTTGTGGTTGATCTGCTCTCACAAATTTGTGCTGTTACAAGGCCTCACGTAATTTTCAGGTACCACTGTGACACATCAGTTATACCAACTTTAATGTAAATAGGTTGATATAAGTAAACCCTTCACACACCTCTGCAGAAATAATGAAAACCACAGGAGTTCATATGCAAGGCCATTAGAAATAAAAAAAACTCAGCATCTTTTATACAAAGAAAGGTTGTGGTAAACTGTCTAAGCAGCTTTTTTTGTTTCATATTGATGATTCAGAAGTTGCTGCTGCTGCTAACAGAGATGGCGTAGCACGAGTGCTGTATAGATGAATAAGTTTGGACCCCTTGTGTTTCTGTGCTAATAACCCGTGTACGTGGCCAAACTCTTGCATCTATAGAAAGTTGAACCACATGCAAAGAACTGATAAAACACACTTCCACCACTCCCTAGCAAAGTTCAAAATGCATTTGACAGACTCAGTAGAACTCACACTACACTTGTTCTGCACAGAATGGGCCATAACTGGTTTATATTGGCCACCTACCAAAAAACATTCCAGCCCTATCAATCCTTCTATAGTTAAAGAATTACTGACGTATTTCTTTTTTACTGTTTCTTCAGCCAAAACTGATATGTACTAAGCACGTTCAACATGTATATACATTTACCATGCATTTTTCATAACTCCATGCAATACAATGTGATGATGGATGCACCTACATTACCCTTATCTATCAATTGATTTTCTATATAAAGTTGCTCTGTTACATTTTGGTTTATATTGATATTGAAGAGGCTGCTATTGTTGTTTAAATGTGAACTCCTAATAGCTTGCACTTGTTTCATCTTGAGCTGTGACAATTTATAATTTGCCATACAAGAAGACAAAATCTGTTGGCACTGGCTATGGAGATACTGAATCTTTGAGTTCAGTGGCAAGACAAAGTGGTAGCTCTGAATCAAAGGTCATGTCATTAGTTTGAGGTGAACTGAAGAAAACAGCTAGTCCAGTAGTTCTCTTGAGAAAAGATCCTTTCTGCTTAAATTCGGAGATCTCTGTTAGACAAAAAGAATATATCTGCTGAGATCTCTCTCTTGCATTTAGGATTATTGTTTTATTAGGTGCCTAAAATTTATGATCATAGATAGGTGAAATGAAGTTGGAAGGGACCTTAGGAGGTCTCTAGTCCAGCCTCCTGCTCAGAGCATGGTCAGCTCTGAGTTCCAGTCAAGTCTTGGAAAAAATCCAAGGCTGGCTCCTGCACAACCTTTCTAGGCTTGTGCAGAATTGCTTAAGGTGCAATTTGGATTGCTCCTCGGAAAGAAATACAGCGTTGTAACGGAACATTACATTCCTTATAAAAGCTTCTGCATATTTATCCATTTTCCCTTTGCTGTGGTACCTTAGCTACATTCTAGCCACAAAGAGCCACAAATCTGTTTCTGTGTATTTGACAGAGGCAGATATTAATCTGTTAAGCAGTGTGCAAACACAGAAGATAGAGAGCAGACTTAATCTTCATTTCAACAGCAGAATTTTATGTAATTAAGTATTCCAAATAATATTTGGCCATTCTTGTACATACATTCCATATATATATGTGAAAAAACCCCTGAGTCCTCTGAAACCATTTTTCAGCAGAAGAACAATTACAGCAAAATTTTAAAATTATTCATATCACAGCTGTGCAAATAGGAATTGATTATCATAGCTGTTTCAGTGTGAATAGAGTGATTAATGAATGTTTCTCGATAAGATGCAAATGTTTTATAGTATAAGTCACAGTGAACTATGTCTGTTTAATAGAAATAGTAGCAATAAGTGAAAATAAGTTGAGCTTCATCAGCATATGCAGTTAGCTGAAAATAAAACTTTATTTTTTTAACAGGTTGAAAACAATTTTTGAGGTGAAAGGCTCCCTTTCTCTCTAACTTGGAGGTAATGTAAATGTCAAATATTAGTCAAAATATATACCTGTTACCCAGTTATTAATTGACCGCCTCCTGAGCAGTGACTGCTGGCACCCTTTTATCTTGCTGTGAGATTGGAGGCCAATCTCTTCAGAACCTGTCAATGTCACTCCTATGACAGGCATTTGAGGTGTTTCCCTGAAGAGATTAAGGATGCCATACTGCATACTTTTTGTCCATTCCATTAAAGACCAGCCATGGTTATTTGATTAGCATATCTCAAGATAAAGGTATTTTGGAATAAACAGTGCAAAATATATTTCATAGTCTGTTAACTTTTCATTTTGATTTACAGGGATGAGCCAGTGAAAGAAAAATTGATGCCGAAGTAACATAAGCCTCGTTTCAACAGCTCACAGAACCTGCTGTGGCAACTTTCTAGCAATCAGAATTTATGCTGCTTTGCTATGCCCACACATACAGCTGCAGTGACATCCTCCTCCCAGGATGCTTCTCTTTCCAACGTTTACTGAAAAAAAGAAAAGCAACTGAAGCAACAAAGAAAAGCAACTGAAGCTTTGTAATTAAAATGACCCATCTCAGAAATCTAAAAGAATATACTTCCTGGGCCAGATCAACAAACTTCCTATGAAACTCTGGGCCTATCTGTACTGTGTAGTGGGCAACAGTAAAATGTGGCTGTAATGGGGAATGCAGCTCTATTTGCATACACCAGCTCAAGTTCATAAGCAATGCCACTGCCCTGCTGTGCCAATAAGACAGTGTGGTTTTATTGATTTCTGGATTGTACTGGCTCCTACCATGCCAAATCTGAGCAACTAACTGTACCAGTAGATAAAAATAGGGCTTATCTTTAAGATTGCAGGTTTTTCTGAATTTGCCTAAGCTAAATCTTAGCTTATTATTACCGGTTCAAGTTCATAATGTAATAATGGGTTGGCACTTCTGATGCCAACTAACAATCCTGGTTGTTAACTGGCGTGAGCTTATAGTTATCTTCTTATTTACAGCACCCTGTGAAGTTTTCAGGTGTTGAAAAAAAAAGAATATTTTTCTTTCTTTCCCTGATTGTAACTTGTGAATTTGTCTATGTGCTCAGTGAGAGGAACACAGGTGATACACCAGTGATACAAAAAAAAATAGTCTGAAATGTACTATAGGGCTATTAAATCACCATTGTTGATGATTCAAGTAACAATCACATACTTGTATTTTAAGCAAGGTTTGTCACATGCAAATGTTTGGGAGATTATTACTTCA